CTGGCCACCCTCCCCCACCACAGGGAAGATGGTGTGTGGGGCGGCCCGGCTAGCAGCCTCCAAGGTGTGACCTTCAGCAAGAGGCCTGGGCAAACTCGGGTGCAGGGTGTCCGGTACTCACCCAGCCTGGGGCTCTGGGTGTGGCTGCCTGGACACCACCTGGTGGCTCTTCCCCTCAGCCTGGCTGGCCGGCCCTGCTCACACATAGGCAGGAGAGCTGGTGGACCCAGGTGCCAGGGCCCGCGGTGGGCAGGGACGGGCACACACTGTCCAGCCTGAGACTAGCCTCCGGAAGACACCCCGGGGCCCTTGGGGGATGCCAGCACAGGCCTGTCCCCGCATCTGTCCTGGTGAGTGTGGATCAAGGAGGCAGGGCCAGTCTCCTCCTCTAGAGTCCTGGTTCCTGGTGCCTGGTGGTTGCACGGGGGGGCGGGGGGCAGGTGGGGTGAGGAGGAGGCACAGGGTGAGTGGCTGGGCGGGCAGAGCTGTGGGGCGGGTGGTGGATGGAGGGATGTGAGGGGCGCGGGGAGGACAGAGGGATGGAGAAGCCTGGACGGAGGGCGAGCTCAGCCACAGCCCCCAGACACCGTGCCCACGTGAGCCCTGCCCTGCACTCAGTGCCCTTCAGTGGTGTGGGTCCAGCACCCACTCTGACCAGCAGACCCCCCAGGCACCCGCACCCCTCGATCCCCCAGGTTGCAGTGGCCACTGAGGCTGCAGGATTTGCCCTGCTGGGCCCTGCGTGAGGGGCTCCTGCTCTGCCCAGGCCCAAGCCCAAGCCCGGGGAGCTCTGGCCTGCCTAGATGCCTGTCTCAGAGAATGAAGGGCTCTGGGGCTCCGAGGGCCCCGCCCTCCCCCAGAAGGATGAGGGCCCCAGGGCTGGGGCAGGAGAGGGGCGCTCTCGTGTTGGGGTCACGCATCTGCAGCCCTGGGGAGCAGCACCCGGGACACGCCCCACGGCTGGTGGGGCCCCCGGGGAGGACGGGCCAGCGCTGAGATGCGCCGCAGGGCTGAGGGCCCCAGGGCAGGGGCCCGCGCCCACACCCTCGCTGCCCGCCAGCTCTGGCCGCCCCTCGCTTCCGCCCCCTGCCACCCCATCCCTAGCGGAGGCAGCCCGCTGGTGAGCCCCTGCAGCTCGCTCTTGCCCCCCTCGGAGCCGCCTCTCCGGGTGGGCGGGCCGGGGGCGGCACTTCCTCCCGTGACGTCTCCATAACCATGGCAGCCGGGTGAGCGCGCGGGCCGCGGGGGGACTCTTCTGGGGCTCAGGCCCCCACCCCCTTCCGAGGTCGCCACCCCCACCTGCTCCCCGCTCTGCCGGCCTCCTCCGCTCCCACGGCGGCACCCCTCGGTGGCCTCGGCCGGCAGGGACTGGAGCCAGGGCCGGGCACCGCCCGTGTCCCCTCGCAGCGTGGCCGCCATGTCTGCGCTCGGGGCTGGTGCCCAGAGGGCAGCGCCCACAGCCGGCCACACGCGGGCTGGCCCCGCACGCAAAGCACCGGCCGTTACCACCCGCGGGCCCCCCCACCGGGCCACCCGGCCCCCCACCCGTGGCGGCCCTCGCCCTGCCATTTTCTGTCTAATTAATTCTTTTATCGAGCGCCTGGGAAAGGAAGACAAAGGTCTCCCCGGCAGTAATGACTCATTAGAACGCAGGCGCCCTCCCCTGCGGGCCGGGCCCTTAACCCCTTCCAGGCCCGCGCTGGGCCGGCGGGCTCGGGGCGGCCGCTGCACTCAGGCCCCCGGCCGGTCCAGCCCGGTGTGGGCAGAGAGGCCGAGGCGGGCCGGGGGGCCTGTGGCTGGGCAGGGGCAAGGAGAGGCCCCGGGCTGGGCCGGCAGCACCCGTCACGCGCTGCCCCTGTGGCCACGGCCACCCCAGCACAGCCCCAGGGCTGCCAGCACGTCTGCCGACGTCCCAGGTTCATGGGGACACTGAGGCACGGAGCCATCAAGTGGCAGCTCCCAAGCTCTGGCCACAGGCCGGCCCCCCTCCTGCCTGGGAGCCACGGACGGGGTGCAGGGGGCTCAGACCTGCCTTGTGGGCGGGGCGAGGGGGCCTAGCCGCCCGGCCACCATCTTCTCGCCTGCAAGGTGTGGGGCTCAGCAGAAGAGCCAAGAAAGCGCCAAGTCCGCCCCAGCTTCCCGCTGGACACGCGCTGGACACACGCTGGGCACATGCTGGGCATGCACTGGGCACGGTGGCGGCCTCCAGGCATCCATGCAAAACGTAGCCCTGATTTCCTGGCAGCCCACAGTGTCCAGTCCCAGGAAAGCCCAAAGCCAAGAGTGGGTCCGGGCCCCACGGACACCAGGCGTGGCCCCCGCGCAGCGGCCAGTCCCAGAGTGGCCCCTACCTGGGCTCCCCCGAACAGCCTGCGGCTCCGGGTATGGCACTGGCCAGAGGCTGGAGGCTGGCTGAGGGCGGGCCCCAGGGCGTCAGGAGCGGGCTGCGTCCTCCTGTCCCGGAGGGCCCTGGTCTGGGCTGGGGCCGCGTCCACTGTGAGTTTTCTCTGCAGGGGGAGCCTGGCCAGGCGCTCCCTGCTGACAGGGCCTGCGCCATGTCTGAGGCACCCGCCACGCTGTGGCCCAGACAGGACCCGCCCTCAGGGTCATCGCGCCCCAGCCCACACCAGGCCGCAGCCCCACAGTCTGGTGACCGCGCGGGCCACGGAGACGGCCCCTCGGGGAGGGCTGGGGCGGGGTCTGTCCCGGCCTGAAGCGCCGCAGAGGGCCAGACGCGATGCTGGCCCCCAGGCCGCCGAGGCCCCCAGCCCGGAGCCTCCCCAGGCCCTGCAGCCGCCCGCCCCTGCCTCTCCAGCCGGCCTGGCCAGTGGGGAAGGGTCTATCTGGGACAGCCATGAGAGGTGAGGACCTTCTCGGGCACAGGCCAGGTGCCCTGAGCTGGGGCAGGCGGCGGTTGGCTTCGGGAATAATGTCGCAGGGAGCCCCCAAGCCAGCCGGGTCCAGGCCAGCCCCAGGGCCGCTCCCTGCTGCCCCAGCGGGGCCTCCAGCACAGGCTCAGCCTCTGGTGCCTGAGGGTGCTCTGGGGTTATCAGGAGCCAGAGGGGAGGGACCCCAGGAGGGCCGCAGGGAGCAGCGTCTTTCACCCTCAGGCCAGGCAGGGGTGGGAGCTCCGGGAGGGGGGCTGTCCCTGCCCCCCGAAGTCCCTGCTGCAGGCCCAGGAGGTTCGCCCAGCGTGGGGCGGAGGGAGGCCGGCCCGGGAGCTGGCACGCAGGAGCCCCCGTCCACGCAAAGCTGCAGCGCCAGCCCAGGGGAGCCTGGCTGGACCCCGCAGACACGGGGCAGCTGCCTCCCCATCCGCGGGGCCCTGGCTTCGGGTGCCAGAGCAAGCGCTGGGAGGGCCGCGTGGGCCTGGGCGCCCCCGCCACACACAGGACGCGCCGGGCTGGCCTGGGAAGGCGGTGGCCGCTCGGGCCGCTCGGGCATCTGTGAATCGGGCGCGCCTCGAGCTCAGCCACGGGCCCCGGGAGACCTGGCAGCTCCTCCCAGAGGTGGCCTTGGCAGGCCCGGCCTGGGCTCCCAGCGTGACGAGAGGGCGGGCTGGACGGCAGCCACGCGGGCGGCCCGGCAGGCCAGGGACCCCGTCAGAGCTGCACAGGCAGCTGCCCCAGCCTGGTCTCCGAGCCCTGGCCCTCCCCGCGCCCGCCCCGCCCGCCCAGAGGTGGCGCCTGCCCAGGGCCCGCGCACCGGCCGAGCGGGAGGCCAGCTGGGGGAGGCTGCCCCTCATTTGCTGTCACCTCCACAACCGCTTCTCCCTGGAAACACTTTCCGCCAATCAGACGGCCCAGCCCGGCTTCTGCGGGGCAGCTTTCATCCCGCTGCTGCTGGCCCCGCGCCAGGGCCCCGAAAATGCCGTCAGCCACCCAGACACGCTCTGGGAGGGAGCCCCGGCCTGGGTCCGGCCCATCTGCGCCCGTTCTGCCTGCTGAGGAGCCCCGGGGCGGGGACGACCCCAGTCTGGCTTCCTGGGGCTCCCGGGGGGTAGCGTGATGCAGACACGGCGGGCGAGGGCGTGCGGGCAGGCGAGGGCGTCCGGGCACCCCCCGCGCGCGGCTCCGGAGGCAGCACACCAGCCGAGTAGGTGGAAGGCGCTTTAATGTCACCAGAGGAGCCTGCACGGGCGGCCCTGCTCAGCCAGAGGCGGCGGGAGCCGGAGCGCAACGCCGGGAAACAGGTCGCGGGGCCGGGTTTGCTGCTCCCCGCCCCCGGCCCCCACAGGAGCTTTTCTAGAAAAAGGTAGGAAAAGTAGAAAAAGTAAAAAGAAGCGATTGCTCAGACGTCGCAAACGTACAAAGTTTAAAGGCACAGTGTCCGCGGGGCGGCGGCGGGGCACCCTGCGGGCGGGGCCCGCGGAGGCCTGGTCGGCGGCGCCGGGCACGGAGGGGGGCGGTTTGGGAGGCGCGGGCCAGCTTGGCCGGGCGGGGGCGGGGGGACTTGGTGCCCGACCTCCGCAGCCCTGCCTGGGCTCCCCGCCGGGCAGCCCCCCGGCCCCCACCCTGCAGCGCCTCCGGGGCCCGCCCAGCTTCCATTCCATCTTAATTCTACTCTCTGTACAAATCACTTCATTATTAAAGACAACGTAACACGGAACATAAATACATTTCAACAGCCTTCAAAACAAATCAAACACGTTTAAGCTTCAAATATAAAAGTTAAAAAAATAAAATAAAGGGACGTGTTAATCACAACTGAACCTCGCTTGGAGGCCGCCGCCGCAGGGCCCGCCCCAAGGCCGGCCCGACCCCGCCAGGCATCGGGCAGCGTCCCCGAGACCGCAGGGCCCCCCTTTGTCCTCTGGGCCGTGGCTGCCCTGTCCAGCCGGAGGCCGGCCTGGAGGAGGAGGCGCCGAGGCCAGCCCCCCTGCCCACGAGCGGTGGGGGCCAGCGGGCGGGGGTGCCGGGGAAGGCTGCGGCCGAGGCCGGGCTCCGGGCTCGGCCTCCTGCTCTGCCGCCTGGGCCGGGAGTGGCCGGGCGGCGGCGGCCTCAGGGCCGGGTCAGCGTGGTGTACACCGGCTGGTCCCAGGTGCTGGAGGGGCTGTGGGCGGGCGGCAGGGACAGGCTGCCGAGCAGGGGTGAGGGGTAGGGCCGGCGGGGCGAGTGGAAGTAGGGGTGCTGGTAGAGGCTGGGCGGGTAGCCGGGGTACGGGCTGTAGTAGCCGGGGGCCTGCAGGTCGGCGTAGTCGCAGGGCGGGCTGGCGAAGGCGGCCCCGCCGGGGGTGGCCCCGCCGAGCTGGCCGCCGTAGGAGCCCGGGTCGGCGCGGCCGGGGGAGCCGCGCGCCTGGTCGCCGTAGTGGCCGGGGCTCAGCTGCTCCGTCTTGATGTGCGGCCGCGGGGGCGCCCCCTCGGCGGGGGACGCGGAGGCCGCCGGGGCGCCCTTGTGCGCCCACAGCGGGGAGGCCCCGGCGAGCGAGCAGGCGCCGGCGGCCCCGCAGGACCCGCTGGCCGCCTGGCCGGGCTCGGCGGGCAGGGCCGCGTGGCCGCTGAGGGGCAGGTACTGGTCGAACTCGTGCACGTCGAAGGCGTCCATGGTGCCCATGACCTCGCTGCTCAGCTCCGAGATGTCCACGTTGCTGAAGTCGATGTTGTGGCGCCCGCTGTCCAGCAGGCGGCGCCCCTCCGGCTTCGGCTCCAGCTTGGCCCCGGGGTGCAGCTCCGTCTTGGGGGTGGCGGGCGGCGTGGGAGGCCCGTGGGTCTGCCCTGGGGACGGCGCGCGTCCGGCATGAATGCCCCTCTGTGGGCCGGCGGGCGCGGCTCTGCGGCCGGGCCGGGGCAGCGCCGGGAGGCCGCGGCGGCATCAACGGCTTTTTGTTCCCCGGTTCCCAGGGGCGCGGGAGGCCCCGGCCGGCCCGGCGCGCGGGGGCGGCAGCCCACCCAGGCCCGCGCCCCGCGGGGGCGGCCAGCCCGGCCCTGGCGCGGCAAGAGCGGGTCCGGCCGGCCAGCCCGAGCCCCCCGGCGCCCCCGCCCCCCGGCCCGGCCCGGCCCGGCCCCGCTCCCAGCCCCCCCCGCCGCGGGGCCCACCTGCGCGGTCACCCTGCAGGGGCGCGTCCCCCAGGGGCCCCTCCGGCTTGCACGGCGCGCCCGGCGGGTGGCCCGGCTCGGCGCCCGGGTCTGCGTCGCCCTGGCCGGCCCTGGCGCCCTTCCGGCGGCGCGGCTGGTACTTGTAGTCCGGGTGGTCCTTCTTGTGCTGGACCCGCAGCCGCTCGGCCTCCTCCACGAAGGGCCGCTTCTCGCTCTCGCTCAGCAGGCTGCGGGGAGGGCCCAGGTCGGCTCCCGCGGGAGGGGACCCCTGCGCCCCGCGGCGCCCCGGCCCGGGCCCGCCCCCGCCCGCCCGCGCTGAGGGCCGCTCCGGCTTCGGAGGCCGGCGGGGAGGAGCCGGACCCGCGAGAAGCACGTGCACAGAAGCCTTCCCGGGGCGCGGGATCCGGGCGGGCTGCCCGGGGCGCCGGCTGGCAGAGCCCTCGGGCAGGGCCCTGGGGCGCCGGCAGGACAGGGCCCCGCTGCAGGCCTGCGCTGCGGCGGCGCGGGCGGCCCCCAGCTGCCCCCAGGGGCCTGCGCCCCAGCCCGCCCCTTCAGAGCAGGCAGCGCCCCCGGCGGCGCCCGGCCCGCCGGCCCTTCCCGGACCAGCCTCAGCGCCCCGTGGGCACCGGCCGCCGCCGCCCGCGCTGTGCCGCGGGCCGGGAGGTGCCCGGGCTTCCCGGCCCCCAGCCGCTCGCCAGCCCGTCCGCGCGGGCGGGGCGGGCGCGGCCACCTCCGGGGAACGCGGCTGCCCCGCGCCTGGGCCCCGGGCCGCGGTCCTGCGCCCTGGCCCGCCCGCCTGGGGCAGCGGGTGCGGCGCGGGCAGCGCGGCCGGCGGGAGGCGGCGGGGCGGCCCCTCGGCTCCCGGCCCCCCGCGCCCGGCCCACTCACCGCCACAGCTTGCCCAGCGTCTTGCTGAGCTCGGCGTTGTGCAGGTGCGGGTACTGGTCCGCCAGCTTGCGGCGCGCCGCCTGCGCCCACACCATGAAGGCGTTCATGGGCCGCTTCACGTGCGGCTGGGCCTTGAGCGCGCCGCCGCCGCGCACGGGCACGGGCACCAGGCTCCAGTCGTAGCCCCGGAGCACCTGCGACACCGCGTCGCGGATGCAGGCGGGGAAGCGCTCGTCCGCCGCCGCGCCGGCCCCCGCGCCCCCGCGCCCCCCGCGCCCCCCGCGGCCCCCGCGCCCCCCGCGCGGCCCGGGCCCTCCGGGGCGGCCGGCGACGGCGACGGCGGCGCGTCCGAGGCCGAGTCCCCCACGTGCGCCGCGGGGCGGGGGGCGCCGGCCGGGCTGCGGGGCGGCGGGGCGCGCGGCGCGCTCATGTCCAGCATCGGGCCGGGCGCTCCGGCCGCGATCGCGCGGGGGCGCCGGGCCGCGCCGGCCGCTCTGGGGCCCGGGGTCGCCGCGCGGGCACCGATCCGTGGCCGCCGCCGCCGCCGCCGCCCGGGTCCCGGCGGGGGACCCGCAACAAGTTTCTTTAAGGGGCGGCCGCGAGGCTCCGCCCGCCGCCCGGCTCGCGATTGGCCGGCCCGCGCCCCGGGCCCCCGGGGGCGGAGCTGGCCGCCCCGCCCCGCCCCGCCCCGCCCCGGGAGCGCCCCGCGCCCGCCGCGCCCCGCGCCCCGCGCCCCGCCCGGCGCCGCACCACGTGGGCCGGCGCGCCCCGCGGCGGGGACGGGGCTCGGGCCGCCCCCCCGCCGGCCTCAGCGCCGCGGCCCTGCTCGGGCGAGGCGGCCGGAAGCGGGGGCCGGACACCGAGAGGCGGGGCGCACCCGGGGCGCCCGGGCGCCGTGCGCTCCCTCCGCGGGCCCCCGGCCGCTCCCGCCGCCTCGCCCGGGCGGCGCGCCCCGCGGGAGGCGGGTCCCCAGGGCCGCCCCCGACCGGCCCGTCGCGAGCCCCAAACTCCTCGCCCGCAGCCCAGGGCGCGGGGTCAGCGCTGCCCGCCCGCGGCCCGGAGAGGGTCGGCCCCCGCCCCGGCTCCCCGCCCGCGAGCCCCGCGCGACGTGCAGGCGCCGCCGGTGCGCACGTCAGGTAACGGGCGCCGGGCGCGGCGGAGCTGGGGCCGCCGTCCTCCCGCCCCGTCGGGGCGCGCGGCCGCGGGGCGCGAGGGCGAGGGGGGCGCGAGGGCGAGGGGGGCGCGGGGGCGAGGGGGGCGCGGGGGCGCGGGGGGCGCGGGGGCGCGGTCCCCGGGCCCGGGGCGGGGCCTGGGCCGGCTGGCTGCGGCGACCCGAGGCGGCCGGGCGGAGGGCGTGGCCGGACGGACGCGGGGGGCCGGGGCCTTCCCGGGGTGACCCCGGCGTGGGGGGCCGCGGGGGGCCCGCCGGGGGGCCCTGGGTGGTCCGGCGGAGGCCGAGGCCGCTCCGGCGCCCGCAGCGGGGAGGCGGGCGCGCCCGCGAGGAGGTGGGGGCGCGGGGTCGGCTGGGGGACGGTTCCCCCGGGCGAGCGCGAGCCGCGGATCCGAGTCCCCGCCCGAGGCCGCCTCCGCGAGTTGGCCTCGAGCCCGGCGCTCCCCGAAGGCGTCTCAGATTCTCCAGCCAGCGCCGTCGGAGGCCGGACTGGCCTCGCGAGCCTCTCCGCAGCGCCGGGTTGTGGCCGCCCCCAGGCCTGGGGCGCGCGACCTGCTCCCAGCGCGCCAGGCTCCCCATGAGCCCCCCCCGACCCCCAAGAGCCCCCCCGGCCCCCAAGAGCCCCCCCACCCCCCGCCGACGTCCACCCGGCCAGTGAGATCTGCCGGCCTGTCCCAGACAGTTTCGGGCGGCAAGTCCGGGGAAGCGTCTCCCCTCGCGCCGCGGGGCCACGGCGCGCCCCCCTGTCCGGCTTCTCTCCAGGCTCTAAGCTAACCTCCCGGAGGGACCCCACCTGCCGTCTGGGGAGCAGGTCTCCCGGACAGAGGGGGGCGGGGCTCCCAACCCACAGCCCCAGTGGGGACACGCGGGCCGAGGAGGGAGGGGCAGTGCCCAGGGCCTCGCCTCCTGCCAGCAGCCGCACCCGCCAAGCCCCTGTCCCAGGTGAGTGACCGCCTGCTGCCCTGGGGAGCCTGCCCTGAGCCGCACCGGGCCGCCCGGCTGGGAAGGGAGCTGTGCCCCCTGCAGGGCGGTCTGGGGTGGCCTCCTGCCCGCTCAGCCCTCTGCAGTGGGGGGCTGCTGAGGGAAGGCCAGGTGGGGCTGCCCCACGGGCCCTGCAGTGGAAGCAGGAGGTTAGAGGGGGTGGGGGATGACAGGCCTGGCGGACCACCCCGCCCCTGGGGGAGCAGACCCCAAAACACCCCGCGCCCGAGGCTCTGCTCTGCAGGGGACACAGCCGGGTCCCCCCACGCCCTGGGGGGCGTGCACAGCCTGTCCGGAGCCCCTGGGGCGGGAAGGGGACCACTGGCAGCCGTGGCGGGAGAGGCAGCAGGGCCGTGGGGGCTGGCCACGCCCGCCCTCCCGCCCCCGCCGCAGGCCCCTCGCAGACTGGCAGGTGCTGGGGGGCGTCCGCTCTGTATCTGCAGGCGGCGGGGCGGGCGGATGGCACATGCATTGGCCCCGAGGTGCCCCCAAAGCGCCCCGCCATCTTGAGCACCTCTAAAATGGCCAGGGTGCTGATCAGCTCCCCAGAGGTGCTGCAAGAGTGCAGAGCTGGGGGCTGGGGGGCCGGAGACACAGGGAGGAGTGCGGGGGTCGTGCTGGAGAGGCAGCTTGGAGGCGTCGCTGGTGAAGCCGAGACCTGAGCGTCCTACCCGCGGCCGGGAAAGCGCGCCCTCCGCGGGGCCGGCACGTGCGAGGGCCCTGTGGCAGCCAAGAGCACAAGCAAGGCCACCGCAACCGGGCAGCAGCCACCGGAGCCGCCCCTCGGCCCCTCCTGCCCCCGTCGGGGACTAGGCGCGCCTGTCTGCCCTTCCCCAAGCCCCCGCCCGCCCAGCGCGCACCCCACCTTCACCTGGCGAGCTCGGGGGTTTCAGGGAGACAACCCGACTGGCCCACTTGGACCAGGGGCCCTGGACCTCCAGCTCTGGGCGTGGACAGCTGCTGTCGGCACCTGTGGGGGGAGGCGTGCGATGGTGCCCTGTGCCCGACTAGCCAGGGCAGGCCTGGAGGACGCCGGGTCCTCAGCACCCCCCAGCCTTGGCTCCCGGGGCCAGTGGGCAGCGCGGGCGTGTGCTGCACGGACACGGCGGGCGGGCGGGGCTGCTGGGGCGGGTGTCCGTGGGGAGGCTCTCCCGTGCCCCTGCGCCAGCCCTGCCATCCGTCCTGGCCCACCTGCCCGCCTGGTGGGTGGTCCGGGCGGCAGTGCCCTATTTGGCTGTCTTTGAGAGAAAGGCGCTGGGGCTGGGGCCGCTCGGGAGGCAGGCGTCCTGGGCCAGTGTGTGCCTGAGGCCCTGGCCTGGCCTCTGGAAGCAATGCTGCTCACACTCTGGGGACCCTGCGCAGCCTCAGAGATTAATTGTTGCTTTTAATTCCTGGCTGGCCTGGCAGGGCCAGATGCCCAGGAGCCAGCAGCGACTGCGCTGGCAGCGGCTCTGTAAAGACAGCCTCCCCGGCCCAGCGGCCTCCAGAGGGGTCCTTCCCAGAGGAGTCCCGGGAGCCGCAGCAGCCGGACCCACCCACCCCCGTGATGGACTGGGCGCTGGCCCTGGCTGCAGCCCCCCTCAGCTCTCCATAGGCAAGGGCTCCGCCGGGCCCGCTGCTGCCCTTGTTGGCTGGTGTCCGCTCGGGAGCGTCCATCCTCGCCCTCGGTGCTGGGCTCTGCCCCTGCCTCTCCCCTGCCAGCCTGCGGGATGCTGGGTCAGGCGCTCCTGCCAAAGCCTCACCGGGCTCGGCGCTTGGCCTGGGACAGAGGCCCAGCCCCAGGCGGCTAAGCTGCCGCCGCCGCTCCCTGCAATGACCAAGCCCTGGCGTGAGGGCCTGGTTTCCCAAGAGGCGAACTCGAGGAAGCCGCTGGCAGGGGCGGCCGCTGCAGGCCCAGCAGCGGGACCCTGGAAGGCACCAGTCTGGCCCCCCGGCAGGGCTGTGGGGTCGGCCGCCTTGGTCTGAGGGCCCAGGAGCCGGGCGGGCCCAGCCTGCGCCCCAGGAGGCACTGCAGTGCCAGGAAGGGGCACTGCGAGGTCATGGGCCTTTAACCTGGGCCAGTCCAGTCCATTTGGGCAGCCGAGGGGTCTGCAGGCCTATGTGAGGCGGTTGGGGTGAGCGCAGCCCCCATGAGCTCACCCCCGCTGTCCAGCCTCCTCGGCGCACGCCCGGACACGCCTCCGAGGGCAGCAGGGACCCACCCCTTTTGGAATCAAGTGGCCTGGACCCGTCCTCGTGGCCAGCGAGGGACCCAGGAGGACAAGGTCCAGGGCAACGACCCATCCCTTGGCCTCCCCACCCCCTGAAACAGCAGGAGGCCGAGGGTCTGGGGTTTGGGGCCATCAGAGGTCCAGCGAGAGGGGCAGTGGAGGCCGCTGTGGCCTGCGGAGTCTCGGGCCCCACACGGGCGGGCCTGTGCAGGACGCCAGCCTCTTAGGCAGGGCAGCCGCGGCCGGCTCGGGACACCCGGCACGTGGCCCGCGCCTGCCAGTGCAGTCGGAGCGCAGCAGCCCGAGCCGCCCGCCCTCCAGAGGAGGGAGCGCCAGGTGTTGGCGCCCGTCGGCCCCTGCGACAGATGCCAAGACGGGGACCGCGGGTGAGCCGCGGGCCGGGCTCGGGGTGCCAGGAGCAGCTGCAAATGCTCGTCGGGGACAGCTGGCCTGAGGTGGCGGGGCTGCCAGGCCGGGGCGGACAGCTGGGAGGTGCCGACGTGGGCCCCCTCGAGCCGGCCCGCAGCTGCTGGGACCCCTGCCAGCCCCTGCAGCCTGGGGCAGGGGGGCAGTAGCAGGCCCGCCCAGGGGACAGCCCGTCCCGAACCAGGTCTCTCCTGGGAGACCCCTTTCTGCCCTCCCGACCTGTCCACTGTCCTTTGTCCGGGGCCGGCCTCTCCCCGGCACCCACACCCTGGCTGTGCGGTCCATGGGAGGTGCTGGACAGGACTTGGGGGGCAAGGGCCCTGGGCCACCTTCTCGGGGCGGGAGGCGCCCTGGAGAGGGGCAAGCTCGGCACAGGGCCGCGATGGCACCCCAGACCAGGCCGCGCCTGCTCTCTGGGTGAAGCCCAGCGGCGCAGACTCCCCAGCTTTCAGCAGACAGTTCCGTGGCGCCGGGACCCCCGGAGCAGCGCCGTTGTCCACGGGAGACTGCCCGCGCCCTGCCACTGGCCCGAGTCCTGGGGCGCCGCGTCTGGGGCACATCTGCACCTCAGCGAGGACTGAGGCTTCATTCTCCATGGCTGAGAACCCCGGGGCCCCCTCCTCAGCCAGCCTGCGCCGGGGGCCGCCGGGAGACCCCAGGAAATGGACGTGAGCTCCGCAGACCCCTCTGAGCCTCGCCCACCCTGGGCCGAGCAGGGCCAGTGGGGGGAGCACGTGGGACAAGCCCTGCTCTGCTCATACAAGGCCCCATTGTGCCCGGAAGCCGTGCCACCCGGCCAGGGGAACAAGCACAAAGGGCCTTTGTGCTGACCGTCCCCACCTGAAGAGCAGCACCCGGCTCACACCTGATAGCGGGGCAGCCCTTGCTCACCTTTGCCTGAGCAGCTCATGCAGCAGGATGGACCAGGGGCGGGTGGGGCCGCAGGTGCTGGCGTCTCCCTGCCCTCCCCAGATGGCCATAGTGGCCCTCCCAGGCACCTGGACGCTAGGAGGAGAGGAGCTGTGCATTCTCGTGGGAGCAGGACGCGGCCGGGCTGGCCCTCCACCCCCATGGCCCGAGCCTTTGCGCACGGGGGCTCTTGGGGTCACGTCTTGCAGGCACCCTACTGCACGGCCGCCTCCAGTGGAGGGCTCTTTTTGGAACAGGAGACTTGGAGACACCCCACTGAAAGGTGCACACGTGCCGTTACCCCAGCAGCGGGGGAGGCTGCTGGAGCTTGGGGCAGTTCCAGGGGTGGCTGATCTGGGGAACCAATTAGATTTGGGGAACCTTATAGGCAGGGCCAGTGTCTGCCCTCGAGCTCCCACCACAGGTGGGGAAGATATAATTATGCAAGAAGGACTGATGATTGGACCACAGAGGGATTGATTAATAATTTATGTGTCACAAAACTGGGAACCAGAAGTGAAAAACAAACAGCCGGAGCAGGATAACCATTTGCAGCACATGCACTAGAATAGGATCTTCAATACGTAAAGAGCGCTGGAAAATAAATAAGGAAAAAAAACACAAGCCTTGATGGCTGACTTCCGGGCACCCCATGGTCCACTCAGTGACCGGTGGTTGTACAGTCCACCCTGGCCGCAGGCCCCTGCCCGTCGGCAGACCTCCACCTCCTGAGCAGTGGCTGGGCTGCTCTACCCTCCTGCTGCAGAGCTGCTGGTGTCCTCCGGGGTCTGCGTAGGTCACGGCCTGTTCCCTTCCACAGACGGGGCGTCCACGCGCGCCCCAAGCCCCCCGCGGCACTCCGGGGCTGGAGCGCGGCCAGCCCACTTCTCCCTGCACATCTTTCGCGGGCAGCTGGAGGCCCAGGCCGGTGGGAGCGCTGCCTGCCTGGGGCCTTGCTGGCCTGGGCTCGGGTGGGGGCACCAGAGGGGCTGGCTGGGCTCGCGGCCGGTGGCCGGCCTCCCAGCTGCGCGCCCGGCCGGCCTGGACAGGGGCCTCTGGGTGGCGGCCTGGATTCCCGGGGTGCCGCGGCTGCCCTGACCTTTGCGCTCGCGCCACGAGCCGGGCTCCGCGGGGCTGGCGGGGGGGGGGGGGGGGGGGGGGGGGGGGGGGGGGGGCGCTCGCCCTCCCGGGGCGCGTCCTGCTGCGGTGCCCGTCGCGGCCGCCGGGGGCGCTGCGGGGCGGGGCGGGGCCTCCGGCTGGCGCCCGCGCATGCGCCCTGCAGCCCGGCCATGGCGGCGCCCGCGGGGCCGCTGAGGCGGCGGAAGGCGGCGGGCGCGGGGCCCGGGGCGCCGCCCTCCCCGGGGCGCAGTCCCGCGGCCGGCCCGGCCCGCCTCCGCGCGGGCACCTTCTGGCTGACCAGGATCGCGCTCCTCAGGGCCCTCGCTTTCGTTTACTGTGAGTCCGCGGGGGCCGGCGCCCCCACCCAGCGCGCCCCCCGCGCCGCGTCCCGCCCCCGGGCCCCCCGCCCCCAGGCCCCCGCCCCCGGACCCCCCGCGCCTGGACCCCCCGCGCCCGCGTCCCGCCCCCGGGCCCCCGCGCCCGGGCCCCCCGCGCCCGGGCCCCCGCGCCCGGGCCCCCGCGCCTGGACCCCCGCGCCCGGGCCCCCGCGCCTGGACCCCCCGCGCCCGCGTCCCGCCCCCCGACCCCCCGCCCCCGGGCCCCCGAACCCCCGCGTCCCGCCCCCGGGCCCCAGCGCCTGGACCCCCCGCCCCCGGCCCCCAGCGCCTGGACCCCCCCCCCCCCGGCCCCCAGCGCCTGGACCCCCCGCCCCGGGCCCCCAGCGCCTGGACCCCCCCCCCGCCCCCGGGCCCCCAGCGCCTGGACCCCCCCCCGCCCCGGGCCCCCAGCGCCTGGACCCCCCGCCCCGGGCCCCCAGCGCCTGGACCCCCCGCCTGGACCCCCCGCGCCCGCGTCCCGCCCCCGAACCCCGAACCCCCGCGCCCTGTCCCCGGGCCCCCCGCCCCTGGACCTCCCCCGCGCCCGCGTCCCGCGTCCCGCCCCCCGCCCCCCTGCACCTGCAGGTCCACACCCCCCCCCCCCCCCGCCCGCGCCCCGCCCCCGCCCCCGGCGTGTGTAGACGCACCCCCAGCCCGCGCGCGCCCCTCCGCCCTTCCGGGCCCCCAGGGAGTCCGGGGGGTGCTCGCAGGGACTTGGCCTCAGTCCCCCAGCCCGGACCCCGAGTTCCGGCCGCTGCCCCCCGCCTCGCGCCCCCGGACTGGGGTGGCGGGACCCCCGGGAGCTGGCGGGCGCCGCGGGGAGACCCGCAGCCGCCGCCGGGCGGGGAGGGGTGCGCCCGGCTGCGGGCCCGGGGCCCGGGGCTCGGGTTCGGGGCGCCCCGCGCGGGCCAGGTCCGCCCTCACGCCGGGGGCCGGGCTGCCCCCCGGGCCTGTCCGCGTCCCCGCGCCCGCCCCGCCTCCGCCCGAGCCCCCCGCAGCCCCCGCAGCCCCCGGGCCGGGCCCAGCCTGTCCCGCCGCCCGGGCCGGGCCGGCACTGGGGTCTGGGCCCGGGCGGGCGCGCGGGGCGGGCGTCTGGGGGCGCGGGGTCCCGGCCGCGCGGGGCCTGCGGGGTGTCCGCGGGGTGTCCGCGGGCCGCGCTGGCGGCGAGGCCTTTGCCTTTGCGGGTCTCCCCAGCCGGCGCCTCCCGCGGGGCCGGCCCGGCCGGTTTCGGGGCGCCGCCAGCGGCCGGGCGCGCTTCCTGTGCGGTCGGGGCGCTCGCGGCCTCGGGTCTCGGGGTCGCTTCGTTCGCGCCCTGCGCCCGCGGAGGCCGGCGCCCGGGGCCTGGCCCGGCCTTGGTGCTCCTCTCCCTTCCCCCCGGCCCTCGAGTTCGTGACTTCTGCTCTTTCTAAACTTTTTAAATTTTTTCCTGGTGCCTTTTTTTTTTTTTTGAGATCTATTTATGCCCCCAGGAGCTGGGGTGCAGGCCAGGGGTGTGGGGGAGAGGGCACCCGCCGGAGCAGAGCGGGCGGAGCAGGAGGAGCGGCGGGGCAGCGGGCAGGAGAGGCTGGGCCCTGTGGGCTGGGGCCTGGACAGCTTCGCAGCGGGTGCTTAACCCCTTGGGCCCCAGGGAGGCCCCCCTGCTGCTTTTAGGTGTGATTTGGTCCTGTTTTCCAGCGTTTTTAAAGTAAAGGTTTAGATTTGATTTCCTAACACGCTCGTGGTGTTTTCCTTGAGGGCCGCTTCAGCGCGTCCCACAAGTTTTGATACGTTGTGGTTTTTTAATTTTTTCCCATTAAAGATACCTGGTGGGGCCTTCCCAGTGGCGCAGCAGGTCGAGCACCGCGCTGTGAGGCTGCGGCGCGGGCTCCATCCCCGGCCGGCGAGGGTCCCGCCTGGCGCGCAGACCCCCCGCCGCTCCCCGCAGCAGGGGGCTTCGTCCGTCTGCTGCTCTGCTCCCGCTCTGGCTCTGGCGGATCCGCTCAACCTCGCGCGCCGCTGGCCTGTCCTCTGTTCAAATCCATGTGTTTTTTTAGAAGGAAATGGTTTAATCTCCAGAGATCCGGGTATTTCCAAATTACACCCTGTTGCCAACTTCTGATCTAATTTGCGCGCGGGGAGCTGACGCTGCGGGCGGGACTTCCCTGCTTGCTGACGCTCGCGCCGTGGCTCCAGGGGGCCGTGTCTCAGCGAGTGGTCCCTGTGTATTTGATAGCCACGTGCGCTTCGGTTAGGCAGAGTGTCCTCGAGCTGTCCGAGCGTCCTCTCTTGCTTTCTTGTGACAATCACGAGTGTCAGGTGAGCCGGGTTGATGCGCACATGTAAACCACATGCGTCTGACCGTTGGACCCGTCTGTACACGCGTGCGGTCTGAAGGCTAGGTGGGTACACCTGAGCTTGCTGTTAGGTGCGTGCACATGCGGTGCGGCTGTGTCCACGCGTCATGCCCTCGTCACCACAGTGCCGGGCCCTGTGCCCGCACCCGCTGCCCCCGGCAGTGCGTTGAGGCCCGGCTGTCTCTCTGCTCTTGCCGTGAGACTGTCTTTATGTCAGGTGCGGATTTCTCGTGGAGAGCATAGATTTGGGTCCTGCTTTGTTGTTCTGTTCTGCACGAGTGAGCCCTTTCCGTCTGGGTGCCTGTGTCCCGCTCACTCTGCTTTTCACCTGCTGTGAGCACGCAAATCCTGGTTTTGCTTTGGGCCGCGGACGTGTTCCCCACAGCTCCAGACAGCAGCTGTGAACCAAGAGCCGGTCTCAGCCCTGCTGGGATGCGTTTCCACTCGCTTTACAAGTGCATGTTGTGTGGCTTTGGGCAAAGCGTGGGCAGTGTTGCGGGACCCTGCTGTCCCTGACTGCGTTTCCCGGGCGCGTCCATGGGTGTCCCCAGCCTGGCTGTGGGCCCCCTCCCCGCCTCTCCTCCCCCGGGGCTCTGCGCGGGCCGTCGGGAGCCAGCGTGGCCCGGTGCAGCTCACCTGCGCGCAGCAGTCGGTGCGCTGTGCGTGGAGGGGCGGGAGGGTTGCCCCCGGCTCGGTGGCCTGTCCTTGTGACTCACACACACGGCAGAGGCATGTCTGTGCTGTGCACACGGCGCGCATGTGTGTGGAGATGCGGCTCACACGGGAGCCCACTAGCCTTGCTGTCCCCCGAGGCGCCAGACATAATCAGACCGGACCCGTGTCCCAGCCCCGCCTGCTCACCAGCCTTGTCCCCTTGTCCGCAGTTGTGGCCTTCCTGGTGGCCTTCCAGCAGAACAAGCCGCTGATCGGGGACCGCGGGCTGCTGCCCTGCGCCGCCTACCTGCGGAGCCTGCGGGTGCACTTCGGGGGCACCTGGGCTGCCCTGAGCCACGCCCCCACCTTGCTCTGGCTGCTGGACTGGTCGCACATGGACACCAACCTGGACGCCCTCGCGCTGCTGGGCCTGGGCATCTCCTCCTTTGTCCTGGTCGCCGGCTGCGCCAACATGGTCCTCATGGGCACCCTCTGGGTCCTCTACACCTCGCTGGTCAACGTGGGGCAGATCTGGTGAGCAGCAGGGATGGCAGGTCGCTGCCGTCAGGGGTCAGCCCTGCGGGCGGTGAGAGGGCCGCTGCCCGCCCGAGGCGCGGGGCCCTGTAGGGGAGGGACCCCTCAAACTCCTGCCGGCCTCCCTGGGCATGGCCCTGCCTGCTGCGCAGGGCTCGGATCAAGGGCCTGACTGTGTCCTGAGTGTCGTGGCCCCCTGCAGGAGGGGCTGTGGGCGGCTGGTGCGGGGGCCTGGGCCTGCGGGGGCACGGACTCCAGCACACACTGACCCGGTGGGGCCGGCCCCTGGGGGCGGGGCGGGGCAGGTTCCCAACTCGTGTGTCCATGAAGGGTGATAGCTTTGGGGTGTCCTGGGAGAGGAAAGGGGTTTACTTTTCTGGCTCCCCAGTGAGAGTCCCACACGATCTGCCCCTTCGTGTCCGTCCTCGGCGTGGGGCGGCGTCTGTCGGGGCAGGCTGCCCAGAGGGTGGGCGCGGGGAGAATGTCTCTCAAGTGTGGCCAGCGGCGCCCCGCGGGGACAGGAAGCCTGCTCGGAGGAGGCCCCGGGAAGGTGCTCCTGCGGGGGCGGGGGGGGGAGGGGGGCTGCCGGCGCCTCTAGCCCCACCCGGGAGCGGGACCGGGTCAGAAGCGGCGGGCAGGCCACCCTCGTTCCGAGAGGCCAGGGAGCCAGGAAGGGGGCTCGGCCCTCTGGGTGAGGGGCTTATGCTTCCTGTGGCGAGGCCTGGCAGGCCTGTCTAGGGGGTGTGAGGCCGTGTGGGGTGCCTGGAAGTGGGGGGGCCCTAGCAAGCCTCGCTGCAGTCGCTGCTCACCTGTGGGGGGCGGGCGGGGGGGTTGCCAGCACCCTCACATCACGTGGGCACCGCTCAGCCCAACGACCACCCCCAAGGGCCTGGTCTGGAGGGGCCTGGGGCGCAGGCACCTGAGTGGGGGTGCCAGTGTCGGGGCGCTGGCTCGGCTGTGCAGGCGGGAGCGACCCATGGGGGCGGGGCTGCCCGCTGGCCCCACTCCTGGCCAGTAAGGTCGGTATTGGGGATATGGGGCCCCTTGCCAGGCCTGGGGTGGCCTCTTGTCAGGTGGGCAGCACCGACCCTCAGCGGGACCCCGACCCAGGTCCCGTCCAGCCCCACGTGGCCTGGTGCGCCCGGCCCCCCACGCCTGTCTCTGGGCCCGACGAGGCGCAGGCTGCCCGGGCTCGGGGTACCCTCAGTGGGGCCGCCCGAGGCCTCCTGGCCAGGGCCTCCCCACCACGCCTGACTGCTGGCCGAGGCCCCTGCCCACTGTGGCCGCGCCGGGGAGGACGCAGGCTGCTGGCCCCGCCGCGGGGCCGACTCCCGCCCTGGCGGCACCGAGCACGTCGGTCGGTGACGTGCGTGTCTGTCCCCGAGGGCTGGAGACGCCCGGCGGCCGCACCCCCGGCGCGGCAGCAGAGTGGAACCTCCCAGGACCCCCGGCCTCGCCCCTGGCGCCCTCCCCACGAGAGGGTCGGCCGGTGCGCCTCGCCGCCCGAGGAGAAGGGCTGATCTGCAGAAGCTTAGGCTGCGGTGGGGCTTCCCGCCCCTGATGCGGGAAGAGGCTCAACTTCAACCCCCCCCCAGGGGCCGGCCTGTGCTGCCCCCCACCTGCTGCCCGTTTTGGCCTCGTGGTCTGGCCCCCCGCCCCCCGGGCCCTCAGGCGTAGCCCGGCGCATGAGGAGCTCCAGCCGGCCGGACCCCGGGCAGCGGCTGCGGGGGGAGGCTGTGGGGAGAAGGGCGCCTGCGCCTGGGCCCAGTCCCCTCAGGTCATGCCCCGGGAGAGCGCCCGCCCGCCGTGGGGGCCGTGTCCCCCCAGCCACTGCAGCTGCGGCGCCCGCGGTGGCCCGGGGTCCTGAGGGTCTGGCCAGGGGAGCTGCTGGCGGCCCGCGAGATGCCTCCCCCTCTGTTTTCCAGGTACTCTTTTGGTAAGTGGCACGGAAGACGCTGCCCCCGCGCGTCCCGCACCCTCGCCGCCTGCTCGCACGGCGTCGCCTGGCCTTGTCAGCTGCCCTCTCCCCGGAGTCCTCGCCAGGCCACGGGCGGCGGGGCCCACTTGTCCTCCCGCCCGTCACGGTGTCCCTCGGTCCCTGCGGGAGTCAGCTGCCCCCCCAGAGGAGGCCCCGCTGCACTGCCCTGGCAGGGTGCCCAGAGACCACAAGTCGCCAAGCCCAGGTCCTCATCCTGTGGGTGAGCGCCGGTGACAGCCCTCGGGGTGGGCTCCCGGGAACAGGGCTGCAAGGCCGGGAAGCCTGGATAAAGCTGGCCCGCTCATGGGCCCCCCGGAAGATGTGGGGGAGCAGAGGGCAGGCTCGGGGTGAAGGACATTCTGCGTGCCCAGGACGGGTGGCGCCCGCACCCGGCACCCACCTCCGGGAGAGGCTATGTAGGGCTGTCCCTCACGCTGCCCGCCCCTGCCCGCCCCCGGGGCGCTCCCTGGGCGGCTGGCCTCCGGGCAGGCCGTGTGTGTGTGTATGTGTGTGTGTGTGTGTGTTTCTGTGTGCCCTGCATGTGTGTGGGCGTGTGTGCTTCCGTGTGCCCTGCACGCGTGTGTGTGCATGGCAGGGCACCTACCTGGGCGGTTGTTGGAGCCCCCGGCCGGTGCTGACGGTGCTGACGTGAGGCCGAGGTGCTCCAGAGAGGGTCCAGAACCCACAGTGCCCGCGCCACCTCTGAGGGGGCACAGGGCCTGGGGCGGTCTCCTCGGGCCCCGCCCGCCCTGCGGTGCTTCGCCCACACGCACTGATGGTGGGGGCCCTTCCTGGGCGGTGTCCGGGACAGGGCGCAGGGCCTCCCCAGTGTCGCTGCGGGCCGCTTGTGGTGCTGGGGTTCAGGGGGGCCTGTGTGGAGGAGCAAGAGGCCCCGTCATGGCCCACGTGGCTGGGGCGGGAGCCACAGAGGAGGGACGCCCGGGCCGGCCCTCAGGCTCGCGGGCGCGGTGCGGAGCCGGGCAGATGTGGACGGGCCCTCCCGTCTGGTCTGTCCGGTCCGTCCGCAGACCTGAGGGCCGGGAGGAAGCCAAGGCAGGGCGCGGGGCCAGGCTCCGCATGGACACCTGAGGGTGAGCTGCGCTGAGGCCCTGCCAGGGGTGGCACAGCCTTTGTGGTGGACACTCTTGGCGGCGGGGCCTCCGCCTCTGCCCTGCATGGCCTTGGGTCGGCCCTGCTGGTCACCTGCGCAGGCCTCTCCCCCGCGCCTGGCCTGGGGCACCCTGTGACCACCCTTCTCTGCCTCAGGTTGCGCTTTGGAAAGGGCGGCAGGGGTTTACTGGCCCTGTTGGTCCATGCCCTGGTCATGCCCTGGTCAGTGGAGGCCTCTCGGCCAGGGTCTATCCCCCGCGACCACAGAGAGGCCTCCAAGTGGGGCCCTTCCAGACTCACTCCAGGGCCGCGGGTCGCCCCAGGGAGAGAGACCACACCAGGCCACTTCTTGGGTTTTCCTTGGGGCGGGTCTGCAGGGCTCCGCCCTCTCAGGTGTGGCCTCCGGGCTGGCCCCTGGGCCGAGCCTTCTAGAATGGTGGTGGCTCTCCCCCAGGGCTGGGGCAGCCGCTGCCAGGAGGAGCAGGGCCCCCCGGCCCCGCACATGCTGCAGGGTAGGAGTTGGGGGTGCTGCAGGCTCGGTCTTGGATGATAGGGACGTCTCTCCTGTATCCTCAGTACCGCTGTCACAGATGTGGTCTTCCTTAAATCGATGTTTTGCCTTTATGTCGTTACTGTAAGCTTTGTTGCCTAGTGAGCCGATAGCGGATAGTAACGCCTTTCACTGTTTGTTTTTCCTGGAGTTCGCAGTTGCTTCTGTTTTGGTTTCCTTTATGCGTTCATCTGTGATCTGGCTCAGATTTGTTCCAGACTCACCAGCATGACTGCTGGGCCCCTCCTACTGCTTTGCACAGACTTGAGCGCATTAGATCACCTGTCAGCTCCTTCTCTGGAGCTCGCCTTCACCACCCAGAGTGGGCATGTCTCAGGCCTCTGGATTTTGAGATTGTGGTGTGGAGTAACTCCTGGCCAGGTCTGCTGCCCCTCGCTGACTGGTGGTCAGGGTCCATGGTTCACGGTGTGGGCCCTTGTTTGTGCGGGGACACGCCTCCACCGCCTCTTCCCCAAGGGTGTGCAGTATTTCCAGACCATATTTATGCCTTTTTCTTGGTGGTCTTGATGTAAAGACAGCTAAAAGTGGGTGCTGTCCATCTGCCTGGTGCTAGCAGCAGCCTGGCCGCATCCTGTGGCCCCACGTGGCTCCTCCGGCCAGGTGAGCCCATCCTCACCACGGGCAGCCCGTGGCCAGAGCGGGGCTGCTGGCCCATCAGACCACCGCGGCTGGTCAGACCTCAGAATCTGGCGTGTGTCCTGAGCCTCCTGGCTCTGGGGCTGCCTTGTCGGGTACGACAGGACACGGCCAGCCTGACCTTTGCCAACACAAGGAACAGGGGGACATTGTTGGCCTCACCCCGGGGAGCAGCTGTGTGCCAGTTTCTTTTGTAAATGCTTTGATATTTTAAGTCAGAAATTTCAAACGGGGAAGCCTTGCTTTGTTGCTGTTACAATAGCAGCCCTTGTCTGCCCGCTGAATGGCGGCACAGAGACCCGTGGCCCCAGTGCTGCACAGGCCCCCCCCGCACCAGTGTGCTCGCTCTGGGGGCGGCCCTTGCGCCCCTCTGCTGGCAGCCCTGCAGCCCGGCTGCTCCCAGCGGGGTTTGGCTGCGAGAACGCCAGGCGAAGGCTGGTGAGCAGGCAGGCCGGGCCCTCGCCGGGCGTGCGTGGGTGCCGTGGACCGCTCTGCCAGGGGCTGCGCACCCCTTGGGGTGGGCACTCCCCGCCCCCCGCCAGCTTCTCCCGAGTGGGGCCTGTCTGTCCGTCCATGGTCCACACCTGCCCTGCTGCCACCAGGTGTCCACCCCACGTGGGCCGGGCGAGGCCAGGGCCGCTGTCCCCGCAGTGGGAGGCCAGGGGGGCATGCACTGCCGTGTGGGGCCCACCATGCCAGCCTCCTCGCGCGCCTCGGGCAGCAGAGCGGCCGAGCCTGGTGGCAGGTGGCCCAGCACAGCCAGGGGTCCGGGGAGCTGTGCCGGCCGTCCCCAGGGCCGCATGGCCTCGGGAGCCCCCACCACGCGGTGGAGGAGCCGCGCGTGGTGCAAGCGACTGACCCCCAGCTGCCACAGCCACCGCTGGGCCTGCTGTCGCTCGTCGTTCCGCCTCTGCTGCCCAGCACCCCCGGTGCGCCCCCGCCCCCCTGCCCGGGCCGGCCTGCTCAGCCGGGTCTGGGTCTCCCTCTGGAAGAGCTGCTGCCCAGCGGCTGGGTCCCTGCCCTGGCCAGGCCCGGCCGCTCAGGCCTCCATCGGGGCGAGGGCTGTTCGTCTGTCCGCACCCGTGTCCGAGGCGGTGGAAGTGGCCAGCAAAGCGGAGGGGCCGTGCCGCGCGCCCCGCGAGGCCATCACAAGGCGCACACTCAGCTCCCGGACCGCGCCCCGGAGCCCTGTGTGCTGCCGCCTGCTCGCCGCGGACACGCCAGGGCCCTGCTCCCCGTGCCCTGCCAGCGGGCGGCTCAGGCTTCCCGGCGCGTCAGGCCCTCAGGGCAGCCCTCCCCGTGCATCTCTGTCGGGAAGCGGCCTGCGGCCCGGGGGCCCCTGCTGGGCGTCCCGGAAGCTTTGGGGTCTCCTTGGTGCCTTTCTGCACACGGGCGCGTGCCAGTGTTCCCCGCCCTGCCCTCCGCCCCACGGCCCTCCCCCGCCACCCGCTGCCCGGCCCCTCCTGGCCCCTCCTCGCGCTCGCCGGCCGCCTGCTCTCGGGTCTGCTGTGCTCGAGCGGGACGTCCATGCGGCCCTTTCATCTCCCTGTCCCGGACTCTGGCTCTTGCTGCCTCGGGGGTGCGCTGGGGCCCTGGGGGTGCGGCGGGCTTGGCCAGGGCTCGTGGGGCCAGGTGGGTGGCCAGCAGGGAAGTTCTGGGCCCCGCCTGCGCCTCGCGGTGGGCACCTGCCTGGGTCAGCGGCCGCGGGGCTCCTGGTGCCGTGACCAGTGTGGGCAGCAGACCTGTGGGGCTTGCCTGCCCCTGCGTGGGCACCGCCCGGCGGGGAGGCTGCAGGCTGGAGCGCCCTCCTGGGCCTGGGGCCATTGGCAGGGGGCGGGGCTCCGCAGGAGTGAGGGGCGCCAGGGGATGCTCGCGAGTGGCGAGGGCGGGGGCTCCGCAGGAGTGACGGGCGCAGGGCCCGCTCCTCCCATTAGCAGCGCACTAATGGGTTTCCTGCTCCCCGCGGACGGGCTGTCACTTTGAAGGGCCTGCACGTGCTGTTAATCGCGCCTCCCTGGTAACGGGGCCCTGGGGGCTGCACGGCGTCTGCTTCCAGGGCGGCCCTGCGTGTCCACCTGCGACCCAGCATCCAGGCAGCCTTATGCTGGCCAGTGGTGGCCCTGCAGACTGCCCTGGACTCCGGGCTCCTGGGCCCCACCTCACTCCTCTAGCGAGAGCCGGCCAGGCTGGGAGGGGCCCGGGTCCTGAGGCAGGCCGCGGCCCAGAATCCTGGCCTGGGGGCACAGGGCCAAGGGGCCCCGGGGGAGGAGGCCCTCCGCCAGACGGCCCCAGTGGTCCTCCTGCTTGGGCAGTGTCGCAGCCGTGCCCGGACGCAGACCCTGGCCTGGGGTGTTCTCCCCGCATTGTCCCCGGCGCTGGTGCTGGCGTCTTGCCTCTGCAGGCCCTGCCTGCTGGCCCGACCTGTGGGCACCCTTGTGGCGTGGGAGGACAGGCCCCGCGTGGCCCCATGGCCGGAAGCACCGCCCGTGTCTGTGGTCGTGGGGTGAGGGTGCACAGGGGCCCCGCCGGCCCTAGCCCAGTGACGCCAGCACCGCCCCCAGGGCCTCGGGGCTGCCCTCTCGGCCAGCCAGAGACTCACAGGCATTGGCAAGTGAGGGGGGCCGGTGACCACACCCCTGCAGGAAGCTGTGGGGCTCGGTGGGCCGGGCTGGCTGGCGTGTCTGCGCTCGTCCTGGGCGGCTGTTTCTCCCCAGAGGCCGCCGGTTTGTCCACAGAGCGGGCCCACAGGCGCCCTGGGACGTGGCGTCCCGCTCTGGTGGCCAGCCCTGCTGCGGCTCGGCTTTCGAGGTCCCCGGCGGGGTCAGAGGGCGCAGGGTGGCGCCTAGTGTGCTCCCGCCGCCCTCCCCACCCGCGGCTGCTCTGGCTGGCGTCGCGCAGGCCCCGCGCTGAATCCCGCAGGCCGCGTCTGCGAGCAGGTGCCGCGGCCGCCCCCACTGAGCCGGGATGCCCTTCCCAGGAAGGAGGGCTATTCACGGGCAGCGCCCCCCACCCCCAGGTCCCCTAGGGCGGGCTCCACACTCACCTGCTGTGACCCGCCAGGGGCCACTTCGCGGCCTGTGGACAGCACCGGGGCCTCCCAGCAGGCGAGCGGCCCAGGCCTGCGGGGCCTCCTGGACCTGCCCCAGGCTGTGTGGCGCTCCCCAGCCTGTCCCAACCTGCGTCTCCCAAGGAGCGATTGGGACCCGGCATCAGAAATCCAGGCGTGAGTGAACGCCCCCCCGTTTCATGATGAGAATTTCAAATTCCAAAACTCCCCAGCACCTGCAGGAGGAGACCAGGCCATGGGCCGCGCCCCACCTCCGCGCTGGGCGCCCCGCCCTCGGACCTGCTCCTCGGAGCCCTGCGGGGCGTCCCCGGCCCCAGAACGGGCGAAGGGTCAGGCTCCTGCAGGGCCAGGCAGCGCCCTCTGCCCCAGGCAGGGGTCAGCTCCACCCTGGCCCCGCACAGCCTCCTGCCCCCCGGCGGCGGCTGCCGTCACCCTGCGTCTCCTTCCAGGGTGGGAGTCCCAGCTCCTGGAGACGGGGTTCCTGGGGATCTTCCTCTGCCCACTCTGGACGCTGTCCCGGCTGCCCCGGGGGACCCCCACGTCCCGGATCGTCCTGTGGGGCTTCCGCTGGCTCATTTTCAGGATCATGCTCGGAGCGGTAGGTGCCAGTCCCCGCGCCCCACCCCACCCCTCAGGCGGTCCCCAGGGCTGCACCTCCCAGAGCCCCCCGCCCTACAGGCCTCTCCCCCAGCACTGGGCCGTGGCCTGCGGCCTGCTCCCCCACCCATCTCCGCCCTACGGAAGCGGCCCCACCATGTCTCGAGCATCGCCTGGGCCTGGAACTCTAATGGCGCCACCCCTCCTGGCAGGCTCCTGGGGGCCGGCGCCCCGACCCCACCCCCGCTCCTGGGGCCCGGGGCCCGGCTGGTGTGGCCCGGGCCAGCGCGGGGCTGCGTCCAGGTGCAGGGGTCACCCTTCGGGTGGGGCGCAGACGCCAGTGGGCTGGACTCATGCATGCCCCCTGCAGCTCGTGGCTGCCCCCTCCTGGCCCCGCGAGCACAGAACCCCGACGTGCCCCAGGATGCCTCAGAGCCTCCTGGGGGGCAGGTGGGACGCGGAGGGCAGACTGGTGCCGGGTGAGGGCGGTGGTGGCTGCTGGTGGACTACCCGCTGGCCAGCAAGGAGGCCCAGGAGGCCGGCCGTGGGGAGGGGGCCCGGCGCTCCACCTGGTGCTGTATGAACCCCCGGTCTGGACCTGGGGCCCAGGGGGCCTGCCGGTGCCTGGCCAGCGCGTCCCCACGGAGGAGGGCGGCGGCGGGGACAGCCCGCCCGGAGTGCCGAGCAGGAGCCCGGAGGCTGTCTCACAAGGTGACCCCTCGACCACCTGGCTGGCTGCTGGGGGGCGGGCTGAGCAGAGGTGCCAGTGCGGGGGCCAGGCAGGGCTCCCAGCTCCCCGCCCGCCAAGGTGGCGGAGCTGGGCGGGAGGCTGAAGGGGCCAGCGGCAGAGACAGGCGCGGCAGCAGCTGCCCCGGCCGCCCGGCCTCGGCCTGGCACGGGCATGCGGGGGCTTGGGCGCAGCGAAGGGAGGCCCGCGAGGAGGACGGGGGCTTGGCGCGGCCGGGAAAGCGAGCCCGGCGGGTGGCCCCGCAGTCGGCACCCTGGGCGGGGCCCTCCCCGCCCCTCCCGGAGCCCGGCCGCCCTGGGCAGCCCTGGGCAGCCCGACACCCGACCCTGCCCCACTCTCCCTGGACCCCAGTCCCGCGCGGCAGGGGCTGGGCTGCCCGGCAGTGCCGAGTCCGTGCCCCGAGCAGGGGCGCAGCCCCGGGTGGCAGGTGCCAGGGGCTGGGGGCGTTGTGGGGGGTCCGGGCGGGCGGGCGGGAAGGAGCCGTAGGCCCCGCCCCCGCCGCGAACCCCCTCCCCAGTGCTCGGAGCCGCGGGTGCGGACACGTGCGCCGGAGGCGCCCCACAGGCCGGGCGGCCACTCTGCTGGCCTGTCTGCTGCTTCTCAGAATTAATTTTGGGCTGAAAACGGCTCAAAGACGCCTTTGTTTCTGTGACACTTACTCTGGGAGGAAAAAATCCATGGAAAATGTGACATCTCGCTGCAGGGACGACGCGTAGACGGAGGAATATAATTATCTCCGCTCCCAAAAGGAGGTTTCAGATTTTTAAGTGGCTCCTATCAGCTTGGAACTTGAATGACATTTTAATTGTTTTGTTTTTTTTCTTCTTTGCCTGGTTTGAATCTCCAGAGAGCTCTCGCGGGGGCGGGGCGCGGCGGGCTCCCGGTGCCCACTCCCGGTGCCCGGCCCTGGGGGCGGCCGCACGGGGACGCCGCGTCCATGCGGCCCGCCGGGCACTGGAGATCTGCGTGCGCCAAGGAGGCGCCGCTCCAAGTGCCCCCTCCCGCGAGGCCCTCAGTGGCTCCCCTGGCCCAGGGCAGGGCACGGAGCAGAAGGGGCCCTCGAAACTCATCTCCTCAGGAGCCGGTGGCATCAGGGCCAGAGAGCCACGCCGCATCCCGGGCGCCTCTTGGCTGACCCCCACCCCCACTGACATCCCTCCGCCCGCCCTGGGGCTCCGTGTTCCGGGCACGGCCATGACCCACCTCCTGAACGGTCCTTCTGCCCCGCGGCCAGCACGTCCTGTGCCCCGGGGCCTCCCCTCCCCCGCGGGCCAGCTCTGCGCATCCCACAGCGCCCGCCGCACCCAAACACAGCGTCGCGGCTGTGCGTGTGTCGGGCGTGGCCCACGGCCAGGTCAGCTGGCCTTAGCGAGACGGGTCCTCCGGGTCGACGAGGGTGGCGGGGGTGGGCAGGTGGACCCTGACCTAAGGAAGGCCGGCTCACCAGCCCCTCCACTGCCCACTTAGGGGGCCCCTGGGCCTGGGCGCAGGGGCCACTCCGGCCTGAGCTCCGGGTCCATGTGCCCCGCGGAGCGCGGCGGTGGGCTGTTTTGGGCACTGGGGGAGCAGAGTGCGCTGCGGTGGCACCGCCCCCAGGGCCAGGCTGGCGGCGAGCACAGCTGAGCCGGGCGCCTCCCCCTCTCGTCTCAGAAACCCGGCAGCCCTGTGCTGGGGCTCAGCTGCGGCCTGTCTCGGCAGGGCCTGATCAAGATCCGGGGGGACCAGTGCTGGCGGGACCTGACCTGCATGGACTTCCACTACGAGGTGAGGCCACTTCCAGGCCTGTCCTGAGAGCCCGGCGCAGGCCTGCTGTGCGCCACAGCTCGGTGTTTCAGACACCCTGGGGCGAGGTTGCAGGGACGGCAGAGCCGCCCGTCCTGCTGGGCTGACAGGTGGGCACTGGCCCTGCGGTTGTGGGTCCAGTACTCGAGTCTGCCTGTGGCACCGGGTGCCTGGGCGGGGCTCCCGGGGGTGGGGATCCCCAGGGGTGGGGTGGAGTTCCGGGGTCGGGGCTCCCCCCTGGCACGGAGTGGGGTTCCAGGGGGCTGCCCTAGAGGCCGAGGTCCTGCTGCCGCCGCTCAGGTTGCCTGCCCCGCAGACGCAGCCGGTGCCCAACCCCGCGGCCTACTTCCTGCACCGCTCCCCTTGGTGGTTCCACCGCTTCGAGACGCTCAGCAACCACTTCCTGGAGCTGGTGGTGCCCTTCTTCCTCCTCCTGGGGCGGCGCCTGTGCGCGCTGCACGGGGCCCTGCAGCTGCTGTTCCAGGTGGGCCGAGCCGCCGGAAGGGGCCGGGCCTCCGAAGGGCCCCGCCCTCCACGCCCAGTGGCCAGCCAGTGGCGCCGAGTCAGGGGCCCCTCCTGGTCCCCGCCCTCACTGCATGGGGGCCTAGTCCTGGGCTCCCGCCAGGGCAGGGGCCACACCTGACCGATCCCTAGGACGGGGCCCCTGCGGGGCAGGCCGGGCCATTGGCTTTACAAGGCCCTGCCCCCACTCCCTCCCATGCGGCCCCTGGGAGCCAGGCCAGCCCGGGACAGCCCCTCGACACGGCGGGGGGGGGGCCTGCAGCACCAGCGCCCCAACTTCTGGTCTCTGTGGAGCCGGCCGGCCCCCCTGGCGGGTCCTCCACCCCGCAAGCTTCCCCAGAGCACCACGGGCACCTCTGGGAGCACAGTCCGCTCGCGCCTGTCGGGTCTCCCCGTGGCCAGGGTGCTCCCCTGGCCGGACAGCAGCAGCGGGCCGGGCGGCCGGGCAGACAGCGCCGGCCTCGGGCACCACCTTGGGAAGCTCCCGGGCAGGGGTGGGCAGCGACGCCGCCCTGCACGCACCCCCTGCTCTGAGGCCCTGGTCCAGCCGCGCCCTTCCCTCCCGTGACCCTGGGGCCGGGCCTCCGCTGCACACACGGGCCTGCCGGGGGTCGTCCCCGGGGCTTCTCCGGCCCGCAGCCCTGTGGCCGCGAGGACGCCCTCAGCCGGCCCCCACCGGCACCGGGCGCAGGCTGCCGTGGGTGAAGCGCCCAGCACGGGGCGTGTGGCTGTTTGGCGTGAGCCAGGGCCTGGGGCCGAAGGTTCTGGGGTCTGTGGTGACTTTCAGCCCAGGTTAAAGCCACCGGGCCGGGCACCCGAAGCGGCGCCCCTGTGTCCGGGTCGGTGAGGGCCGAGGGGGGGCGGCCGTTGCTGCCGCCGGGCCCTCCTGCCGCTCCGCTGGGGCCCTGTCCCTCCCGGGGCGCCTCGCCGTACTGGGGCCCCTCGCCCCTGGGGCCAAGTGGCCTTTCCGGGCCGGGCGCTCCCCCTTCGGCGGCCCGGATCCCCCTCCCGGGCGCAGCGCTGGGCTCAGGCCCGCCCCCCTGCAGGCGGTGCTCGTGGTCAGCGGCAACCTGAGCTTCCTGAACTGGCTGACGGCCGTGCCCAGCCTCTCCTGCTTTGACGACGCCGCCCTGGGTGCCCTGTTTCCCGCCGGACCGGGCAGCCTCAAGGACCGAGTCCTGAAGATCCAGGAGGAGGAGGCGCGGGGAGTGCCCGGGCCCCGGTGGAGATACGGTGGGTGGTGGACGCCCAGGCGCTCGCGAGCCCGCGTCCTTAGGCCGGGCGGGGACAGGCGGGCGCGGTCAGTCGTCTGCGTCCCCACGGGGACCCCGTGTCCAGGGCCCAGGGAACGGAGACCTCGGGACAGGGCTCCGGCCTGGCCCGCACGATGGCCAGGCCAGCAGGGGCCCGGCGTCCGCGCCAACCCGGGGCTCTGGGAGGGGTGAGGGGGGCGCCTGGCGCGCTCACACGTGTCCCCCACCAGGCCGCGTGGCTCGGCGTGCGGTGCATGTGGCGCTGGGCGTCCTGGTGGCCTGGCTCAGCGTCCCCGTGGTCGCCAACCTGCTGAGCCCCCGGCAGGCGATGAACAGCTCCTTCGACGCGCTGCGGCTCGTCAACACCTACGGGGCCTTCGGGAGGTAGGTGCGCGGCCCTCCGTCCCGCCCGTCTGCGGGGGTGGGGGGCGCGCTGACCGCCTGCCCCCACCCCGCAGCGTGAGCAAGGAGCGCACCGAGGTGGTGCTGCAGGGCACGGCCAGCGCCAACGCCAGCGCGCCCGAGGCCGTGTGGGAGGACTACGAGTTCAAGTGCAAGCCCGGCGCCCTCGGGCGCAGGCCCTGCCTGGCCTCCCCCTACCACCACCGCCTGGACTGGCTCATGTGGCTCGCGGCCTTCCAGGTGGGCTGGCCGCCGGCGGGAGCTGGGTTAGGGGGCTGGCGGGAAGGGGCCGCCCTGGGGGCACGAGAAGCCCGGGGGCCCACGCGAGGGGCCACCACCTGCCCGCGCCAGCCGGCATGCCTGCCAGGCCTCGGCTGCCCTCCGGTGACCCCACGGGCAGGGCCCATGCGGCCCCTGAGCACGGCCGGGGTGGGGGGGTGGCACCCCACCCTGAGCCGGGCCCGTGGGGCGCGGGGGGTCCGAGAGCACAGCCTGCTGGGCCCAGCCCTGTGTCCAGGCCGCGGGCCGGCGGCTCAGGCGCCGCCCTCCCCAGACCTACGAGCACAACGAGTGGATGCTGCACCTGGCGGGCAAGCTGCTGGCCAACGACGCCCAGGCCACGGCCCTGCTGGCCCACAACCCCTTCTCGGGCAGAGCACCGCCCCGGTGAGCCCCCCCGCCCCCCCGCCCCCGCTCAGCGCTGCCTCCCCCACACCCAGGCGTCCACTCCGGGCCAGCGTCCCCCAGCTTGGCACCCGCACGGGCCGACCGGCCTCTGCAGGCGGCCGGGGTCCTGGGGCTGCTGGGCACCGAAGGGTGCAGGGCCCAGGGTCCCCAGAGAGCACTGGCCCTGCCCGCCACCCTGGGAGGCCCACGCAGGGCGGCCTTGGGGTGACGCGCCCTCTCCGGCAGGTGGGTCCGCGGGGAGCACTTCAGGTACAAGTTCAGCCGCCCAGGGGGCCGGCACGCCGCGGAGGGCAAGTGGTGGATCCGCAAGAGGATGGGCCCCTACTTCCCCCCGCTGCAGCTGCGCGACCTCCGGGCCTTCTTCGCGGCGCGTGGGTGGCCGTCCCGGGGCCCGGCGCGCAATAAAGTGGGGCCTGAGCAGCGTGTGTGCCTGGTCCCTGGCGCCGCCAACCCCTGCCCGGCCCAGACCCCGCGCCCGCTGCACTGCACCGCCCTGCGCCAGCCCCGCGGCCCACACACGCACGCGCCCCGCGCCCGGCACGCACACACCATGGCCCACACACGCACGCGCCCCGCGCCTGGCACGCACACACCATGGCCCACACACGCACGCGCCCCGCACGCACACACCATGGCCCACACACACACACACACCCCGCGCCCGGCACGCACACACCATGGCCCACACACACATACCCCCCGCGCCCGGCACGCACACACCATGGCCCACACACGCACGCGCCCCGCACGCACACACCATGGCCCACACACACACACCCCGCGCCCGGCACGCACACGCCACCTGCACACGCACACCCCCGCCCCGGGCCCCGCCCTCTTCCCCGAGCCACCGCCTGGGGCAGGACATGGGCAAAGGCCTTGCCCCTCCTGTGTGGCCATGCCCCCAGCCTGCGGGCGCACAGCCCCGGCCCCCCCCCCCCAGAAAGACACCCGGGGCCAGGCACGGCCACGGCCCGACCCCCGGGGCCCTGGCCACACCACAGAGGGGCCTGACGGGAGTGAGGAGGACCCTGCCCCCCAGGCCGAAGGGGCACAAGTGCCCTCTGTGTGGGCTCCTCACCGCCTGGGGCCGCCGGCCCAGGCGCCAACAGAGAGGCTGTGTTCCCGCCTGGCGAGCAGGGCCCACGTCTGCCCGGACAGACGGGCCTCAGTCGGACAGGCCGGAGCCGGCCGGTCTGCCCACAGCCGCCGCGGGAGCTCCGGCCCCGGCCTGGGCAGCCTGTCCAGGCCCTGCTGACGGGTGGGGCCAGGAAAAGTGGCCACCCAGCCCTTGCACCACCACCCCCGCCCCCGGGGTGGCACCAGAGCCCGGCCCCCGGGACACACTGGGCCGCCTCACACCCTGGGCTCACCGGCCGGGAGCTCTGGGGGGTCCCCCACCTCCCGGGACCCCGAGACCGACAGACACAGCTGGGGCTGCGGGAAGGGTGGGGGCAGAGGGCCCCTCTGGCCCATGCGCGTCCACGCTGCCCTCACGGTCCTGGGCCTGGGTCACCGGAGAGCCTCTGGAGGGGCCCCGCGCCACCTCTCGTCTTTCTGGCCTGTGGGCGCGGGCTGCACCCAGCGCCCTCCGGGTAACGCCCTTGGGACCGGCTTTGGCCAGCTCCAGGCCCGGGCCCTGCTCCCCCCACAGCAAGGCGGCGCCCTGGCCCGCCCCTCCCCGCCCAGCCTTGTCCGCCTCCACCCCATGCCCACCCACCTGGCCTCGCCCGCCCCGCGTTGCGCCCTGTGTGCCCTGTGGGGCTCTGGCGCCTCATCCCCAGGGGCCCTCTGGAAGCCGCTGGGGGCGTCTGTCCGGCGCCGGTGACCAGGACGGGAGACACGCGGCCGGCCCCTCAGACCCGAGGGGAGCCAGCGGGGGCCTGGGTGGACCCGTGCATCTCAGACAAGCGCAAACCGCTGACCCGGCGGCCCGGCTCAGGGTGAGCAGGAACCCCGACAGCCGGCGCGCGGGGGCTGGGGCTGGCCGGGGGCCGCCATCCCAGAGGGCCACCGTCCACGCGCCCACGAGGGGCCGCCAGGCGTGTCCCGCAGCGGGGAGCCCGCCAGACGCCCACCCAACGACACCCCGGCCCGCCAGCCACCACAGCCCAGGGGCATCCCTGGCCGGGAGCTGACCCAAGGGGTGCAGCAGCCCCTCCTGTGTCCCGCCGCCCCTCAGCAGTGTGCCTCAGTGGACCCGCCTGCTCTGCTCCCCACTGCCTCTGGGAGTCCTCTCACCCCACGCCTCTGGCCAAGGCCATGTGCCCCGCAGTGGGGGCAGCGGTAGCCGGGACCCCAGGGCGCACACGCTACCCACCACCCTCCTCCCGAGCTGGCAGGGGGGCGGCGCTCCTGGGTAGCGGCCCCCAGGGTCAGGGTGCAGAGCAGCTGCTCGGGCCGGCTCAGGAGTGGACAGCCTGACCGCTCAAGCAGAAGCTGGGCCAGTCCTTGCCCAGAGGCCAGCCCCCGGGGCCACCAGCAGCCCCAGCCCCCGTCAGGCCGCCACGCTGGGCCCCAGTGAGGGGCTGCAGCCGAGGGCAGCTCTGGAGACCTCGGCGCAGGTTGGGCAGCCGGTCGGGCCACGCTGCCTCTGGCCCCCGCTGCCCCATGGAGTCCAGGCCACGCCTGGGTGGCAGGAAGGGCTGGCAGAGCTCACACACTGCCTGCAGCCGCAGAGGGAGCCCGGGGGGGCTCGGAGGGGCAGTGCCCTCTGCCAGCCTGGCCCCCGCAGGCAGCACCGCTCCCCCAGGCCCTGTCCACTCACTGGGCCAGGGCTCCTAGCAGGAGGCAGTCGCCGGGGCCTCGTCGAGCACCAGAGGCATGGACAGAGGTGGCAGCTCCAGGCCTGGCCACACAGCACCCCCACACCCCACTTCCCTGAGCCCCGGGCAGGGGCCCGCAGAGGGCGTCCCCGCCTTCCCGATGGGCTCCCCAGGCAGGCGCGGGCAGGGCCACGGGCCAGGCCCTGCCCGGCCCATGCAGGCTGGACCTCTCCAGCACTAGGACCAGCTGGATGGACAGGTCTTCCGGCCAGGGCGAGCAGGACCCCAGGGTGCAGCCTGCCCAGCAGCAGGCGAGGTGAAACCGGGGTGCCACCGCGGGTCAGCTGGCCTGTCACCTGTCGCGGGCACCACAGCTGCGCCGGGTCGGCCGGCTCAGGAAGACAAAGTGGCCAGTGTGGCCGCGATGCCAGGCTGGGCCGCCCACTGCTGGCAGGGCCAGCGCCCCCGCGGGTCAGGGCCATCTGCCCAGACGTCCGGGCAGCCAGAAGTGGACACGGAGCCCGGCTGCCCAGCGGGCCCAGCCACAGCCGTAGAAGCAGCAGCCGGCCGGCCTCGAGCCGCAGGCCTCGCCCGCGGGCCAGTGGGGCGGGCAGGGCTCGGGCGGGACGTTCCACCGGGACCATCCGGCAAAGGGCCCGGGCGCCCTGGGGAGCCGAGGCGGCGGGCGGGCGCGCGCCTGCGCGTGGGCTCCTCGAGGCTCTGCCATCTGGGGGTCCGCAGCCTGCTCTGCGCCCCCCACCCGGGCAGCCGCGCAGGCGGGGGTCCCCGGCGAGGGCCGGGTGGGAGGAGCGGCCGCGGCGCGGGCCTTCCCGCCCCCTCGCGGCCGCGCACGTCCACCCCCGCGCCGGGCCTGGCCCGCGAACCTCGCTCCACGCGGGAAGCGCCGGCCCCGCGGGCCCAGGCCCCCCCCGGGCCTCTCCCGCCTGACCCTCCGCGGGCGCGGGGCCGGGGCCGGGGCGGAGGGGCCGGCTCGAGGGGCCCAGGGCGTCCACTGGGCCGCGCGCGCCGCCGGGCTCCGCCTGGTCCTCGTGCAATGTTTGAAGAAGCCCTTGGGGGCCAGCGACGCCCGCCCGCACCCGCCTCCAGCCGCCGTAGACCCCGCGCCCGCTGCCCCCGAAGCTTCGGCCCCAAACGGACGGGGGGCTGAGGCCCCGGCAGCCCCGCGGGCCCCGCTCGAGGGCGCGGGCAGCTGCCCCCCACGGGCCCGCGCCCGGGCTCGGCGCCCCGCCTGGAGGCCAAGGCCAGAAGCGCGCCCGCGGGGAGCCCCCGGGTCCTCCCGGTCCCCCAGGCCCGCCGGCCGCGGCCTTGTGCCCGTGGACGGCGTCGCGCCGGGACCCCGGCTCTGGCTCCTGCCGCCGGGGGCTCAGGGCTCGCGGCGCCGCGGGGCGGGGCGGGGCGGGGCGGGCTCTCTCCGTCCTCGCCCGCGGCCGCGCTCCGGCCCGGCCGGCCCTGCTCTCGCCGGGGCCCCGCGCGGCGCGCGCCACCTCGCTGCGGCCTCCCGGGGGCGGCGGGCCCGCGCGGGCGCCCCGTGGCCCGGGCGGTCGCTGAGTCCCGGGCGGGGTCCGCGGCCCCGTGGGCGGGACGTGGCCGGCTCCGGGCCTCGGACCGGCGCCAGGGAGTGACCCACGGGCCGCGACCGGCCAGCGCGGGGCCCCCTCGGGGCGAGAGCCCCGACCCGCGGGGCCCCAGAATGCGCGGCGGGCGCTCGGCGGGGGGCCGGGTTGGCGCCCGACTCCGCGGCCCTGCAGACCCGCGGCCGCGGGGAACTCAGGGCGCCCGGAGCGGCCGCCCGGCCCCAACATGGCCGCCCGGCCGCCGCCGCCCGGCTCCAAGATGGCGCGGCCCGCTCGCCGTCGGGGCGCCCGCGCGGACGCCCGTCCCCCCCGCCTCGGCCGGGGCAGGCGGGTCCTGACCCTCGCCCCGAAACCTGCGGCCGCCCCCCCGCGCGGTGACTTGGGAGCTCCGGCTCTGCGGGGCGCACGCCCGCCGGGGCCGCCCGGCCGGCTCGGGGCCTCGGGTGCCCGCAGCAGCAGCAGCAGCAGCAGCGCGGCCGGGCGCGTGCCCAGAGCCGCGGGCGGCTTCCCGCAGGGCGTTGGGGCGCGGCTCCCGCGCCGCCCCTGGGGGCTGCTGCCACCCCCGCCCCTGGCCGCCGCCGTCAAGGGGCGCGGGGACCACGCGGGCGCGGGGAGCGCGCTGAGCTCGCGTGCGGGGCGCCTGGGGGCGGCCTCCCCCTGCGCCCTGGCGGCGCCCCGGGACTCAGGGCTGCCGCGGCGGGGCTCGGGCTCCGCGTCCGCGCCTGCCGGAGTCTTCCCGCCGCGCTTCTGCTCCGTGCGCCTGCCCCCACGGCCACGCGCGGCGGCCCCGGGCTCCCCGGGTGCACGCGAGGGCGCTGGCGGCGCGGCTGGAGCTCCCGCGGCCCCCTGCCAGGCCGCAGGGCCCGGAAGCAGCAGGACGCCCCAAGGCTGGGGAGGGCGGCAGCTGCTGCGCGCCCCCCCCCAGGAGCGGAGGCCGGGGGAGCCGGGCGGGCGGCCCTGCGCTGTGCCGGCGGGGGGCAGGCAGTGGGGCAGCCCGTGGGCCCCGCTTTCTAGAGAACCGCCTCAGCCGCCGCCCGGTGCCAGGGGCTGGCCCTGCTGCACCCCCCCCCCCCCCCCCCCGTGGCCGCCTCCGCGCCCGGTGCCCCTCGCCGGACTCGCAGGTGCCGCCCGTGGGAGTGGGGACGCCGGCGGGCACCCTCACCTGGCGGCTGCACCCACTCGCCCGCCTGCTCCAGGAGCGTGTGGGGGACCCACCGTTCCTGCCTCCCCGACGGGCGCCCCCACAGGCCCCAGGAGGCAGCGTTGCCCTCAAGCACAGGGCCAGGCGCCCCGCTCGTGGGTGCCCACCCGGACTCCTGGGCCGGCCAGCGTGGGCCGCGAGTGCCGAGTGACCTGCCGCAGGGTGCTGGGCCTGAGCCAGAGCGGCACCCGCAGTTCGCGCCCCCCCACAGGCGGCAAGTTGCCACCGCACTTGAAGTGTCCCCGCAGGGCCCAGCAGCAGGGACGGGGGCTCCCCCCACCCGCTGCACGTGGAGGGGACGGCGCCAGGCCTCAGGGCTGCCCGCCAAGTGCCCACCAGCCACTGGGGTGTTCTGGCCCCCCAGCCCTGCCTTCCCCTCCTCCCCAGCCCCACCCAGAGGGTCGGGCACCCCTTGCGCCCAGGAACTGGCACAGATGGAGCCGCCCCATCCGCGGGGGGGGGGGGGCGCCGCATTTCTAGGCCAGCGCGGCGGAGGCAGCCCAGTTAGCGCAGCTAATTTCAGCCCCTGGTCCCCCTGGACTTGCAGCTGGCATCGGAGTGCGGTCATGCGGAGGACATGGCCACCCTGGGCACCCCAGCCCGCAGGACACCCAGGGGCCACTCTGGAGCCCAGAGAGGAGGCCGGAGCGGCAGCGCGGCCCCCCCACAGCTCCAACGCCAGGCCAGGCAGACACTGGCCCCTGGGCCCCCAGCCATGGAGCTGGCGCCCGGGCAGAGGCGGCCCCTGTGGGGCTGGCCCCACGCACACCAGGGGCTGCGGGCACTGCCTGACCCTGGGGTTGCCGCCGCAGCTGGCTCGTCTGCACCCTACAACCCAGGCCAGTCGGGGGCCCCGCTGCCAGCAAGGATGCCCGCCCAGGAGGGGGAGCCCCCCAGCCCGCAAACCCCTCACGGAACAGCCTCGTTTCCTTGAGCCCTGGTTCTGGCAGGGGCTCCGGGCGCCCGGGCAAGTCGCACAGGGGCCCGCCGAGGGCCCGCGGGGCCGGGGGCCAGGCCTGCTGCCCTCCAGGCCGCTGTCGCGGCAGGGCCCGGCCAGGACGCAGGTGCAGGCTGCAGCCCGCGGCCTCGGGGTGCAGCTCCCTGAGGAGCGCCGGGGCGGGGCAGGCGCGGCACACAGGGCTCGGGCCTGAGGAGGCGTGCGGGGCCCCCAGAGCACCGGCCCCTCCCTCCCAGGCTCGGGGACCCCGGCCTGGACACCCAAGGGCCGCGGTGGGCGACCCGGCGCCGGTGACGGCCCGCCGAGGGCGCCAGCCAGGGGACCCCGTCCGCGCCACCCCGCCCGGGCCCTCGGGAGCCGCCGCGGGGGGCCGGGGCGCTCGCAGGCCGCGGGGCGGGGCGGGGCCGGGGCGGGCCCAGGTGGCGGCAGCGGGCGGGGCGCCCGCCGGGACTCCCCGCGCCCGCGCGCCGGCCCCTCACTTCGCCGGCCCCGGGCCCCGCCACACGTCGCCGTCCGCCTCCCCGACCCTCGTCGCGGCGCCCTCGCAGTCACCGCCCAAGGTGAGTCGCCGGCGGCCCGAGCTGCGGGGTCCCGGGGCCCCCCAGCCAGACCCCGCGCTCCTCTGCGCGCCGGGGGGTCGGGCCGCGCGGGTGGCGGGGTCGGCTGCCACCGGCTCCCGGGCCCCGGCGGGGCGCGCGCTCAGCGGCGGGGCGCGCGCGCGTGGGGGCCCCGGCCCCCTACCGCCGGCGCCCCCCCCTCCGGGTCCGGCCGTCCTGGACACCCCCGCGCTCAGTACCCCCAGGCGGGGGGGGCCGGGCCCCAACCTCGCCCCGACAGCAGCCCCGGCCCTGGGGCGGACCTGGCTTCCCGGAGAGGCGCCCCGCGGGCCGCGGATGCAAATCGCAGCCAAATGCCCGGGGCCGGGGCTCGCGTGCCCGCGGGGCGCCGGCCATGCAAAGCAGCCGGAGGGGGCCGCCCCGGCGGGGGGCGCAGGGCCGGGCCAGCCTGCCCAAGCGCCCGGCCCCGCGAGGCCGGCTTGGGGCGCGGAGCTGGGCGGAAAGTCTCCCCGCGGCTAATGAGCCCCGCGGGGAAGGGCGGGCTCTGGGGCCCGTCAGTGGCGCCGCCCGCGCCGCCCTGGGACCTGCGCCCGCGGGGCTCCCGAGAGGGCGGGGGGCAGGGGGCCCAGCCCCGCAGGCCGCCAGCCCCGGCTCCGCCCCCGCAGCCCCACGCTGGCCGCCGCGGAGAAGGAGGACCCCACCGAGGAGTGGGACGAGCCCCGCCTGCGGAAGGAGGTGGAGAGCCTGCGGCACCAGCTGGCCTTCCCGCGGGAGATGGCCTCGCGGTCCCTCCCCGAGTGAGTGCCCGGCCCGCGCCCCGCCCGCGCCCCGCCCGCGCCCCGCCCGCCCCCCGCGCCCCCGCCCGCCCGCTCACGCCGCTCCCGGCCCGCAGGCTCCTCAAGTGGATCGAGGACGTCACCCCCAAGGACCCCTTCCTGAACCCCGACCTCATGAAGAACAACCCGTGGGTGGAGAAGGGCAAGTGCGCCATCCTGTGAGCCGGCCCGGCCTTTATAAAGATGCCGCCCGCCGCCGCCGCGCCTCGTGTCTCTGGCCTCCGCCGCGGGGGGTCGCGGGGGCGCGGGGGGGGCGAGGGGCGCGGGGGGGGGCGCCGCGCAGGTGCTACAGCAGGTCCCGGATGCGCAGGCCGCGCCGCACGGCGTTGGACACGCCCTCCTTGAAGCGGAACCAGACGTCGCTGCTGCCCACGGCGGTGCCCACGCGCCGCGCCGCCGCCTCGGGCTCGGGCTCGGGGGCCGCGTCGTCTGCGGGCAGCGGGGGCGGGTCGGGGGCGGGTCGCAGAGCCCGGGCCCGCCGCCCCCGCGCCCCGGGCGCCCCACACACCTGCGCCCGGCGCCGCCGCGCTCCTGACCACCGCGCGTCCGAAGAAGTCCCTCTCGGGCTGGGGGGGCAGCCGGTCAGGCGGGGGCGGCCCCGCGGCCCTCCCCGCCCAGGGGCGCCCCGGCCCCGCGCGCACCTGCTCCTCCAGGGCCGCCCTCTGCGGGCCGCGCTCCCGCCGCCGCTCCTGGCCGCGCCGCGCGGGGGGCGGATCCTCGGCTCCCGGGGGACCCCCGACCACCTGCGGGGGGGGGGAGGCGTGGGGGGGCGGTGAGGGCCGCTGGGCACAGCCCCGCGGGCGCAGCCGCTCTCGCCCTGCTCGGCCGGCGCGGGCTCACCTGGGGCCGGTGCCCACTCCCGGCCAAGGCCTCCGCCCGCCGCATCTTCTCCACCTCGATCTCGCGCGCGATGAGCTGCTTGGCCTGGTAGGTGAGGGGCTTGCGGGCGGGCAGCTCGGGGAAGCGGCAGACCTCCTCCACGTCCCTGCCCCGGGACAGACGGCGCCAGGGTGCACTCAGCGGGGCGAGACTCCCGCCGTCCGCCCCCCCAGCCCCCTTGACCCAGTGCGCGCAGGGGCCCCGGCAACGGGACGCAGGGGCCAAGGGCCAGCGGGCGGCTGCAGGGACCGCAGGCCCCGTGGGTACGTCCCAACCCGTGGCCCATCGCCCCAGCCGGGCTGGGCAGAGCTCAGGGCGCGGCTGCGGACTCACGGCTCCAGCCTGTAGAGATACTGGCCGTCAGCTGTGCGCTCCTGGCGGTAGGTCAGGCTGTAGGCCAGCATGGTGCCCACGAGACCAGCCAGCTGCTCCTTCTCGCGGGTGCTGTACAGCTGCGTGCTCACCTGGGCAGGCCGCGGGGGCAGGGTGAGCACTGAGGCTACTGGGTGTGAGTCCCCGCGCCCCCCAGGGCGAGGCACTCACGGGGCGCAGCTTAGGTGCCAGGATGTCCAGCAGCAGGCAGAGGGCGTCCAGCACCAGGGCCTGGGGTGCAGCCCGGCTCCGGGTGGCCGGCGCCATACCCGACACCAGCGTCTGGATGAGGTTCTGTGTCTTGCTCATCCGGTTCTGGGCCTGGGGTGGAGGACACGGGCAGCGGGGTCAACCAGGACCCCACGGGACCCCACGGGCTCCCACGTGGCGTGGCGGGCGCACCTCCTGCTGGCTGCTGGGGAAGGCGAGCCTCGGCACACGGCTGGTGGCGAAGAGCACATGGAAGGCGGCGGGCAGGAAGGGCAGGTAGCGCAGCAGCTGGAAGCGCTGGGCCTGGAGGGCTGCCCGCTGCAGCAGGTCGTCGAACGCCAGCCAGTCCAGGGCGGCGCACACGGCGCCCAGGCTGGACTCCCGCAGGCGCAGCCGCAGGAAGTTGTCAAACAGGCCCTGGGGGCAGCGACCCTGAGCTCTGCATGCGTCGTCGTGGTCCCCCCCATACCCACCCCCTGGTCTGGGCAGGGCAGCCAGTGATGCCACTGCCCTCGGGAAGGGGCAGAGGCCACCCCACTCCTGCCCGCCTGGACAGACCCCAGGCGCGCGGAGGTCCGACGGGAGCCGAGAGGCCATCCCCACCCCTCCTCCGGGCACATCTGTCCACTGGAATCAGGTCGGCCCCCACGCGGGCCGTGGGCCCCGGGATTTGCGCTGATCCCCATCCCTAATCCGAATCTGCTCACCGGGATGGGATTTAGCCGGGCCTGGGGCAGGGCCCGACGTGGTCCCGCCCTCCAGCGCCATGAAGGGCTCAGGCCGCGCGGCCCAACCCGCCCCACGCACGCCTCCCACACAGCGGCCAGGGCCCCTGCACCCCCAGCCCAGGAAGGGCCCCCTCCCAGGCCTGGCCCCGCCCAGGGGTGGGCACACAGCCGCCGTCCAGCAAGGCCAAGGCTCCTGGGTACCTGGACCACCTTCTCGTGCTCGCCCGCAGAGGTGGCCACATGCAGGACATGGAGGAACCGCTGTGAGGCCATGGGCAGGGGTGGCTGGGCGCCGTGGGGCCCCACGCCCGGGGGGCCATCCTCCAGCAGGAGCGCGTGGGCGGGCGGGGCCGCATCCTGGCGCCTGCAGAGGGGCCCACGACGCTGGAGGCCGGGCCCCTGCGGGCTCCGGCCCACCCGCTGTCTCCCCTGGGGGCGGCCCGGGCTGTTCCGCGCCCTCTGTGGCTGCTGGGGCCGGCGGGGCGGCGTCAGCCGGGCCCCAGGAGAGGCCAGCGCGGCAGGCAGCAGGGCCAGTGCTGGGGGCGCCTACCTCTGGGCTCGGGGCAGCTGGAAGACCTCCTGCCACACCGAGAAAAGCCCCTTGCGCTGATCCTTGAGGCCCACGTGTGTCGCCTGCACGGCCTGCACGCTGAGGTCCCGCCGGCCCCGCCTGTGCAGGAACTGGACACAGGCGCTGGTGGGCGCCGCGCCGCGCCCCGCCCCGCCGCGCCCCGCCCCGCCGCGCCCCGCCACGCCCCGCCCACCTGCAGGGTGTTGATGCAGGCGCGGATGTCGTTGTCCGCCTTCTCGCAGAGGGCGGCCAGCGCGCCCGGGTCGGCCCGCATGCCCTGCCGCAGGGAGATCTGCCGGGAGGCGGGGCTGGGAGACGCGCCAGGCCGGGCCCGCCCCCGCCCCTCCAAACAGCCCACCCCAGGGGCCCCGTGGGCTGGCCTGCTCTCCGCGGCTGTCCGGAGGTCCAAGTGGCCTGACCCCCCACGTGCCCGGGCCAGCAGGGCGCACCTCCTGAAGCCGCTGCACGAGCCGCGAGGGCAGGGTGGGCGGGAAGTGGAGCAGGAACGCCTGCTGCTTCAGCTGCCGCAGAGACGGCGCGAACCTGGGGGCACAGGCGGGTCCACACCAGCCCACGCACTGGCCCAGGCCCGCGCCCGCCCACCCCACTCACTGGTCATTGCAGATGCAGATGATGGGCCGTGTCAGGAGGCGCCCCTCGGCCCGGCGGCGCCGTCCCCCTCCCGAGGGCGCGGCTGGGCCTCCTGGCTCTGTCTCCTGCGGGCCTTTGCGGTCCAGGATGCTCAGGAGAACGTTGATGGCCGCCTGCGGGACCACAGGTGACTTGTGAGCCTCCCGCCTCCGCCAGCTCCGCCCGCAGCCACCACCCGGCGCGCACCGTGGGGGCCCCGTCGATCTCATCCAGGAGCAGGCAGTTGGGCCTCCCGCCGGCGCCCAGCACCGACTCCATCTGCGTGGCCGCCTCGATGCGGGTGCGGAAGGCCTCGGGGCTGCGGTCATCGCTGCAGCGGGGGATGGGCATCAGCACATGCCCGCGCCCTGACCGCACAGGCTGCCCCCACCCCACCGCCCGCGCCCCCAGGGCTCGCTGTTCCCTCCCAGCCCAGGTGGTTGCTCACCTGGCGTTCACCTCCACCACGCAGTAACCCGCGTGCCAGGCGATCACGTGTGCCAGCGTGGTCTTGCCCAGACCCGGGGGCCCGCACAGCAGCGCCACCTACAGCCGGAGCGATGAACACACGCTGCCCCAGCCTGACCTGGTCCCAAGAAACAGCCTGGCCGGAGACCACTGCCCCAGACCGCGCAGAGAGAAGGCGCAAACACCCCTCTCGTGCAGGCCAACTCCGCAGGCCCAGAGCCGCCCCGGGGGCTCACCTTCTGCCGGGGCCGCTGGCTCGCGTCCAGCTCGGCTTCTAGCATCTCCTCCAGCACCTGCTCTCGGCTTCTCCACTTGCCGGCGGCCGGGGCCTCCTTGGCTGCCCGGACAGGCTCCGAGCTGGGCCGGGGCCTCCGAGCAGGCCTCTCTCGGCCGAACACCACCGGGTCCCACAGCTTCAGCCACTTGAGAAGGCAGCGGTTGGTGAACTGGGGAGCAGAGCCGCGCGCCTTAGCACCGAGGGCCCCGAAGTCGCCCCTCCTGCCGGCGCATGGCAAGCACAGAGGGAGCCCCACATCTCCAGGGGTGGCTACCGGTGACCCCATGAGCAGGCCAGCCCCCCCACCCCAGAGCCGGGTGGCAGGACGTGAGGGGCTCCCCCTAGCATCCCAGACGTCCCCCACAGCCCCACGCTCACGTCGTCACTGAGCAGCTCGGCGTAACGACGGGGCGCAAACTCGTCCACCCACAGCCAGTGCTGAGGGGAGTCCCGGCCTGGCGCTGGCTCCTCCCCAGGGGTCTCTGGCTCCTCCTCTGGGCTGCATGGAGAGCATCGGCCTGAGCCTTGGGCCAGCCCAGGCCCGTGGGGAGCAGGGGTGCGGGTGGAGGGGCTCACCTGCCCGGCTGGTCCTCCAGCTCCTCCACCTGCCGCTGCCGGCGCTGCACAGACAGACAGTAGGGCCAGATCAGAACATCGCAGGAGCACGGGACCCCAGTTGCGCCTCCAGACCCCAGCACACCCACCTCGCTGTCCACCTGCTCCTTCAGGGAGGCAAAGGACACGCCCAGCAGATCCAACTGACCACAACCACGCCATCGCACGGCAGGGAACGGGGTCTAGGGGAGAGCAGTGATCACGCCACGGCGATAACCAGCCCTCCCTGAGTCACGAACGGGGTCCCAGAGCTGGCAGGCTGGACAGTGCAGGGGCCCCAAAGGGGAACCCGGGGAGGGCTGAGAGGAGAGCGCCACAGCACCGAGCCCGCGGCACCCACCTGCACCCCGGTGCCCACGGGGTCGGCCCGCAGCAGCAGGAAGGCCCTGGCGCCGTCCGTGGAGGTCACGTTGATGTAGTCCTCCAGGACCGGCGGCCTCCTCAGGACGGGGTTGCGGGCGGCTGGCGAGGCCCTCGGGAGACCCCGGTCAGCACCAGCTCGCGGGGCCCTGGGGAGAGACGGGCAGGCTCCGTGCTCCCTCCTGCGCCCCTGCGGAGGACCGTGCAGGGCCAGGTCCGCCCCAGCCACCGACCCTCACAGGCCGGGCCTCATCCCGGGCCCTTCCATCCCCCAGGGCCCAGGGCCCGGGCCACACACCCCTCGCCCCACGGCTCCGCCGGGACCTCAGGGCTCCCCGGGGGGGTGATGTCCGGAGAGGAGGCGTCAGGAAAGGGAGGCTCGTCCATCTCGTCGGGCTCGAAGCTCAGTTCCCTGACGACCTCGAGCCTGGGCCGCTTAATCCTGGGAGCTGGGGAGACACGGAGGAGGAACAGCCGCCCGCCCGCCGCCCGCCCGCCGCCCCGCCCGCCGCCCGCCGCCCGCGCACGTACTGGACAGCAGCGCGCCGACCCCCGGGTCCTCGGGCGCCGGTGGCCTCTTGCCGGCCGCGTCCTGGCGACCCCCGGGGAGGCCGCCCTGGAGGGCGCGGGGCGCGGCGGCGTCCCCTCCGGCGAGCGGCCCCGCGCGGGTCGGGCGCCCCGCGGTCCCGGGGACCCCGGCGGGGGGCGAGGCGGCCGGGCCTGCGGGAGACAAGCGTCAGCGGCGCCCGCGCGAGCCCCGCCGCGCGCCCGGCCCGGGGCCGCCCGCGCGCCCACCTTCCAGCTCGGCCAGCACCTCGAGCTCGGCCGCGAACTGGCTGCGGAAGGCGTGCTCGTCCCGCGCGCCCGCCGCCATGGCGCCCGCCCGCCCGCCCGCCTCGCGCTCAAGCCGCGCGCCGCCCCGCCCCGGGCGCCCGGCAGGCCCGGCGTCCTCCGCCGTGGGGCGGGGCGGGGCGGCGCGCGGAGGCGGGGCCCGGGCTCCGGGCGTCCGCCATTGGCCGGCTGGGCCGCCCGTCGCGCGGGGGGGCGGGGCGGGACGGCGCGCGGAGGCGGGGCCCGGGCTCCCGGCGGCCGCCATTGGCCGGCTCGGCCGCCCGTCGCGCGGGGGGCGGGGCGGGACGGCGCGGAGGCGGGGCCCGGGCTCCCGGCGCCCGCCATTGGCCGGCTCGGCCGCCCGTCGCGCGGGGGGCGGGGCGGGACGGCGCGGAGGCGGGGCCCGGGCTCCCGGCGCCCGCCATTGGCCGGCTCGGCCGCCCGTCGCGCGGGGCGGGCGGGGCGGGCGGGGCGGCGCGCGGCCGGGCGGGCGAGGCGCGGCGGGAGGCCGGCGCGGGGTTGCCGGGCGCCGGGGCGAGCGGGCGCGGGCGGCGGGGGCTGCGCGGAGGGTGGCGGGGGAGGGGCGGGCGAGCGGGCGCGGCGCCCGGCGCCCCGCGGCGCCCCCCGCGCCCCGCCTCGCGGCCGGCCGGGCCCCGGGCCCCGCGGGCGCCCGCGCGCGCGCCATGGAGCCGGGCGGCGCCGAGGGCCCGAGCGTGCTGTACCGCAGCCGCGACTTCCTGGTGGTCAGCAAGGCCTGGGACGTGCGCATCGACAGCAAGGCCTGGCGCGAGCCGCCCACCCTGCAGCGGCAGCTGCGCCTGCGCTTCCCCGAGCTGGCCGACCCCGACACCTACTTCGGCTTCAGGTGCGCCGCGCCCCGGGAGCCCCGGGCCGCCCGCGCGGGGCCGGCCGCTCACGCTCTGCCCGCGCCAGGTTCTGCCACCAGCTGGACTTCTCCACCAGCGGCGCGCTCTGCGTGGCCCTCAGCAAGGCGGCCGCGGCCAGCGCCTACAAGTGCTTCAAGGAGCGCCGGGTCACCAAGGCCTACCTGGCCCTGGTAAGGCCGCGCAGCCCCGCGGGCCCCCCGGCCGGCGGCCGGTCCCCCAGCAGCGTCCCTCCCGGCAGGTGCGCGGCCACGTCCGGGAGAGCCGGGTGACCATCAGCCACGCCATCGGCAGGAGCAGCGCGGAGGGCCGGGCCCACACCATGTGCATCGAGGGCACGCAGGGTAGCCCGGGCGCGGGGCGCGGGGCGGCGGGCGGGCAGGCGCCCGAGCTGGGCCCTGCCGGCCCTGACCCCGGCCTTCCCCGCAGGCTGCGAGAACCCCAAGCCGAGCCTCACGGAGCTGGTGGTCCTGGAGCACGGGCTGTACGCCGGGGCCCCCGCCTCCAAGGTGCTGCTGCAGCCCCTGACAGGTGCGCCAGACGCCCACACCCACCTGCCCGCTGCGGGCCCTGGTCCGGGAGGGAGGGAAAGGGAGGCGCGGGAGCCGGGGCATCCCCTAAGGCCCCCTTCTTGTCCGCCCCACGGCCCTGCGGCCTCTCACCCCACGTGGGGTCTCACAGGCCCCAGGCCGCCTTCCGCGGGTGACCCTAGGAGCCCGCCCCCACGCTGGCAGGCCCCCCGGCCCTCCAGCAGAGGAGGCCGCCGCCTTGGGCTCCCGGGCAGCCTGCAGTCTGACCGCCCCACCCATCGCTGCCCGCAGGCCGGACTCATCAGCTGCGTGTCCACTGCAGCGCCCTGGGCCACCCCATCGTGGGGGACCTGACCTACGGGCAGGCCGCGGGCCAGGAGGACCAGCCCTTCCGCATGATGCTGCACGCCCTCTACCTACGCATCCCCACGCAGGCCGAGCGGGTGGAGGCCTGCACGCCCGACCCCTTCCTGCCCGCCCTGGACGCCTGCTGGAGCCCGCATACCCTCCTGCGGCCGCTGGACCAGCTCGTCCAGGCCTTGCGGGCCGCCCCTGACCCCGGGCCCACAGAAGGGGACCCCAGGCCCCACAGCCCCTCCACACCCCTCCCCGGTCCTGGTCGGTCCCCACCGCCTCCTACCAGGCCCTCTGAAACGGAGGCGCAGCGGGCCTCGTGCCTGCAGTGGCTGGCAGAGTGGGCACTGGAGCCTGGTGACTGAGCGCGGCAGGGGCGGCCAGCAGGGGGAGCCGGGCTGCCGGGAAACCTGGTGTCCTTGGAGCCAGTTCTGCCCCTGGTCTTTTGCTGATTTAGGCAGCAGCTCTGGGGACCCTGGAGGGGGCAGCCAGCCATGCCCCGGAGCAGTGGCTCTGGCTGCCCCCGCTGGCCAGCCCCTCCCCCTGCAGCCCGCTGGGCCCTGAGCCCACGGAGGCCAAGCTGAGCTGCTGCCCACTGCTGGGGTGCCCTGGGGGCAGGTCTCCCTGCACGGGGCTCCTTCCCCGCAGCTGCCCGAGCTTGCCACGCCCGCACGGGGACTGGGGTAGACCATAATAAACGCTCAGCTGCCGGCCTTCCGAGTAACTGTGTGTCTCTCCGGCCCTGGGATCACTCTGGGGTCCTGCTGGCCAAGGCAGCGTGCGCCTGCTCGTCCTGACTGCTGACCCACCTCCCCCAGGAGAGTGAACACCGTGGCCTCTGGGCTCTGTGTGGGCAGAAGCCTCTCTGGAGGACCCCAGGCCCTCAGCTGACCAGGGGAGCCTCCCCTCAGCCGGGCCTTCGCCGTGCGGCTGCCCCGCGCTGGCCTCAGGGCACCCGAACGATAGGGAGGCTGGGGTGTCAGGGCCAGTCCCAGGGTCCAGCCGCACCTCGGGTGTCAGCAGGGCAGGGCAGCTGCGCCCTCGGCTTCCCTACAGCCAGGCCCTCCCCACCCGCTCTCTCCCCTGCTTAGGGCTGCCTGTCCCTAGCCTCGGGCCTGTTTCTTCACGCCCACCGGAAGCGGCCGTGTGCACGCAGCCAGGCCAGCGGGCGGCCAGCGCTCCCCTGCATCCACTGGTGCCCCCTGCTCCGGTCCAGCGAGCAGTTGGCCCCCCACTACTGGTCAGCCCCCACCCCGAGCCTCAGCTGGACCTGCCCCCCGGGCTCCCCAACCGCGGACTCGGCTACCCAGGCTCCATCCCAGGGCCTCATCCCCCATGCAGCAGGCCCGCTGGACGGGCCTCTTCGGGCGGGGTCTCGGGGAAGGGCCCGCTCGCTCCGGCTGTGCGCCCGTCAGCGTCTCCGTAGCCAAGGGGCTGGTGCCTTGGTCCCTGAGGCGGCTGTTCAGCCACGGACCCCCGGCCCTGGAGCCACAGGCAGCAGAGCGAGGGGGCTGGTGGGCAGGTCAGCCCCACTGTGCTGGGGGCGTTTCCGGGCCCTGCACCTGCTGCAGGGAGCGGGGCAGCAGGGGCTGGGCCAGGCGCCCCGTGCCTGCAGACCCGTCCCCAGTGCACACGTGAGCAGCGCCCACACACACCCCCGCAGGGGACACGCCCACCTGTGCCCCGGCCAGAGGTGCGTCTGGGCAGCCGCCAACGCTTAGCTCAGCCTCCGCCCCTGGGGCTGCCCCTGGGGCTGGGGAGCAGGTGCCTGCGGTGCCGGCCCCCAGGGCCACCCCGCGTCACCCCGGCAGCCCCTCCCACGCAGCCGCCAGCAGGCATCCCTGCCGGGGTGGGCGGCCACCTGGCAGAGCCGCGCGGGGCCTCGGGCAAACAGGCGTCTGGCTCTCGGGGACTGGGACCTCTGCCTGGAGCTGCGGGTCTGCCTGCCCGTGGCACCGTCTCTGCGCTCAGGTGAGGCCGCGGCGGGGGCTGGGCCCCGGCCTCCAGCGCCCCGCTGGGGACGACCTCCCGTCTCCCCGCCAGGTGTCCGCAGCAGCAGCAAGGGGGCTGCAGGCCGGGCTGTGCCCACGTGGCTCCCGCCTCCGGGGCTGCTGTCCGGGTGGTGGGTGAGGCCTGGGGGGGCCTGCCTGGCAGGGGAGGCAGGGTGGGGGGCAGGGTGGGGGCCCAGGGCAGGGGGCGCGGCCCCTACCCTGCCTGCGCAAGGCCGCCCACAGAGGAGCCAAGGGAGGGGTTAATTGGAGACGTGCGGCTCTGGTCCCCGGAGCCCCGACCTGCGATAAGAAGGGCCCCGGGATTTGGCCCTCGCTGCCGCCGCGCCTTCTCCTCCCAGACGCTTGTTTGTGGGGTTGGGTCTCTCCCTGAGGACAGAGGCAGCGGAGGCCGTGGCCCCTGGCCCGGCACCGCACCGGCCTGCGTGACCCCAGGCCCCGGCCTCCCCTGCAGCCCGGGCTGGACCTGCGCCCCCGAACCCGCCCGCCGGCCGGGACGCCCTCGCGCCGCTCAGCATGGGCCCCGGAGCGGGTGAGCGAGCCCCTTGTGGCGGGACCCCCTCTGCGGACAGCAAGTCCGGCGCCCACCCTCCTGAGCTGGCCCTTGGGGCCCTGCCCGGGGGGCCCCCGCAGGCATCAGAGCCGGGAGGAGGGGTAGCACTGGCGACACCCCGCAGGCCGACCCTTGAGGGGACAGGGAGGCAGCGGCCAGGGGCTCGGAGTGGGCGGGGCCCGAGGGCCGGGGCGCCCTCTGCGCACATGCACGGGGCCAGCCCGCGCGTCGGGCTCCCCCGCAGCCCTGGGGGCCTCTGGTGTGGGAGCCCACACACCCCGCTCCCTGCAGGTGTGCTGGCGGGCCCCGGCCTCGCCCTGCTGCTGGCCCTCGCCGCCCACGGTGCGGCGCCCCAGGCCCAGGGCTCCCTGGAGGAGCTGGACGCCAGCAGAGCTGACCTGTGGGCCACGTGAGTCCGTCCCCCCCAGCCCCGGCTCCGCAAGGGTGCGTCTGTGGGCTGGCCCGCCCCCGTCCCCCGCCCCCCGCCCCCCCAGCACTGCGTCGTCGCGGCCACCCCGAGGGGCCTGTCCGGCCAGGGCAGTGGCCCCTTATCGCGGGCCCCAGGCAGCCCCTCTGCTTTCTCCTACTGCCCCCATCTGGCCTTGCGGGCCCCAAACCCAGACTCTGGGTCCTTCTCATGGCTCAGGGCTGCCGCACCCCTGCACCCCCTTCCTGGAGCTGGGGCGGTGGGGAGCAGGCCAGGGCACGGTTCACTGGGCTTGCACAGCCAGGAGCCCACACAGCCCCTCCTGCCAGCTGAGGCCTGCGCCCCTCCTGCCCGGGGCCCTCGGCTTGCTGCCTGGTGGTGGTGGACAAGCGGCCTGGGGACGCTGCCCCCCTGGGCTGGCGGTGCGAAGGCTCCCCTCGCCCCGGCTGCCCACTGCTCGGGACTCCCTCCCCACTCTGTGTGCCCCCCAGGGCCAACACCTCCCTCCTGCGAGGCTTCTGGTGCCAGCCGGCCAGCCAGCTGTCCCGGGACCAGCTGTCCGTGCTCATCAGGAGGATGGAGTCCGAGCGGGTGCCCCTGGGAGCCTGGCAGGTCAGCACCCAGTGTGCGCCAAGGCAGGCTGGGGGCCGGGGAGGTTTCTGGGGGGGTGGGGCGTGGGGGGGGCAGGCAGGACAGGCTCCGGGGGGTGGGGCAGGCTGGAGGGCGTGCCTGGCCACATAGGGAGCTGGGCACTGGGTCCCTAACCACCTGGGGTGCTTCTCTCAGGTGGGCTACCCCCCTCCTCTGTACCACTGGGGGCCTCTCAGGCAGTCTGCCCACAACGTGGGGTGGGGCACCCTGGCCACGCCCCACCCCACCTGCACCTGGCAGCCCCCGCCCTGCCTGAGGGGCCAGCGAGCCCGGGGGCGCCTGGGGTCTCGCCCACGCTCCGGGCTGGCCGCGACCGCTGACGCCCCTGGCGGAGGCTCCTCGGAGGGTCCAGGCGTCTCTGGCTTCCCCGGGCGCCTGTGGCCTGGCTGCACGCGCCCCCCGCCCGCCTGCCCCTCGCGGGGCTTCCAGCGCCTGTGACAGGGCTCGGGGAGCCCCGCGTTCAGCTCACGTGCTTGTGGGGCACCCGGCCCGCCCGGCCCGCGCCCCAGGGCCCGGCAGACGCCGAGGAGCGGGTCTGCGGGAGCCCCGCGCGCGGCGCCCGGTGCTCTCGTGGGCGTCCCACTTTCCTCGGCTCCAGCCCGCGCGCCGCTCAGCCGAGGCTGGGGTATCGGCCCGGGTCTCGGCCCGCCGGGCCTCGTGCTCAGCGGTTTCGCAAATGCCCGCGGGCGGGCCGGGCGCGAGGGGGGGGGCGCACCCCAGGGAGCCCCGAGGGCACGGGCGAGGACGGACGGACGGATGGAGGGAGTGCACGGCCCTGAGAGGCCCGGCAGGGGAGGCCCGGGCGCCTTGGGGAGGGGTGTCCCCTCAGCACCCGCGCAGGGCCGGCCTGGGGGCGATGGGGGGGGGGGGGTGCCCGAAGAGCTTGCGCTCGGCCGGGCAGCGCGCGTTTCAACGGCGTGGGCGGGGCGTCCCGGGAACACCCTTTGAGAACCCGGACCCAGGAGAGGGAACCCCGCGGGCGGGGCCTGGGGAAGCGACGCCCCCTGACGCGCCCCGGGAGAGCAGGGCCCGGGCACCCCTACACGCCCGGGGGACGCCCCCCCCCCCCCCCCGCCCACAGCCTGGCCCGGGCCGGCCTGGTCCAGCGGCTGCCACCCTCCGCCGCGGCCCCTGCCCCCGGCCTGGCCCCCGTGGCCTCTGATGTCTGGCGCGGGGGGGGGGGGGGCGCAGGGGGGGGGCGCAGGGGGGGTGCGGCGGGGCCCGAGGGCGCAGTGACCCGCAGGGTCGCCCGGACACCAAGTCCAGGGCAGGGAGACCCGGGCCAAGAGGGCTCCAGGGGCGCTGTGGGGGGCCAGGGCAGGCAGGGGCCGCGTGCGGGGCGCTGGGTGCCACCCACGGGATCCCAGGGGCTGCATCGGCGCCCCTGCCCCCCACCCTGTGACCCTTGTGAGGACGCGCCAGCGCCCAGCCGCGGGGGTGCCCGGGCGGGGGTCCGGCCCCTTCCCAGGTGGGCCTGGGGCTGAGGCAGGGGCGGGGAGAGGCCTGGGGCTGACCGGCGGGCGGCGGGCGCGCGGGCACAGGGCCCGGGGGGCGGTGCTGACCCGCCCCGCCCGCGCCGCCCAGCTCAGCTGCCTGGCCAACCTGGCCGCCCTGCGCGGCCTGCAAGGCGACTTCGCGCTGCACCCCCCAGACCTGCTGCTCTTCTACAAGTGAGTGCCCCCCGCGGGCCCGGCTCCCCCCGGCCCAGCCCCCGCCCGCCCCGCCCGCCTCCAACAGCCCCTGCCGCAGCCTGTCGCAGGTGAGCCGAGCCCAGTGCCGGGCCTTCTTCCGCCGAGCCGCCCAGGGGGACACGGAGCTGCTGGCCAACCTGCCGGACCAGAGGGCCGCCCTGCGGCGCACGGCGCTGGCCTGCCTGGTGGGCCCCGGGGCGGGGGGGTGGGGACTCGGGGCAGGTGGCCGGGGGCTCCAGATGGGGCTGGGGGGGCCCGGGGCACCTGCACGGGCTGGGGGCAGCCGGCTCCCGCTGACCTGCTGGCCGGCAGGGCGGGGCCCGGCCGCATCTCAGCGCCTCAGACCTGCGGCTCCTCGGGGTGCTGGTGTGCGACATGGACGCGGCCAGCATCGCCGCTGCGGACCCCCACGTGCTGCGGAACCTGCAGCGCTGCCACCGGCTGACCCCCGCCCAGCAGGCCGCCCTCAACACGCTGCTGGCCAGCGGCAGGACCAGCCTGGGGTGCGTGGCCGTCTGGCCCCGGGGGCCTGCTCCGGACCAGAGGGTTCAGGGACCCCCGTGGGACGTGCCCACCGCGGGGGCGGGGGCGGGGGCGTGCGGCCCCCGCCTGACACGGCGCCCCCACCCCGCCCGCCAGGCCTCCGGGCTCCTGGGACCTCGAGGGGCTGCAGACCCTGGGGCCGCTGGCCGCGCACATCAGCCCCGCGCTGTGGAGGCAGGTGCCAGAGGTACGGTGGGGGCGGGGGGCGGCGGGGTTCAGCCCCCCAGCCTGGGGCCACCCCGCAGGCCTCCCAGGAGGTCTGTGCCTGGGCGGGCGCGGCCCCGACACGGCCCCAGGGTGCTCTCCGTGCCCCCCAGCCCGCCGGCCTGGACTTCTTCGGCAGCACAGTGGCCGCGTGCCGGGCCGGCCGGCTCAGCCAGCGCGACGCCAGGCGCCTCGTCGCGGGCTTCCTCGCGGCCAAGTCAGCGTCCTTGCGGCCCAAGCGCGGCGCAGGTCGGTGTGGCCGCCGCGGCCCGGGCACCCGCGTGCCCTGCCCGGCCGAGCGCGCGGGAGAGCGAGGTCAGCCTAGACTGGGGATGGGCTCCGGGCCGCATTCTCGGCCAAGGGCCGCCCGGGCGGAGGTCACGGGCGCCCGACACCGAGAGCGACGTGGGTGCGGGCACGGCCCCGGCCCCCTGACCAGCCCCGCCGCCCAGCAGGGGGCCGCTGCGTCCGGGGCGACATCACGGCGGCCACGCTGCAGGACGACCTCTTCCTGGTGCGCTACGACTGCGCGCAGCTCGAGTCCTGCCTGGGCAGCCGGGTGCTCAGGGCCAACCTGGACCCCCTGCTGCAGCACCCGCTGCCCGCCGAGTGCCAGCGTGTGGTCAAGGCCAAGCTGGCCCTGGTGAGGGGGGGCGGGGCGCGGTGGGTGGCCGAGGGCGGGGGCGGGGCCGGCGCCACCTGACCCTCCGCCCGCAGGTCTACCCGCGCGGCCTGCCGGAGGAGCAGCTGCGCCGCATCACCTCGCTGGTGTACCTGTACTCCCTCGCGGAGATCCGCCAGTGGAACATCACGTCCAGGGACACGGTCGTGGCCCTCCTGGCCTCGGACGTGGCCCTGGGTAACCAGACCGAGGTGGGGCGGCAGGCCCTGATCCCTGGATCCTCGCCCCCTGCTCCCGGGTCCCCTGATGCCCGGCCCTGCTGACCCTGGTCCCCAGCCCCAAACCTCTGGTTCCTGACCGCGGGGGTCCCCGCTCCTCCACCCCAACCCCCGCCCCGCCCCCGCCAGGCGGTGCTGCAGAAGTTCCTGGACCACAACGGCACCCTGACCGGCACGCTGCTGGTGGCCCTCGGGGGCTCCCGCCTCTGCTGGATGAGCCCCGGGCAGATCCAGACCATCCGGCCCTCAGAGTTCCGGTGAGCCCGCCAGCCCCAGCCCCGCGCTCTGCCAAGGTGCGGCCCAGGAAGCAGCCTCAGGGGGGCCCGGGCCGGGCGGGGCAGGGGGAGGCCGCTGACCTCCCGCTGCTCCCCGCCCCCACGTCTCCGTTCGGGTTTCCTCCTCTGGAGGCCGGAGGTCAGGCTGGGGCCTCCCCAGTCCAGTGCGGCCCGTGCCCCTGAGTCAGAGAACCCGCGTCCCGAGGTTGCGAGTGGGCGGGAGCTGCAGGGGGCCGCTGCCCAGCCCTGGCCAGAGGGCAGAGGACGCCTGTGGTCAGGGGCAAGGGGCCGGCGGTCAGGGTGCTCAGCCTCGCCCCCCGCAGGCTGGCCGGGCACTGGACATCTCCGCCTGCCCCCAGAGCCAGAAGAACATGGTCTTCGCCAAGGCCCGCGAGGCCTTCGGGGGCACCCGGACCACGGCTGCCTACTATCGCTTCATGCGCCCCTACTTAGGTGAGACCCGTGGGGGCGGGCAGGCGCCCCACAGCCCCTCCACCCCCTCTCACGGCTCCCCGGCCCCAGGCGGCGCCCCCGTGGAGGAGCTGTGGCGGCTGGCCCGGGCCAACATCACCCTGGACATCGACACCTTCACCAACCTGAATCCGCACGTGCTGCTGGTGGGCTGGGGCCCGGGGCGCCCTCGAGTCGGGGGCGCAGGCTGGGGGCCCGCCAGGAGCCCCCCAGGCCTCTGCCTCACGGCCTTACCCCCGCAGAACCTGAGCTTGAACAACGTGACCAAGCTCCTGGGCCACAACGTGGGGGACCTGCTGCGGGCACGCAGCCACCCGGCCATCAGCATCTGGCTCAACGGCCTCAGCGACACGGCCCGGCAAGAGCTGGGCATCGACAGCGACCTCCCCGCCGGCTCCGCTGACCCCGGCCGCTCCCCCCACGGGACCCTCCCCACCGCTCCCCTGGCCCTCCAGCTCGCCCCTGGCGGTGTTGGGGAGGCCGCCAGCTCAGGTGCGCCCGCCCCGGCCTGCCCTGGCCGTGCCCCGCCCCCCCAGCAGACCTGCGGCCCGTGCCCCTCCCCTGCACCTGCAGGGAAGGGATGGGAGCCCCGGCACCTCCCCCGGTGCCTGCTGCCCCGCTGGAGGACACACCTCCTCTGCCGGCCTGGGTGGCGAAGGCCCAGGTGGGGGGGGGCACTTTCCCTGGGAGTCCTCCCGGGGCGGCGAGGGGCCTTGGGGTGCTGCCCCGGCACTGACCGCTGCTCCTCCCCCCAGGCAGCACGGCCGCGCACCTGGGCTGCCTGCCGCTGGCCGTGGCCCTCCCCTCCGGCCTCCTGTGGCTGCTGATGTCCGGACGCCTCAGGGCCCAGCCTGGACTGTCGCTGAGGCACCGCAGCGGGAACCCCCAAGACAGCCCTGCCCCCCCATGGCACTCGGCAGCCACGGTGCCGGGAGGTGGAGCCCAGGCGGGGGTGGGGGCGCAGGCCCCAGGCCCAGCCAGGCCGGGTGGGGAGGGAAGTGCCGCCCGCTCTGACCGCAGGGGTCGCGGGGAGCCGGGCCCCTGAGCCAGGGGCTTCGCTGCGCTCCGAATAAAGACAGTGACGCCCGCCGTGTCCCTCGCTCTCCCAACCGGCACAGAGCGGCAGGTCTGGCCTCAGTCGCCTCTGGCAGAAGGCCGAGCGCCGCCCCCGCGGCCGCCCCAGCAGCACGACCTCCACGGAGGGGCAAGGCCTCTTTATTGAACCCCAACCCTGGCGGGGCGCCAGCACTGCCCCGTCGGCCCGGCCTGCAGGGTCCCGCAGCGGGGCAGGGCGTGGGGTGGGGTCCTGCTCCCGCCTCCGAGGTGAGCTCAGTTCAGGGTCCCGGCCAGGAGCAGGATGGGGGTCAACGCGAGCGCAGGTCCAGGCCCAAGAAGGTGGGGACCCCTGGCAAGGGCCTCTATCCAGAGAGGGGCTGAGTCAGAGACCTGCGCCCTGGCCCCCCGCGCCCCTCCCCCACCCCTGCGCTCCCCTTCCCTGCCGCCCCCACGTGCCCCCCCCCGTCAACCGCCCCCCCCCCCGCCCCGCACCTTGGCGGCGGAGGTCCAGGACCAGGTAGCCATTGGGGATGCCCCCCAGGAGCCCCAAACCCAGCCGGTCCAGCTGGCCCTGTGGCTGGCGCAAGAGCCAGTCGCGCACGGGGCTGCTGTGCTGCTCGGCCTTCAGGCCCAGCACGTTGGGACCCAGGAGTCTCTGCACCTCGGAAACGGTCAGGGACTGCCAGAGCCCCCAGGCGGCCGTCAGGGCGCCCAGCCACACCCCCGCCGGCCGCCGCGCCCCCTCGGCCCCTCCCTCGGGGCCGTACCAGCACCGCCTCTAGCTGCAGCTTCTTGAACGTAGCTACGTCCAGGGTTAGATTCTGTCCAGCAAGAGCCCGCAGGTCCTCTGAGGGGGCCCCGCCTGCCAGAGGGAGGGGCCTGAGCCCACACGGAGCGCCAAGCCCCCCGCACCCCTGTTCCTGAGAGGTTCTGGGCCCGGGACTGCCGCCCAGTGGGGTTCAGAGCGCGCAGGGTCTCCCCTGCCCACCCGGGCAGCAGGAGGCGGCTGCAGCCTCACCCAGGAAGGGCTTGATCCTCGAGAGGCGCTCAGACCCGCTCAGGTTCCCCAGGGCGGCGCGGGCCACGCGGTAGAGCGCGTCCATCTGCGGTGGGCGGCACGCATCCAGGTCCGCGGGCTGGACGGCCCTGGGGGCAGCGGGCTGGCAGTGAGACAGCGGGGACCTTGCCCCCGCCCACAGGCCCGCACTCACCAGAGCACACTGGGAGGCACTGAGCGCAGCTGCTGGGGGCTGAGGGCACACAGGGAGGCGGGGCAGACAGCGGCCAGGGCGGTCAGGGTGGCATGGTCCAGCTGGCCACCTCCCGCTACATAGCGGACAATCAGGGCGGCCACCTGTAGGAGGAGATACAGAGGGGCCGTAGTGCCCAGGAGAGCCCCTCCCCTGACAGCACCACCTCCACCTGTCCGCCCTGGAAGGCCACCTGGGCGTCCACTTTCCGGCCTTCACTGGCTCTGAGCAGAGACATCACGGTTTCCAGGGATGTCACATTCCACTTGTGGACATCCTCGGGGGTGACCTCCAGGAAGAAGCTCCCCAGGCGCCTGACCAGGGTCTCGGGGTAGCCCTGCGGGTGGAGCTGCAGGGTGGCCTAAGTGCCCCGCTCCGCGGCCAGGTGGCTCACCGCGGGCGGGGCTGGGCGCGCGCTACCTCGTCCAGCTTGCACTTGAAAACGCGGAGCTGCTGGTAGGTGAAGGGCATCAGGCTGACCCGGTCCATCTGCGCGTCCAGCAGGGCCGCGTCCACGCAGGCCTCCAGCTCCCAGTCCTCGTAGAGGACGAGCCTCTCGTCCACGGCGGCCGGGCTCCGCCCCGGGGGACAGGCCCCTGCGGGCGCACGCGTCAGGCTCCGCCCAGCGCCCCGCGAGCGCCTCTCCGGGCTTGTGTGCCCATCGGCGAAGTGGGGTGACTCGGCTACTACGGAAGCTCCTGCGGACCCAGCTGCGGCACAGCCGCAGAGGCCGCCGCGCGAGCCCCCCGCCCCCAGGGCCGCGCCTCGCTTACTCGCTGCGGCCGGCCGGACGCTCGGGAGGACGCCTGCCGGCTCCGGGCGCTGCTGGGACGGGCCCGCGGCGCCCTAGGACAGAGCGCGGCTGTGGGAGCTGCGGGGCCGCCCGGCCCGCCCGGCCTCCGCGAGGGGCTTACCCGAGCTGCGTCCGCGGCCTCCGGAGGCGGCGCCCACCCTGCGGGGCGGGGCCAGGCTCAGGGGCGGGGCCTCGGGAGGCAGCGCCCACCCTGCGGGGCGGGGCCAGGCTCAGGGGCGGGGCCTCGGGAGGCAGCGCCCACCCTGCGGGGCGGGGCCAGGCTCAGGGGCGGGGCCTCCAGAGGCAGCGCCCACCCTGCGAGGCGGGGCCAGGCTCAGGGGCGGGGCCTCGGGAGGCAGCGCCCACCCTGCGGGGCGGGGCCAGGCTCAGGGGCGGGGCCTCGGGAGGCAGCGCCCACCCTGCGGGGCGGGGCCAGGCTCAGGGGCGGGGCCTCCGGAGGCAGCGCCCACCCTGCGGGGCGGGGCCAGGCTCAGGGGCGGGGCCTCCAGAGGCAGCACCCACCCTGCGAGGCGGGGCCAGGCTCAGGGGCGGGGCCTCGGGAGGCAGCGCCCACCCTGCGGGGCGGGGCCAGGCTCAGGGGCGGGGCCTCGGGAGGCAGCGCCCACCCTGCGGGGCGGGGCCAGGCTCAGGGGCGGGGCCTCCGGAGGCAGCGCCCACCCTGTGGGGCGGGGCCAGGCTCAGGGGCGGGGCCTCCAGAGGCAGCACCCACCCTGCGAGGCGGGGCCAGGCTCAGGGGCGGGGCCTCGGGAGGCAGCGCCCACCCTGCGGGGCGGGGCCAGGCTCAGGGGCGGGGCCTCGGGAGGCAGCGCCCACCCTGTGGGGCGGGGCCAGGCTCAGGGGCGGGGCCTCGGGAGGCAGCGCCCACCCTGTGGGGCGGGGCCAGGCTCGGGGGCGGGGCCTCGGGAGGCAGCGCCCACCCTGTGGGGCGGGGCCAGGCTCAGGGGCGGGGCCTCCAGAGGCAGCGCCCACCCTGCGAGGCGGGGCCAGACTCAGGGGCGGGGCCTCGGGAGGCAGCGCCCATCCTGTGGGGCGGGGCCAGGCTCAGGGGCGGGGCCTCCAGAGGCAGCGCCCACCCTGCGGGGCGGGGCCAGACTCAGGGGCGGGGCCTCCGGAGGCAGCGCCCACCCTGCGGGGCGGGGCCAGGCTCGGGGGCGGGGCCTCCGGAGGCAGCGCCCACCCTGCGGGGCGGGGCCAGGCTCGGGGGCGGGGCTGCCGGCTGTGCCTGCCCTCTCCCCCACCCCACTCCCCACCCCGCACCCCAGGACAGACAGAGGGGCCTCCAGGGGGCAGCCGCCCGCCCCACGCCCCCTGCCCCCAGCACTGGACTGTCCTCCTGGCACCCGACGCGGTCCTGGGGCCTGAGCCGCTGGGGGCCGGCCTGGGGCCAGGGACCGCGCCGCAGCTGGGGGGCAGTGGACGCGAGGCCCCCTGGGTCCCAGCCGCCCAGGACGGCGCGGCCGCACTCACCCAGGCTGAGCAGCAGGAGCAGGAGGCCTCTGTGGGCGCGGGGCTCTCCAGCCATGGTCCGTGGGGCCGCCACCTTGGGGTCTGCGCTTGGGCAGGAAGGGCCTGTGCCCCCCACACGGCCGCCCGCCAGTGCCGGCCCAGGTGAGGCTGGGGCCTCCCGGCAGCGCCACCACCTCAGCCCCACCAGCGGACCCGCCCACGGGGCCCTTCCTGTGGGGTGGGGGTGTCTGAGGGTGCCGGCGCGGTGGGTGGGGCTGGCAGCCTCACCCCTCTGGGCGGACGCTGAGAAGCCAACCCCGGGCGCGGCCACCCTCCCTCTCGCCAGGGCTGGTAGAGGGGGCGTCCCCGGCCAGGGCAAGCTCAGGCCCTGTGGGCCCTAGGGGGCCTGGCCACAGCCAACTGGCCTGCCCTCCTGCCCAGCCTGCCCCCAGGCCGCCGGCGCCTTGCGGGGTGATGAGGCCCCCAAGGGGCCACCAGGGAAGCAGCTGCAGCTGTGAGGGGAGCAGCCCCTCCTGGGCAGGCTGGGGCAGCCTAGCCTGTCCTACCCACTCCTGTCCCCCGCAGGAGACCCTCCCATACTGCTGGGTCCCTGGTCTTGGCCCAGACCGTGTTCCCTGCCTCAGGCCTCCGAGGAGCAGTGTGAACAGCCGGCCAGGCGGCACCAGGGCCAGGAGGCCGGGCTGGGGCTGGCTCGGAGGGCACCCGCTTCCCAGGGGTCTCACCCCTTCCCAAGCACGGGGAGCCCAGGCAGGGCCCACGGGAGGCAGCGGGGGTGGGGGAGGAGCTGGCCTGCTCACTGGCCTGCTCACTTGGCCTGCCCCCCGGCTCGGCAGCTGGAGTGCCCCCCACACACAGGACACCCTCCCACCCCTCTTGAGCCTGGGCACTGGGCCCAGCGCAGGGTGACCCTGGCATCCAGGGTGGTCAGCCAACCTGGGCTCCTCTGCCTCGGCTTCCTCCGCTGGGTGCTGGGCGGTGGAGGGTCACAGCCTCTCGGGTCTGTCCAGGGAAACAAATGAGGCTGGGCTGGCTGGGAGCGGCTGCTCCCACAGCAGGAATGTGGGTGGGCCCTGCCTGGCATCAGCCAGTGAAGAGGGCGGGAGAGCTGCCTGGCACTGGTGGGCGTGGGGTCCGGGCGGGCAGCCGTCCGCACAGGTGGGGGAGCTGCCCAGGCCTGGCTTCCTGGCCCCCGCGCCTCCCTTGTGGTGAGACTGGAGCTCCTGGCCTGGGCCCGAGGCGACAGGGAGGCCTCGAGGGCCCGGCCAGCCCCAGCCCCACTCCTGAGCGCTCCACCGGGCCGGGCTGGGGATGCCGGCAGGAGGGCTGCTCGGAGCAGTTTCCGGCCCGTGGCCACGGGGGGCGGACGTCTGGGGCTGTGGGAGTGTCCAGTACTGCCCACGCGGGACACAAGGCCATGGTCAGCGAAGCCGCAGAGACTGAAATCATGCCAAGTGCCGCCAGGCAGGAGTCAGCTCGGGGAGACAGGAGCACACGCACCAGGGCTTCACGGCTGCCGGACAGAAGACGGCGCCTCGGGGAAGTCACGGACGCGCTGGGACCAACGGAGAGGCTGCGCTGCCCGGGGCAAAGAATGCCGTCCCCCGCAGGGACCCCCTCAATGATCCCCCAAAGTGCCCCCAAGTGACCCCCCCACCACAGTGACCCCCGTAGTGACCCCCACGGTGGCCACGCCAAGGCCCCACGCTAGGATACCCTACTCCTGCTCCGGTTCTTTTTTTTTTAAGATTTATTTATTTTTTTAATTTATACAAAAGCTGGGGTACAGGCCAGATGTGCGGGAGGGTGAGAGGATCCACCAGAGTCAGCGGGGAGCAGAGCGGACAGACTGAGGAAATCCACTGCTGAGGGCCAGCGGGCGGCAGGAGAGGTGTGCGCGCCCTGCGGGACCCTCCGGCCGGCATGGAAGCGGCGCTGCAGAGGCTTCACAGAGCGGTGCTCAACCGCCCGCACCACCAGGCAGGCCCTGCTCCTGTTCTTTCTTTTCTTTTTTTAAGATGTATTTATTTCTACACAAGAACCGGGGTACAGGCCAGATGCGCGGGAGGGTGAGAGGAGTCACCCGAGATGCTCCTGTTCTTGAGGCAGAACACACACAGCCCAGACTAACAGAGGAAACAAAACCGTCTCCAAAAAGAGCAGCGAACCAGGCCGGCTCTTCGTGAGGGCAAAGGGGGGCCGCGGGGGCGGGGGGGGAGCGCAGGGGTCCCGGCAGCACATGCTGACTTCTGGGTCCTCCACTCCTCCATCCTGGTGACCCACACATCCGCGCTTGAGCCAATACCACGTTCTGTTTTATGTATTTTTTTGAAGATTTTTAAATTTATGCTAAAAGAACTGGGGTGCAGGCCAGAGGTGGGGGTGAGAGGACTCCCCAGAGACAGAGCGGGGAACAGAGCAGACAGATGGACCGAAGCACACTGCTGAGGAGCAGCGGGGAGACAGGAGGGGTCTGCCGCGCCCTGTGGGCAGCTCCCTGGCCGGGGATGGAACTCAGGCCGCAGGGGCTGTGGACAGCTTCACAGCGCCGAGACGTGGTTCCTGCGCCCCCAGGTAGGCCCCTGAGGCCAGGCCTGAGGAGCACGGAGATGGCCCAGCGGCTGTGGGTCCCAGGGCGGGCGGGGGCTGTGGTCACTAGGCCTGGGGAGCACCTCGGGCACTCCGCCCCATGCAGCCCCCACGCTCCCGGGTCCATGCCTCTCCGAGGCCAGGCGGCCCCTCTGTGGCTCGGGAGGCTGAGTACCCAGTGTGGCTGCAGGGCCCAGTGACAGAGGAGGGTCACCGCCCTGGGCTTCCTGGCCTAACCCCCGGCCCCAGCAGCTGGCCAGGGAAGGAGGGGAAACCTCTAGCCACGGCACTGATGTGGCTGCTGGGTCCTCTGCTTGGACCTAGCACTGCTGGGGCAAGGCCAACATGCCGCAGACAGGTGTGCTCTGGACAGGTGAGCTCTGGACAGGTGAGCTCTGGACAGGTGAGCTCTGGACAGGTTGCTCTGGACAGGTGTGCTCTGGACAGGTGAGCTCTGGACAGGTGTGCTCTGGACAGGTGAGCTCTGGACAGGTGTGTTCTGGACAGGTGAGCTCTGGACAGGTTGCTCTGGACAGGTGTGCTCTGGACAGGTGAGCTCTGGACAGGTGTGTTCTGGACAGGTGAGCTCTGGACAGGTGTGCTCTGGACAGGTGAGCTCTGGACAGGTGAGCTCTGGACAGGTGTGCTCTGGACAGGTGAGCTCTGGACAGGTGTGTTCTGGACAGGTGAGCTCTGGACAGGTGTGTTCTGGACAGGTGAGCTCTGGACAGGTTGCTCTGGACAGGTGTGCTCTGGACAGGTGAGCTCTGGACAGGTGTGCTCTGGACAGGTGAGCTCTGGACAGGTGAATTCTGGACAGGTGAGCTCTGGACAGGTTGCTCTGGACAGGTGTGCTCTGGACAGGTGAGCTCTAGACATGTGTGCTCTGGACAGGTGTGCTCTGGACAAGTGAGCTCTGGACAGGTGAGCTCTGGACAGGTGTGTTCTGGACAGGTGAGCTCTGGACAGGTGTGTTCTGGACAGGTGAGCTCTGGACAGGTTGCTCTGGACAGGTGTGCTCTGGACAGGTGAGCTCTGGACAGGTGTGCTCTGGACAGGTGAGCTCTGGACAGGTGAATTCTGGACAGGTGAGCTCTGGACAGGTTGCTCTGGACAGGTGTGCTCTGGACAGGTGAGCTCTGGACAGGTGAATTCTGGACAGGTGAGCTCTGGACAGGTGTGCTCTGGACAGCTGAGCTCTCACATGTGTGGTCTGGACAGGAGTGTAGTGCACGGGTCCTCCCAGGAACCTGAGCATCACTGCTGCAGGGTGGGAGCCCCACCACCCTTCCTGCTTCTTGCAGCCCAGGGTGGGGCAGAGGGCAGCCCCTGCAGGGCCGGGCTTACTCCTGCACCCTTGGGCGCTGTCCCTGCCGGCAGCCGGCCTCCCGGAGGAGCGGGTCACGCAGGCCTCCTCATTAGCTGCTAATTGCGACGCGCGCATGGCCTCCAGGGCCGGTGCCGGGGTGACACCTGTTGACAAGCTGTGGCGGCCCCAGCGGAAAGGCGGCGCGATGATTATGCCGCTAATGACGCGCTCAGCCTGCAGCAATTTCCTTCACAAATACGCCCTCGCGGCAGCGCCTGGAGCCAGGCCTGGGGGCGCCAGGGAGCCCCACGCGCCCAGTCTCGGGGGAAGCCGCTTTTCCTCCAGCTCTGGGCCCGGGTCCAGCACCCACCGCCGGCACATCCGCCCCTTGGGGCCCTTCTCACCCAGCACCCCACACTCAGGGCTGGAGATGCTTGGAGCAGAGGGGCTGGGGGGTGCCCCAAGTCCACCAGACCCGGCTTCTCAGGGGCCCTGCCTTTGCCCCCACACTAACTCCGACCAAACAGCCCGCACCATCCCGGGCACAGGCGGATGGGAGGCAGCGCGTCTCCCCTCCCCGCTCCCCAGCGGGTGCTCCCTGGGGGCCTGAGCAGCTGCCCCCTGATGGGAGGCCTGGCCCCCCGCAGGCCACAGGCCTCTCGCCCGCTCCCTGCAGCCCAGCCGCCAGAGCAGGGGTACCCTCGCTCCTCCCCCATGTCTGGGAGTCCTAATCCTCCACAGGCCCGTGGAGAGGGCACCGCTGTCCTACAGCCACACGCCTGCCCAGTGCCCCGCCCCAGCATCCACTGGCCCGTCCCACCCGGCCAAGGCCTGCTGGCCGCCCCCAGGCCTCACCCGCCCTGCCCCTTGGCCCCCGCAGGAGGGGCTGCAGTGCGGGGAGCCCACCCTGGGCAGCCACAGGGCTGCCTTGGCCTCGCTGCTGGGTGGCGACCCCAGGGGGCGTGTCCGCAGAGGCTGGCAGGACCTGCCTGGGCGTCTTGGTGGACATGGCCGAGGGTCTGCAGATGGGTGGTCCTGGTCCCAGGTGGCCCTGCCGGGGTCTTTACAAGGCAAGAGGGGACGGACAGAGGGGAGCCCCCAGACGCGGGGCTCAGGGCAGTGCCAGGCCCCGCCCCAGCCCCGGGGAGAAGGGCCTGCGCGCGTGGGGGCAGCAGCCCCACCCCTGCCCGCGTCCTGGCCCCAGGCTGAGGAAACTGATTTCCGCGCTGTCACTCCCTGGTCTGCGGCCCCAGCGGGAGGGCCCCGCGGGTCTCGGGAGATGCGCCCACCTCCCGGCAGGGCCGCTCCAGCGGCGGGACACCCCGGCGAGGGAGGGCGCAGCGCGCGCCAGCTGGCACGGCGGGAAGGGCGCGGTAAATACCCGCTAATGATGATGATGATGAAACAATTTGCAAAATACGGAGCAGGCCCCGGGGCGCCGCCGGCACGGAGCGCCCCAGGGGCGCCGCGGCTAATAAAAGCCCCCGGAGGGGCCGCGGCTCCATGCGGAGCGGCTCCCGCCCCCGTGCCCGGCTCCCGCTCGGGCCTGCTCGGCCGTGGTGCCCGTTCACCGCCGGGCGCCCCGCCCCGCGCCCGGGCTGGCCCCGGAGCGGCCGCTGCTGCGCGCGCTCAGCCTGGAGACGCGTCCCGGGAATGGCCGCCCGCGTGGACGCTGCGCGGGCGCCCAGCGGGGCCTCCTCCCGCCCGTCCTCCCGCCGCCGGGGCAGCCGGCAGCTGCCCGAGGCCCCCGGGCCGGCGGCCGAAGCCTGAGGAGCGGGGGAAGCCTCGGGGCGCCCGGCGGGCGGGGCGGGGCGCGCTGGGGGCCGGGCTGGGGTCCTGCACCCGCCGGCCCCACGCCCGCCTCTGCCTCGCGCCCTCCCCGCGGGCAGCTCTCGCGGCCACAGCGCGGCCCACCCGCCTCTCCTCGGGCGCCGTCTCCCCTGGAACCCCCTGCTCCCCTGGGCCAGCTCCGGGCACGCGGGCTCGGGAGCTGGGGCCCCCATGAGAGTCCCCGCCCCGCGGCGAAGCCCCCAGCCCCCAGCCGCCCCGCCCAGCCCCCTCCCGCTGCCCGCAGTGTCCGCCGCCCTCCCTGGAGCCTTCGGCGACCCCGCCCACTCTGGGGCGCCCCGCCCAGCCCAGCCCTGGCTCGGGTGTTGCGCTTCGGGGTGGGAGCGGGGGGGGGCACCCCGCTCCCCCTGTGCCCCGAGGCCGAGCGAGCGGCAGCAGGTGGGCCGGGCGGCTGGCCCCGGCGACCCGGCAGGTGGAGCCGATGTCCAGTCGCGGCGCTGGGCTGCGCGAGGCTGCGGGGCGAGGGGGTGTGGGCGTGGCCGCGGACTGTGGGGGGCGCAGGCTCATGGGGGTATGGAGCTTCGGGGTGCTGGTCTGCGGAGCTGGCCCCCAAAATAGCAGGAAAGGGTCGAGGAGGCCGTGACCGAGCAACTGGGGTCCGCAGGCCCGAGGCTCCGCTCCAGCGGGGTGTCCCCTCGCTCCTACCTGTGTCTGCTTGGATGGAAAGTGGGTGCCGCTCCGGGCCTGGGCGCACACCTGCCAAGGTGATGCCGCTCCGCAGGCTCCGGCGCGTGGCGGGGAGCCGCACCTGGCCGGGGGAGCCGGGGCGTCGAGGCCGCCTCCGGCCAGGTCCAGGCGGGGCCCACGGCGCCGGCGGGGGGCCGTGGGGGGCCGGGGATCAGGGGAGCGCGCGCGCTGAGAGCCGCTGTGCCCGGGCTCGCCGGCAGGGGGCGCGCTCCCGGGGGACCGGCGCGGGGCGCATGCGCCGAGCGGCGCGCTTTCCGGCAGTGTGGCGGAAGCGCTGGCCGTTTCGCGCCCCTTGGCGGCCTCTGCGCGCGTTGCCCGGCGGCGGTGTGGCCGCCATGGCGTCGCCCTTTAGCGGGGCGCTGCAGCTGACGGACCTGGACGACTTCCTCGGGCCGTCCCAGGTGGGCGGGCGGGGCGGCCTGGCCGGCGGGCGGGCACCCGCCTGGGGCCGGCGCCCGGGGTCCCGCTGCGCCCCCCGCCCGTGCCCCCGACGCCGCCACGCGGGGGACGCCGGAGCGGGCGGGCGCGGGGCGCGGGCGGGCGGGGGGCGCCGCGGGGGGACCGGCCGGCCCTGGGGGCGATGGCCCCGGAGCGGCCCCTGCTGCCGCGCAGACGGCGGGGCGGGCGCGGGGAGGAGCCCTCGGGCGGGGCGGGGCGGGGCGGGGCGGGGCGGGGGACCCCGCGAGCCGGTGCGCGTGCCGCGGCAGGACTGCGTCAAGCCCGTGAAGGTGGAGAAGGGGCCCGCGGGCGGGGCGGCCAGGATCCGCATCGAAGACGACGGCAGCTACTTCCAGGTCGGCCAGGTGAGGCCGGTTCGGTGACCGCCGGGACAGCCGCCTCCGTCGGGCCGCAAGTGACCTGACCCCGGCCTCGTCCCCGCCAGTCCCCGTGGGCAGAACGGGGATCGGGGCCCCGGGACCGCTCTTTTTTAGGGAGAAGACTTCGTGAGGGGTTCCTTCAAATGAAGGGACTCGGGGGAGCTGGGTGCGCTGGACCCCACTGTGCAGAGCAGCAGTGGTCACCTTGAGAAGTTGGGGAGCTCCTGGGGTCCTGCTGGCACAGTGTCACGCCCGCAGCCCCCAGATGGCTGGAAGGGAGCGCTGGCCCTCGGCAGCCCTGGGCGGACCTGGCCGTCCGGCCCTCGCAGAATCGGGGAGGGGCTTGGTTGGGATGGCCCAAAGCCGCTGAGCGTCGCCTGGGCCCCCACAGCCGGTGTCCGTGCCTCTGCCTCCCCACCTCTCTGTGCTGGCGCCACCGCCTTCTCAGCTCCCCACCTTGCCCGTCCTGTGTCCCCACACTGCCTCTTCTCCCTTTGGAGCTGGCTGCCAACATTTCTGTCCCCAGGCCCCTGTGGCCCGGGCTGGTCAGCTCTGACCCTGGCAGGAGCAGGCCACTGTGCGTGGGTCTGACCGCCAGCTGGCTGTGCCGAGTCCGAGCCTGAACACGGGCAGCCGGTGCCCCAGGACCCCCAGAGCTCATGCAGGCGGCCCTCTGCCCACGCTGTCCACCCAGGATGGAGGGGTGCGGAAGCTGGAGAAGGCCCAGGTCTCGCTGGATGACTGCCTGGCCTGCAGTGGCTGCATCACCTCGGCAGAGACTGTGCTCGTCACCCAGCAGAGCCACGAGGAGCTGCGGAAGGTTCTGGAAGCTAACAAGGTACGCGCTGGTAGTTTGGGGATGGTCCTTTAACCCCACCTGCTCTGGGGCCCTGCCCTGGGCCTCTCCAGGTCTCCTGATTGCCACGAGTGCTGGGGCTCACTGCCGGGGAGGCTGGGCCGGGCCCACCGTGCCAAGCAGTGTCTCTGCCTCACAGGCGGCGGCGCCAGGCCAGCGGAGGCTGGTTGTGGTCTCCATCTCGCCCCAGTCCAGAGCGTCCCTGGCCGCCAGGTTTCAGCTGGACTCCACGGACACTGCCCGGAAGCTGACAGCGTTCTTTAAAAAGCTAGGTAGCCACGTGGGGGGCTCTCTCGCCTCCCCGGAACTGGAGCCTCCCAGGCGCTCCCAGGCCGCCTGCCATCCAGGCTGGCCCAGCACTGAGTCAGTGCCCGCCCTGAGAGCCTGCCCCGCCCCGCCCTTCTCCCGTTGGCCCCTTGGCCCCCACCGCGGCTGCAGGGCTGAGCGGGGCGGCCTCACCTCCAGGGGCCGACCGTGTGCTGGACACCACCTTCGCCAGGAACTTCAGCCTCCTGGAGAGTCAGCGCGAGTTCGTGAGGCGCTTCCGCGGCCAGGCTGGCGCCCAGAAGCCCCTGCCCGTGCTGAGCTCCGCCTGCCCAGGTGGGCGTCTTGGGGCTGGGCCAGGCCGCGCGCCCAGCAGCCCTCATCACCCCCGGCGCCTCAGGGACCAGGGAGCCCATGGCGGGACGGGCTGCCTCCCCATCAAGGCCCGCGGGAGGGCGAGACAGCGTGGGGCAGGATCAGACAAGGCTGCTCCCTGTGGCGCAGGCTGGATCTGCTACGCCGAGAAGGTCCACGGAAGCGTCCTGGTGCCCCACCTCAGCACCGCCCGCTCCCCGCAGCAGGTCATGGGTGTGCTGGTCAAGGACTTCCTCGCCCAGCAGCAGGTGACAGCCGGCCTTGCGCACTGGAGAGGCAGGTGTGGGCGCTGCCTGTCGCCCTGGGGAGGTGTGGAGACCTCGCCTGCCACCCAGTGGCTCCCGGGGTGCTGGGTTACCTGGACTGGGTGACAAAAGGCCCTGCTGGCCCGGGCGGCGGTGCTGTGCAGCCTGGTAGGGGAGGAGGAGCCTGACCAGGGTCTGCCCTCCGGGAGCGTGGCTGGTAATCAGGCGCGTCCTCAGATCCTGTGGCCCCGGCCCCACCTCTGCGGCCCCAGGCCCAAAGGGGGCCGGCGGCTGGGTCAGCGCCTGCATGTCCACGCTGCAGCGCGTGAGCCCGGGCGGGATTTACCACGTGGCAGTGATGCCGTGCTACGACAAGAAGCTGGAGGCAGCCCGGCCCGACTTCTTCAGCGAGGAACACCAGACCCGGGAGGTGGACTGCGTCGTCACCACAGGTGGGCCTGCGGCCTGCAGCCCCTCGCGCCGTGGCAGGGGTCTCTGGGGGTGAGAGGGGCGCCTCGCGTGTGACCCCCACGTTGGGCCCCGGACTGGCCATGTCCTCCGGGCTCAGTGCACCGCGGTCTGGCACAGGAGAGGTCTTCCGGCTGCTGGAGGAGGAAGGGGTGTCCCTGTCGGAGGTGGAGCCGGCCCCCCTGGACACTCTGTGAGTCTCCGCTGCAGGGGCATCGGCCTGGGGGCTGGGCGCCCTGCGAGCGGCCCAGGTGGGCATGTGGGGCAGCCTGGGGACACCGGTCGGCCCCGCCTCAGCCCATGCTGTCCCCCGCCAGGAGCAGCGGCGCCCACGCCCAGGAGCCCACCGGCCACCGGGGCGGGGGCTCGGGCGGCTACCTGGAGCACGTGTTCCGGCACGCAGCCCGGGAGCTTTTCGGGATCCACGTGGATGAGGTCACCTACAGACCCCTGAGGTCAGGGGGCAGCCCGAGTAGCAGTAGGCCCTCCTGTGGCCTGGGGCATATGCCCTAGAGCAGGGGCCAGGCAGCCGGTGCGGCGCAGACGGGATTCTCCTTGCTTGGCACGTGGGGTGGCAGGGGCCCCGCGGGGTTGGAAAGGGCTCCCGCGGCGCCCACTGCAGGCTGGGAGGGCAGGCTGTGGCTCCGTGTGGGGCGGCTGCCTGCTGAGCGGGGTCTGGGCCACAGGAACAAGGACTTCCAGGAGGTGACACTGGAGCAGGGGGGCCAGGTCCTGCTGCGCTTCGCTGCTGCCTACGGCTTCCGCAACATCCAGAACCTGGTGCAGAAGCTGCGGCGCGGCCGCTGCCCCTACCACTACGTGGAGGTCATGGCCTGCCCAGCAGGTGCCGGCGGGGGCAGGGCCAGCCGGGAGGGGCGGGGCTGGCGGGGCGCGCCAGCACCCCTGACCTTGCACTGCCCCCCCAGGCTGCCTGAATGGCGGGGGCCAGCTGAAGGCCCCCGACGGCCGGGGCAAGGAGCTGCTGCAGCGTGTGGAGGGGCTGTACGGCGCGGTCAGCACGGAGGCGCCCGAGGACGCGGCCGGTGTGCGGGAGCTGTACGAGGACTGGCTGCAGGGCGAGGGCTCGGAGCGCGCCGGCCGCCTGTTGCACACAGCCTACCGTGCGGTGCCTGCGGCCAGCCCCGGCCTCAGCCTCCGGTGGTAGCCGCCTCGGGCGCAGGCCGGCAGGAAGTCGGGCCCTGAGACCCCAGGGCTGGCCACAGAGGTGCCAGCCAAGACACAGGGACACAGACACTCTGGCCGGGCCTCCCTGACTCACCAGCGGGGCTGGGCCTAGTGAGGCCCGTCCCCCCCATGCCACGGGCCCCAGCGCGCCGCTTCCTGGGAACTTAGAGCGTGGGGTCGGGGGACAGCGCCAGCTTCAGGATCCCGGGAGCAGCAGCATGGCGGTGGCAGCAGAGGCCTGTGCTGGGCACCCACCACGTTGGCACCGCCCCCACCTGGACCTGCGTCTATCATGGCCTGAATCTGCGTGCTTGGGCTGGGCTGGCCAGCGCCAGGCCTTGGCCCCTCCCTCAGGGCCTGTCCCCCAGCCCTGCTGCTATAAAGGATTTCTACATCGCCCCCACTGGCTCCTTGTGCGGCACCGAGACCGGCCCTGCCAGCTTTATGTCCAGTCTGCCGGGGACCGCAGGCACCCAGGGGCCGTGTACAGGGCAGGCAGTGCCAGGTGCTCACTTTCCAGCCAGAGAGGGCTGGCCCTGTGGGTGCTGGGGGGGTCACTCAAGTCCTGCTGCAGTGTGAGGAGGGCCTGGGCCTGCGCTGCCCGGCACCCCGATTGGTCCACCGTCCTGGTGGCTTCGCCCCAGGTGGACGCCTGATGGAGTCATCCTCCTGTCGTGCAGCTGGGGCGCCTGTGGGCCTTGGAGAGCTGGGCAGCTGGCTGGGCTCAGTCATAGCCTGGACCTGGGAGCCCTGTGACCATCTGCATCTGCCCAGACCCATCAAGTGGCGCCGACCGGCGCAGCGGTGGGTTAGCAAGGCTGACCCAGGGATGAGAGACTGAGCTAGGCGGTCAAGGATTCGGCGCAGAAATGACAGACAGACACACTTCAAGAGTGAAGATCTGAATGTGATGTGCTCAAAATCACCATACACTTTCATTCCTTTTCTAACAAGGGATGATTTCATACAAGTTCATTTTTTCTCAGCATGAGATGTTTAGTCACACGCAAGACATTTGCTTCATCATTCAGGGACACGCGATCGACGTGCCATGGCGTGGAAGGCTAAACAATCGCAAGGTTCCGATTAGAGGAATCTATTTCTACACAGTTATTTCTGATTATACAGAACAGCATTTCTCAAGTTAGTTTTTCTTGTTTCTTTCCCAATACCGCTCATAATCAGAAAGTATTAATATTTAACTACTGTTGTATTTTACATTTAACGATCACGAACAGTATTTTTTCTATGTAAGCATTTAATTTTTGTGGTTTTGACTCATGTGAGAAGCATGATGATTATTCCGAAACTACTTTTACCACACACTGTTTTCTTCATCCTGCGTTTCCTGAAACTGATTTTACACATCTATAGAAAAAGTCAAGTAGGTAAGAAAAGGGTGTGATTACAGACTGGTTGCTATGTTGCTGCTTCTGCAGGAACAATGACCAACTGGTTAATAGTTAAACCGTTTTGTTGGTGACGCCATCAGGCTGGTTTGTAGGCGACGCACGGTCTCAGCCAAAAGAAGGGGTTTTTCACTGCGGGCTTAATGCCTGAATTAGGCTTACAGGCCTTTAGCCATTTCTCTGATTTGAGCGCCAAAGATTGCTAACCTACCTTCATCATGATGAAGCCCCTCGGGGACTGCGCCTGTCTTAGGTCGTCAGGAGTCGCAGACGTGAGGCTGGCCAGTGCCTGCTGTAGTCCGCCCCGATCTTACCCGTCATTGACTGTCCAGTCCAGCGCACAGGGGAAGGGGGTCTTATTCACTCGGATGGACTATGTGTCTCAGTGAAGGCCTCCCTCTTTCCAGCAAGGTCACTGGCGTTCAGCGGCAGGGGCTGCCGCAATCAAGACCACTGCCCGGGCACCTGCAGCCTGGGCTCGGAGCAGGCCAGCCTGGCCCTCCCATGGATGGTTGCTGCTGGGCTTCCACCTGTGCGGTCCAGAGGTGTGTTGGGACCACCTTGCGTCCCTCAGCTGGGGGGCACAAGCTCCATGCCCTGCCCAGTGGGGGGCGGCAGGGTGGCCAGCATCTGGGCCAGGACCTCCTGGTGGGCCCACAGCCCATGGTCAGACACCCGTGGAAGCAGCCGGTGCAGCCTGGCTTCGGGAGGCAGCGCAGGTGGACAGCCCCAAGCTCGGGCTGAGGGGAGGGCGTCCTGCTCCTGGCCCACGCTGGCCAGCTTCAGCCTGCAGGTTGGCGAAGCACTCGTTGACACCTAGCCTGGGCCACCTGGCAGGAGAGGTCCCCTGGGCCTGCCCCTGGTCAGCAGTGGTTTTGGGTGGTCTGTGACACCTGCTGCTGGCCCACGATCTCCAGCAGCCCGAAGGGAGACAGGTGAGCTGCCCCCCACCACCACCCCACCACTCCTCCCTGGGCCAGCCAGGGAGAGGGGCCGGGTGCCCCTGGCGGAGCTGGGGTGTACAGGCTCGACAGAGCGGGCAGCAGGCACTGGATGAAGGCGAAGAGGCCAAAGGGCATCAGAGGACATGGAGCCCAAGTAGCCAGGGCACAAGCGCCAACCAAGATTCCCGAGGAGCCTGGCTTCGTGGTGACCAGCGTCGGCCAGGCTGCTTATCCGCCAGCACTGTCCCGCCACCCACAGCCTCACCTCTTGGGCACCCTCTTGGGCACCGCATGGCGTCCCTCGTGTGCTCCTGGATGACCAGGTCCATGCAGTGTCCCTACAACTTCACCGCGCGGGGCCGAGCTCCGCCGCCCCAGCCCCTTCCTCAGGGAGAGGGGCCTGACCCCAGACCCCCAGGCAAGGGCGTGCGAGGCAGGGTCACTCCGCACAATCGCCTCGCGCCCCTCTCCCGGGACGGGCTGGAAGACCCCTGTGCGTCCGGACGCCGCAGGCTCTGCCCACCGGCCGGCGCCGAGCCCGACCCCGACCCTGGGCCGCGGGTCAGGAGCCTGGACCGGGAGCGGCCCCCGACCTGGCCCAGCTCGGGTCCAGCGCGCAGCCTCCCGCCGGGCCGCGGAGCACCTCCTCCTCCACGAAGCCCTCCGAGCGCCGGCTGAGCCCACCCCGGCCCCGGCCAGGACGTCTGCGCCCCCTGCCCCCAGGCTGAGGGCCAGTCCCCGCGCTCAGCCAGCGCCAGAGGCGCCCAGCGAGCTTCCAAGGAGGCGCAGGGCAGGCCGGGCGCCCGCGCAAGGGCCCGTCCCCGCAGCCCGCGCGCTCCTGCAAGCGCCGGTTCCCCTCGCACCGGGGAGCGCCGGAGGCGGGTCTGTGAGGCGGGCGCCTGGGAGGGGCCGCCCCACACGGGAGGCGCCCTCCGCTGCCCGCTGCCCGCCTGCCCTCCTGGGTGGGGCCGGGAGTTGCCAGACCGGACCGACCGCAGCGGCCTTGGCAACGCCGTGCGGGGTCCCCGCAACAGGCCAGGCGGCCGCGACTCACCCCTGGGGCTTATGGAGCGCGCGGCTGGCCCGAACTCCGGGCCTCCCGGCCCAGCGCAGGCCCCTGAGCGCGTGAGTCCTCCCGGGGGCCGGCTGTCCTTTCCTCCCGACCCCGGGCCGCGTGCTTGGCAGACACACACCCTGGGAGGGCGGGAGCAGGTTTGGAGGCCACTGCCCAGGCCTGAGGCCCACCTTGGGGAGTGGGGATTGGTCTCTGCCCAGGTGCTGCCCCAGGCCGAGGACTGGCTGCCCAGAGCCCCTGGGGGCGCCCCGGCCTGGGCAGGCGGCCTCCACACGGCCGGCCCCTGGGACCTGGAACTGAGCGAGGAGCAGCGGCTGCGGGTAGGTGCGGGGCTCCGGGGCGCGGCAGGAGGGAGGGCACCCTGGACACCCACAGGCGCGCCCTCTCCCCTACCCCAGATTTCTAAGGAGCTGGTCGACCTGCGGATCGCAGCCCACCGCCTGCAGGGCCAGCAGGAGGAGGACATCTTTGAGCTGAAGAGCGAGGTGGGCGCTGGCGGGCCTGGGCCTGGGGTGCGTGCTGCCCACCACGTGCCCTGCCGAGCAGGGGTGCTGTCGCCCGCAGGTGCTGCGGCTGGAGGGCCGAGTGCTGGAGCTGGAGCTGCAGGGCTGGGACACGGCCAGGGCGGACCCCGGGCCCCGCCTGGCCCCGGCACAGGCGCGCGGGCAGGCACCCCGCAACCGCCGTGGTGTCCAGGTCTCCGCGAGCGCAGGGGGCATCTGGCCGGGTGGGCCGGGGAGGCTGAAGCGGGGGTGCGGCCAGGGAGGCGGCAGCCACCTCTCCCTTCCGCACAGGAGCAGCCTGCCGGCGACCCGGGCCCCGAACACGAGCAGCAGGAGCTGGGGAGCAGCGCGGGTGTGGTCACCCGGCAGGGGCAGTGCAGGGACCCCGGGGCCTGGGGCCTCCCCCTACCGGTCCCCGTGCCCCCCCTGCCGCAGGGAGAAGTGGACCCGGCGCAGGAGAAGCACCAGGCCCGGCAGCTGGCGCTGCAGGCCCACGTGTGAGTGGGGGCTCACCTGGTGCAGGCGGCTGTCCCCCGAGGCAGAGGCGCCCCACCCCACCCCGGCCTCACTGAGCCGCCCACCCGCAGGGCAGCCCTGGGCCGGCAGCTGCAGGGAGCCCGAGAGGAGGCCAGGACAGCTGGGCATCAGCTGGCCACACAGGCTGTGGTGAGACCTGCTGCGCCGGCTGTGAGGGCAGGGAGGGGTGCCCCCAGCAGTGTCCACTTGTGGCCGTGGACTCAGGGCCGTCTCTGCCATAGGTGCTGTCCACCTGCCAGGACCAGCTCCGCCAGGTGGAGGCCGAGAACGCCAGGCTGCAGCTGCAGCTCAAGAAGCTCAGTCAGGAGTGCGCCCTACGACTGCAGCGCTGCGCCCGGGACGCTGTGGTGCGCGGGTGCCGAGCAGTGGCCTCTGGGAGCACCCGGGCCTGGCCCCTGCCGGCCACCCACCCGCTCCCAGCTAAGCCTGCCCATCTCCTACAGGAGCAGGCTGAGAGGGCAGGGCAGGTGCCCGAAGCCCCCACCCTGCGGACACTCCTGGAGGCCGCCGTGGAAGGCATCCGGGCAGCCCACCGCACCCGCGAGCAGCAGCTGGCCCGGGCCGCCCACACCTACAGCAAGCGCCTGGCAGACCTGAGCCGGAGACACGAGGCCCTCCTGGCTGCCCAGAGGTGGGTCCTCGAGAGGCGGGCACCGGGGTGGGTGGCCCAGCACGCGGCTCCGTGCCGCCGACACTAGTGGACACCGACAGGGTCCCCATGGACCTGGAGCCGCGACCCCGGCACCTGGTCCCGGCGCTTGGGCACCAGCAGGAAGACCAGGTGAGGCAGGAGACAAAGCTCTGGGGGGTCCCGGGGGACCCCGCCCCGGCCTTGGGGGCAGCCACAGACCCACTCCAGGCCGAGGACCTGCCCCTGGCCCGAAGGCAGCCCACGCCCGGCAGGCCCAGCACGCCACTCCTGTCCCCGCAGGAGGGGCCCAGAGAGGCCTCCCAGCTCCGGGCGTCAGACTCACAGTAAGTGCTGCGGCCCGGGCACACCTGCAGGGGTATCACTGCCTATCAGGACACTGGGGCCACCTCCAAGCCGGCCTGTGGCTTAACACCCCACCCAGCTCCAAGCCTGGCACAGCCCCAGCGGCAGGCCCGGTCCAGCCCCCCAGCCCTTCCCGCCCCGCTCACCCCTCCAGGGGCCTGGAACCTGCATCCTGGGCCCAGATCCACCGGAAGCTCCAGGAGTTCTCCCTCGGCACCCAGGTAGTGGCCAGGCCAACCCCCCCTCCCCAGGGCCCCCCGCAGCGCCCCCCACAGTGTGCCCCTCCATAGGCGGCGCTGGAGCGGGACCGGGCACAGCTGCTGGTCCGGGCCACCAGGGCTGAAGAGCAGCTTTCTGAGCTCCAGGAATACGTGGACCAGCACCTGAGCAGGTGGGCTCTCGGGGGAGCCTTGGCCCGCACTGGCCCATGGCCTCGCGGCGGCTAAGCCCGACCTCTCTGCGCAGGTACAAGCAGGAGATCCTGAGGCTGAGGATGCTCGTGGTTAGAAGGGACCCCTGGGAAGCAGGGGCTGCGCCTTTGGACAAGCCCCAGCGCCCGAGGACCCACAGCCAGTAGCCGGTCACCTGGGGAGACGGCGCTCCCGGCGGCAGGCAGCCCCCGCACCCGGGTGCTTGGCAGTGTACAGCAGGACTGGGGGGGCCGGTCCAGAGTCTTTATTGTGTTGTCAGCCAGCCTGAGAGCCGGGGGCCTTGGGGGCTAAGGCAGCACCAGGTGCCAGGCGAGCCTGCCTGGCTGGCCCCCTAGGCTGGATGTCATAGGCCCAGACTCGGTCCAGACCCTCGCCCACCACCGCCGTGGGCTGCCAGGTGGGGAGAGGGAAGCGCCCGGACACTACGCGGGCCCCCGCGGGCAGCTCCGCCTGCAGCTTGTCTTCCAGCAGCGGGAGCTGTGGGGGGAGAGGGGGGGATGGGGGGTGGGCGGGTGCGGGAACAAGCTGCCCGCCTACCCCCCTGCCCCGCCCACAGCTGGGAGAACCCCTGGACCTACCACGCTGGGGGCCAGGAACACAGACACGTTGTGGCAGTCCCGCAGGCTCGCCTGCAAGGAGAGGGGGCCGTGGGCTGGGGTCGCAGTGCCTTCCCGGCCCAGCCCTCCCACACCGCGGCAGAGCTACCAGGGCGTCAGCAGGTGGAGCCAGAGCGGCAGCGTGGAGACGGGGGTGCCCGAGGCGCCAGGGTTACCTTCCAGAGGTCCTCCCTGCGGTAGCTCACGCTGGCGGCACAGCCCGCCCTCCAGGCGTGCAGCCGCGCCAGCCCCAGCAGCCACGGGTTCAGCTCGTAGCCCAGGGCTGGGCGGAGCCCGCACCTGTGGGCTGCCAGCACCTGCGGGCAAGGGGCACAGGCAGCAGGGGGTGGGAGGCCCACGCTGGCAGGGCCGGAGGGGGCGACCCCCGCCCCCGACACAAACCCCCCCTTACGATCCTGCCGTCGCCGGAGCCCAGATCCACCGTCTTCCCGGGACGGCCGCGCAGCAGCGACAGCACGTTCTGCACCTGGCGCGGACTCGCACCCACGTAGGGCACCTGGGGGCGGGGCTGGACTCCACTGGCCGCTCCCACTCCCCGCAAAGGCACGGGCGTGGAAGGTCGGCCTCCCGGCTCCCAGCACCGCAACCCGGCTGGGCAAGAGCGTCCCGCCACAGCCTGGCCTGTGCGCTGCCCAGCCCGGCCCTGCACGCCCGCCCCAGGCCAGCACCTGCCCGGCACGCCCCAGGCCCCGCCCACCGCGGCCCCGCCCACCGCGGCTCCCCCTCCGGGCCCCGCCCACCCGGGGCCCCGCCCACAGCGGCCCGCACACCCGGGGCCCGCCCGCACCTGCAGCCGCAGCGGCACGCGCCGGAAGCCCGGCTGCAGCAGCAGCGCCCACACGGCGTAGGCGGCCAGGCCCGAGCCCGCCGCCGCCTGCAGCAGCTCCCACGCGCCAAGCTGCCGCCCGCGAAGCTCCGTCAGCGCCTCGGCCGGGTCGTCCTGCTCCATGGCTACGGGACCGGCGGCTCGGGGCCGGCCCCCCACCGTCCGCGCGGCCGGAAGTGACGCGCTCCAGAAGCGCCGGTCCGTGCGCCGCCCGCTCCGCCCGGCGACGGGGCCGTGCCCGCGGGTTCCGACCGCGCAGCCCGCCCCGCCGCGGCTCGCGTTCGGCGCGGGGCCGCCTGGGCCGGGCCGGCCGCTGTCGCGCGTGGACGCCCTCGCTGGCTTCCCGCCTCCGGCCCCGCTTTATTCTTATTTTTTCTCTTTAATATATTTTATATAATTCTTACATCATTTTTCATTTTTGCACAATGTATGCGTTTTCATCTTGGTTGTGCGCCCCACGCTTGCACCCCCCCATTGTGACCCCAATCCCTCTCCCCCCCGCAGTGCGCCCCTGGCCCGTGGTTGCTTGTCGGCTTTATTTTTTTCTTTGTTATAATTAGTCATTTTCTGGTCCCTTATTTAGGATTTCTAGGTTCCTGCTATGAGTGAGACCACCGGGATTTTTCTTGTTCTTTCTGGCTTATTTCGCGGAGCACGATCCCTTCCAGCGCCGTCCATGTTGCTGCAAACTGCACGAGTTTATCTTTTTTGATTGCCGAGTAATATTCCATGGTGTACCTGTACCACATCTTCTTGATGCAGGCATCTGTTTTTGGGCATTTGGGTTGTTTCCATAGCTTAGCTATTGCAAATAGTTCCAGCCCCGCTTTAAATAAAGCTTTGGCTGAAACGTCTCAGCCTCTGTGCTCTTCGGTCTTGCCTTGTGGGTGAGGACTCACGCAGGTTGCCCCATCCCTCCGGGGGTCCCTGATGCCCCCACGCGACGCAGGGTGGCCACACCTGGCTGACCAGCCTGCGAGGCCCTCCCCCACTGTAGGGGCAGGAAGGACACTGAGCAGGTTCCCTGATCCAGCAGAGCGGATAAAGGAGGAGTCCGAGTCTTCAGTGGCTTTTGCAAGACTTTTACTTGGATTGACCAGGCATATGGCAGGCAGGAGTGCGGGGAGGCCGGGAGGCTGGCAGTCCTAGCCCCCAGCAAATCCTCACTCTATCTGGGCTCTCTGGCGTTCTCTCTGCTTCTCTTCTTCTCAGCTTCCGTTCGTTCTTGGCATCTCTCTCGGCTTCTCTTTCTCTCAGCTTCTGCTGGCGTCCCCGTGAGGCCACCCAGTCTTTCAGCCCAGGTGTACCCACTTCAGGTGCCCGCCATCAGGCATGCATTCAGGACCACAGGATTCCCTCATCTATCCTACTGGCAGGAGGGTAGAAAAGCCTGATATTTTTTCCTTACCCTACACCCGCGATGGTCACTGTCCGGTGAGGTGCAGTGCAGGCGCGGGGACGGCTGCCGCTGAGAGGGCTTGGTTTCAGAGCAGACATGGGTCCGTCTTTAATGCCCGCCTATTTTTTGTCCACCTCCCTCCCTCTTTTTAGTCTAGGTGAAGGGGCAAAACCGCGTGGAGGATGTTTCTGGCTTTAGGGCTTTAGGGGGTCCTGTGGACACATGCGTGGGTCTGCCTGCAGCCGCTGCGGGGGGCTTCCTGGGGGGATTCGCAGCTGTGTGCTTGTGCATTTGTCACAACTTGGCTTGGGGGCCGAGGGCCCAGCCTTCTGCTGCAGCCCAGCGCTGCTGGCTGGGTCTGGCCACCTGGAGTGAGCTCAGTTGGCGTCTGTGTCTGGGAGGTGTGTGGCTTTTCTGAAATGCTGCAGTCGGGGAAGTGACCGGCCACGCGTCTTTGAACTGTCATGCTGCTTTGCAGTCAGAGGAGTTGTGTAAAAGTTCAGCCGCCACACACACGCCTGCCGTCCTCCCTGGCTGCTGGAGCAGAGGAGGACCGGCCCCTACCAGAGGCTTTGACCCTATGGCACAGAATCCCTCCAGGGGCCAGCGCTCCTCTGGACCCTGCCTTTCTTTGAAACCTGCAGGTCTAAAGCCCTCGGTGCCTCCTGTTGGAGGGGGCCCAGTGGGAGGTGACCTGGAGACAGGTCTTGGAACCTGCCAAAGGCCTGAGATACTCCTTCACGAGAAAGACAATGGCTTGAGTGTCCTCTTTCTCCTTCAGCATCTGCTGCCAGGCGCCCTGGGTTGGCCTCCTCGTGGGCACCAGAGCCCCGGAGATGGGTGGGCAGAGCTCCGTGGCCAGCGTTGCCCTCTCCCTCTGTCGGCTGCAGTTGGCAGGTCGCACCCGGATTCACGCAGCCTCCTCCAGCCTTAGGGATTTGAGTTTAGAGAGAACTTGATTGGGGCTTTTGTTTTTAAAGATGTATTTTATTTATTTATGCATACAAGAGCTGGGGTGCAGGCCAGAGGGCGGGGCGGGGTGGGGAGGATTCCCCAGAGACAGAGTGGGGAGCAGAGCAGGCAGATCCACTAATACGCACTGCTGAGGGGAGCAGCGGGGAGACAGGAGAGGTCTGCTGCGCCCTGCGGGTAGCTCCCTGCCTGGGGATGGAACTTGTGCTGCAGGTGCTGCCGACAGCTTCATAGTGCTGAGACTAACCCCTGCGCCACCAGGGAGGCCCATAAAATTTTAATTCAGGTTATTCCAAAGTCTGCACCCCTGCAGGAATTGCTTCTGGAGAAAGACTGACTCACGGCCAGTGGGTGACCCAGGGCTCCTGGCCGGGGCTGCCATGCACGGCGAGGAGGCTGCTCTGGTTAGTCCGTGTGGAAGGGCCTGGCTCTGCGGCGCTGGCCGACCGGCCCGCAGCCTGCACCCTTGCCTGCGCCGCGGGGGAGGAGGGACGCCTCCTGTCACTCGCGTCAGTGCCTGCCTCTGCTGGGTTTTAGTGGGGGCCTGACTTCATTTTATCGAGGGACTCAAAGAGGAATTTGCTCCCGAAGGAGGAGGCCAGGCAGTGTGGGACCCTGAGGCTTATCAGGCTTGGATTGTTTTCATCCTCTTCCTCTCCAACGAGGTGGAGTGTTTGGGCACATTTTCTGAGGGCCCCTATCTGCTCACAGAACCCTCACAGTGGGGAGCCCGGGGCTGGACGGGACCCTGGGGGTGGCCGCAGCGTCTCCGGGCTGCCCGCTGCTTTCCCTCCTGCTGCACCACGCGTGGGGCCTCCTGCACGTCCTCGGCGCCCACCCAGACCCTTGACTGTTTTGTCCACATCTAGAGGATCTTTGATTTGCAAAGAATCCAGGAACTCCTTGTCCACGAGGATGGCCAGCCCCTGTCCAGTGCCCAGCCCATGGGTTTCCATGGTGTGTTCCTTTTGACTTGGCATTTCTGTGAGACCTGGGCCGGGGGATGCTGGGGGTGCGCGGGCGCTGGGCCTCAATGGTGCATTTGATCTGTCTCCTTCTATTCGAATTGGAAATATGTTTCATTACGTGGCTCTGATTGCAATTCTTCTGGGGGTTGAGCTCAAGCTGAGCCAAAAAGAAAGCCTGCCACATTGCCTGCAGGCCCCAAAGACCACCGGCCAAGTGGGGAGGGGCCCGCTGGGAGCCCCGCAGAGGTGCCCAGGAGCCCCGGGAGGAAGAGATCTGAGGCCGGGCTGGGCTGGACTGGGCTGGCTGTGAGCCCGGAGCCTGGCAGAGGGCATCCGGCACTGGCCATGCTCACGCAGCGGTGGCTATTCTGCCCCGGAGTTAATGCAAAACCAGTGGAGCGGGTTGGAGCTCAGCCCGGCCACAGGTGCGCTTCGCTGCTGGTGCTTAGAATTGGAACGAAGATGCAGAAAATGGGCTGAATAGTAGAACCATTTAAAATAGTATTTCCGGGGCCTCCCTGGCAGCACAGGGGTTGCTCTCAGCGCTATGAAGCTACCGGCAGCCTCTGCAGCACGAGTCCGATCCCCGGCCAGGGAGCTACCCACATGGCGCGGCAGACCTCTCCTGTCTCCCCGCTGCTCCCCTCAGCAGTGGATCTCAGTGGATCTGCCTGTTCCGTTCCCCACTCTGTCTCTGGTGACCCCTCACCCCCCACACCTCTGGCCTGCACCCCGGCTCTTGTATGCATAAATAAATAAAATACTATTTCCTTCTTCCTGGGATGTTTTTTCTGAAACTGCTGTTTGCTTGACTAAGCCCGCAGCCGTTGCTGTTTTCTTTTGACTTAGCCTGACCAGCTGCTTTCTAGAAGCCCCGGAAAGGTGGCCTCCCACCGGCCTGGGGCTGGCTTGCTCTCTCCTCCAAACAACCGGGGCCCTGGAGCAGTCCGCCGCCTGAGGTCACCCCCAGACAGGACAGTGGCTAAAGTGGCAAGGAAGGGGGGCGACGAGGAGGGGAGGACCACCACAGACGCCGCTTCCTGCCCCTACGTGTCCCGGTGCCGGGAGCCAGGCTTCAGGGGCCGCTGGAAAGAGGCAGAGCGCGTGCCGGGTGGGCTCGCTGGGGGACGGGGCATCTGGCCACGCAGAGGCCGTGAGCGCTCTCCTGTAGCTCCTGCATAAACGGACCTTCCTGCTTGGGCTTCTCTCGGCCTGTCCACTTTGGGGTCTTGTCATGTGGGTGAGGACTCAGACTCAGGCTGCCCTGTTTCCCCTGGGGGTGCCCTGGAACTTGCCCACCGGGATACCCCACAGCCAGCCAACCCAGGAGTGGCACAGGTGGAAGCCGAGTGGGAAGGGGGTGCGGGGGCAGGCGAGGGGGTCCAGCAGCCCCAGAACGTGAATGTGCCGGGAGGGAGGTGGGTGTGGGGCCCAGGCCTCTGGGGCCAGCCCAGCCGTGGGTGCTGAGCAGGCCCAGGGAGGCCTCCCTCCTTCTGGGGGTTAGGAAGAGACTGAGCTCTTGGGATTGACATGGCAAAGCCCCAGGGGTAGGTCCCGGGCTCAGGTGGCAGAGCAAGACTTCTCCTTGCTGCCTCCTGCAGCCAAAGTCCACACCTGCCCTTGTCTGCCCCGGGGCCCACCCCTCGGCTGCCCCAGCACTGGCCGGAGCCTGTGGGGCAGAGGCTACCTCTGCAGCTGGCTCCCCAGGTGCAGGGCCAGTGAGGTCCAGGGGGCTGCCGGCCCCAGAGACAGGCGTCCCTGCCCGGCGGCAGGAGACCGGGTACCCGTGCCAGGCCGGGGCTCCCAAGCCCCTCCCAGGGCTGGTGTGCAGGCCCCCCTAGGGTGCGGTCACAGTGCCGGCCCACGACCCACGGCCCCCCTCTGCGCCTGCTCTTCCCAGAGCCCAGTGGCACCCAGTGGCGCTCACCAAAGCTTGCTGACCGTGAGCAGCCAGCCGGCACCCCGGGGCCCAGCCCTCCCGCCTGCACAAGGGCTCCGGCTGCTCATCCTCCAAGACCGGGACGAGGGGGCAGGGCAGGTGCTCAGCCCCGAGGGTGCCGCGAGTGCGGGAGAGGGAGCAGCCGATAGGGCTGGGCCCGAGCAGGGGCGAGGCAGACATGGGTGCGGGGTCCCCAGGGGTGCGGGGTCTACCTGTACTGGAGAGATCCCGGCTGCGGGCCCAGCACACTGGTGGCTGACGGCGCCGCGGGCGCAGCTCTCCAGCGGGACAGTGGCTGCCAGCCCCAGCACCGGGCCGGGAGCGCGGGAGGCGCGAGCCGCCAGGAGCCTCGGGGGCGCCTCTGCCGGAGGAGCAGTGCCGGGGCAGTGCTCCCCTCGGCCCTTCTCAGCAACCCCTCGGTGCGCGGGGCGCCCAGCCCTCCCCGCGCGAGCCCGGCCAGTGGGAGGAAGGGGCCCGGGCGGGGGCGCCACATCCCCAAGCCTCCCCCAGCCTCAGTTCCCGCCCGAAGGCCCGGCCCGGCACCCTTGGGACAGGAAGCTGCGACTGGGGGCGCCGGCCTCGCGCCCGCTCTGCGGGCAGCCGCCCTCCCCGGCTCCGGAGCCCCTGCCAGCACCCCCGCTGGGCCTCCGGCCCTCTGTGGCTGAAGCGCGGAGGAAGGCGCGGGCGGCAACAAAGGAGCCAGGGCGGGAAACGTCCCGGGCCCCGCACCGCGCGCCCCCGTCCGCCGGAGAGCGGCCGCGCTGGACACGCAGCAGGGCCTCGGACACAGGGACCCGGACAGAGGGCCCCGCGCTCCCCAGGGCCAGGCTGGGCCGGGCGGCGCCGAATGTTGGTCTTTGGAGGAGCCTGGACGGAGGGACAGGGCCCCGCGCCCACCCGCAGTGGAGTGGAGGGGCCAGGGCCGGGGCTTCTGCGCGGGCGTCCAGGTTGGGAAGGTGAGAGGGACAAGGCACGGAGGGGGGTGGCGCCTCCCTGCCCGGAAGGACACTTGGCGCCGCCGAAGGCCGTGTGCCCGCCATGTCTGCTGTGCCCACATTAAACCAGATTAAACCCCCCTCTGAGCACAGAGGACAGGGCCCGCGGATGGCAAAGCCAGCTCAGGCTGGGGGTGATGGCACCTGCCTAACCCCAGGGGCCCCTCTGGCCCGACCCCGCCGCCCTGAGCTGTGGCAGGCCCCGGGGGGCCGCGTCCCTCGTGAGTGGGGGCCCATGGGCCTCCCACTGGCCTCTCCCTGGACGGCGTGGGCAGCAGGAGGGAGGCCGAGCTGCAGGGGAACCCCTCACCCCGGCGCCCCGACATCAGAGGCCACACAAATGAGGCAAGGGCCGACCAGACGCACTTCTTATTGGTGGTGCCGCCCCAGCGGGGCCCCTCAGTCCAGGGCCACCTCGCAGGGCAGCCGCTGGGAGGCGAGGGCGGCCACGTAGGCACGGCGGAACTCCCGGAGGCGCGGCGCACAGCCCAGCCAGGCCTCCCCGAAGCGGCGCCAGCCCGTGAAGAGGAAGGTGCCGGGGCCAGGGCGGACTCCGCAGCGCAGGGGGGCGCGGACGGAGACCCGCACGGGGACCGCGGAGCCGCCAGCCAGGCGCAGGGGCGGCGTCTGCCGGAGGACACGGGCAGCGGCCACCGTGATGAGCGACTCGTGCAGCTCTGCGTCGTGGGTCACCCCGACGATGGCCCCTCGGATCACTGTGGGGAGACAGGCTGGCCAGTGGTGCGCGTGCACGCAGACCCGCCCCCACCGCCCGCCACTCACCGAAGTCGCTGGTGCAGGCGGCCAGGAGGAGCTCGGCGTCGCTGCAGGGCCTGCAGGCACCTGGACATGGCGGGGTGCATGGGCTCTGGCCCCCGGCCTCCAGGGCTCCCCTCCCGCCCCATGAGAGGCCCTCAAGGCCTGGCCGCGGGTCCTGTGGTCAGCCACCCAGAAGAGGGGGGGCTGTGCCCACTGCGCAGGAGGGCCAGGGCCAGCTCCCACACCCCTTCTTAGGATCCCCAGATGCGGTGCCCCCACGGCCTCCCACAACTGCCTTCTGGGACCCGAAGAGCACCCCGGGCTGTGGTGAGTGCTGGGGTCTGGAACCAGGGGGCAGAACAGAGACCCCAGCCCCGGAGGGTCAGGCCTCGGGCTCCAGGACAGCAGAGCTGGCCCTGCTGCCCTGCAGGGGGTGGGCCAGGTCTCCATGGTGACCAGGCTCACACTGGACTTTTGTTGTTGGGGGCTGGGGGAGGGGAGGGAGGTCACTGCAGGGCCAGGGAGGCTTTGATGCTGTCCCCATCACCCCTCCCCCAGCCCTTCGCCCGCTCTGGCCTCCCCTCCCACAAGCTGCCCCCACCCGGCTGGAGGGGTGGCTGCGCCCACCCCACCCCCACCCCCACCCCCACCCGCCTGCGGCCCAGGCATCTGCCTCAGGCAAGCCCCTTGTCTTCCCTCCGGGCAGTGGGGAGAGGAGCCTTCCCGCCCAGCCCAGGTGGGGCGCGACTTCCGGCCCCCCAGCCCAGGCTGGCACTCACCATCTGCGCCCAGACCGTGGACTTGCAGAGGCAGCTCCGGCCGCCCCGCGGCGAGCAGCTCGAAGCGGAAGGAGGCCACGCGGCGGCTGATGTCGGGGTGCGGGGTGGCCTGCAGGAAGAGGGCCCCGCGCTCGCCGGGGGCCCAGTGCGCGCAGCGGCCCCGGGCCGGGCCCCCGCCCTCGGCCAGGAGCAGCTCCAGGGCGCCGCCCGCCCGCTCCGCGAAGACCTGGGCGCCCGCGAAAGGCCGCGCGGGGCGCAGGCAGGCGACGCGGGGCCGCGCGCTGGCGTCGGGGCCGCCCAGGGTGAGGCGCAGCGCCCCGGCGGGGTACAGCCACTCGACCTCGCCCTCCGCGCAGGCCAGGGCCAGCTGCCCCACGCTGCCCGGCTCCTGGGTCAGGCCGCTGGGGACGGGACGCCGGCGCTGAGCAGGCCGCCCGGTGCCCACCCGGCGCCGCCCCCCCGACCCCGCGCGGGCCCCGCAGATGCGGCAGCTTTGTGGCGGCGGAAACCGAGGCCGCGTTCTGGGGCGCCCCCCCGCCCCGACGTTCGGTGCCGCCTCGCGCACCCCCATCCGAAGGCGGGCGACCCCGCCGCCGTGCCCCTGGGCGGGCGCGGGGCCCTCGCGGGTCGTACCTGCCCCTCCAGCTGCAGCCGTCCTCGGAGTAGCCGGCGCGGGCGGCCGCCGCCCAGAGCCCGCAGCAGAGCGCGCAGAGCAGCGCGGGGGGCGCCATGGCGCGCGGGGCTCGGAGCCGCGGCGGGACCGGTCGGGCCGGCGGCGGGAGCAGCCGGGGCGCCGGCCGCCGGGCCCGGGGCCGCCCCACCGCCCGCGCCGGCCGCGCAGCCCCCGCGCCCCGACCGCCCGCGAGCGCCCCGGCAGGCGCGGGGGGGCGGCGGGCACCCGCCAATCGCGGCGCGGCCCCGGAACTTTCCGCCAATCGCGGCGGCGCTCGCGGGGGCGGGGCCCGAGGCGGGCGGGGGGGGGGCGGCGACCCCGCGCCCCGAGTGGCCCGCGCGGCCCCACCCCGCCGCTCCGGGCTCGCCGGCCCGACCCGGACGCCCCCCCGCCCGGTCCGGGCTCCCGGGACCCGCGGGAGGGAGGGGGGCGCGCGCACCCGGGTCCCCGCCCGCCGGCCGTCCAGTCCCCTCCGGGCGGCGGAGCCGGGCCAGGGCCAGGGCTGCACCGCGGGCCGCTGTCCTCCGGGGCCGGCGCGCGCTCGGCAGGTCAGGGCCTCCCGCTGCCTCCTTTTCTGAGGCTCCTCGTCCCGCCCTGGCCCCGAGTGTGACCGACGCCCGAGTTGCCCTTCGGAGGGGGCTGGAGGGAGGCGCAGGGCCCGGGCCCACCCGCGGTGGAGTGGAGCGGCCAGGGCGGGCCTCGGGTTGGGAAGGTGAGGGGGACAGGGCCACGGGGGCGGGTGGCGCCTCCCTGCCCCGAAGGACACTTGGCACCGCCGAAGGCCGAGCGCCCGCCTGTCTGCTGTGCCCACATTAATCCACAAGTCTTCAGAAGGGCCAGAAAAGCCAGGGCACCCGGGGGCGGGAGCTGGCAGCGGGCCAGGCGCTTCCCCACCGGGCCCTGTCCCCCCTGGCCGCGACTAGGGCAGGGGCCACTGCTCGGGCCCCAGCAGGCCGCCCCGTGCCCTCAGCTGGCGGCCAGGACCCACCCCCTCCGGGCTAGGCCTGGCTGTGCTGGGCGTGGGTGCTGGGGAGGGCTTCCTGGTGGGAGCCCCAACACCAGGCTTCCCTCCAGGGAACCGGTGCCCCGGAGGCCCATGCCGCGTGCGGAGCCCAGGCCGCCCACCTCCGCTGCTGAGCCGCAGAGGCTGGGTGAGCACCGGGGGAGAGGCGAGGCCGGGAGCTCGGCCTGGGCAAGTGGGCGAGGGATCCCAGCTCAGAGGGCCCCGTGCCTGCGCCCCAGCCCCAGCCCTCAGTGCGCGGGCCCTGCCAGGGAGGCCCCTGCTGTTCCCGCTGCGGAGCGAGAGGAACGCAGGGGAGGGGGCGAAACCTGCCCAGGGGTGTGAGCAGGGCCGGGGTCTGGCACGCTGTGGTGGGGGTGCAGCCCGGGGGCCCCGCCAGAGACGGGACACCCAACTCTGCTCCCAGGGAGGCCCTGGAGGCGCAGTGGGTGGGGCCTGGTGGAGCGGAGTGTGACGGGTGTCCCCGACGAGCCCGCCCAGCGAGGCGGCCAGCGGGCCCAAGGGTGGAGGCCGGGCGGTGCGGTGCCTGGGCCCCGGCAAGGATCGCGTCTGACCCAGTCCAGCCGGCAGGTGCCTGGGGAGCAGGACAAAGTGGGGGGCCACAAACGGGACACACCGGAGGGGCCGTCCAGCCAGGCACCTCGGCCGCCAGAGAGTCTGGGCTTGACCTTGCCGTGACAGCAGACAGCCCGGGGTGGCAGCAAGAAAGCGGGCGGGTCCCCACTTGCCAGGACCCCTGCCCGGGCGGCCATTTCGGCCAGCGCGAGGGGCAGAGAGCCGTGCCGGGTGTGGGCGGGCGCTGCCGCCGGTGGAGGCGGGCCGCAAGGACCGGCTCCCAGGACCGGCCAGCCCAGGAGCCCAGCACCGCCTGGGCCGCCGGCACCCCAGGGTGCCACAGGCCAGGAAGAGGCAGCCGGCTGCCCTCAGCTGCGCCCCCACCCCCGCAGCGCGCCGCCCACCTGGGCCCCGGGCGCGCGCAGGGCGCCTTCTCCCTCCGCGGAGACATCCACCCCCCGCGCACCTCGCATCTTCTTGAGGAGCCAAAAATGCAGCTGCCGATTGATCTGCAGCGGAGCTAAAAATATCTGCCGGGCTCCAGCCAGGCCCGGGAAATATCCCATTGCTAGGAGACCGCCGTTACCAGGAGACCGCCGTCGCTAGGCAACGGCGTTGCCGTGGCGACAGCTGGGCCCTGAGTCATCCTCAGCCCTGGCCGCCTAGAGAGGGGCGGCCAGTCCCCTCCACTCCTGCCCGCGGCGGGCTGGGCCCGGGTCGCGCTGGCCCTGCCCAGGCCACCCCGGGCTCCAGGCCTCGCTCCTGCGGGCACCATTCTGGCTCCGGGGGGGCCAAACACACGGAGGCGTCTCTGCCCCCCCTCAGGCACTCGCGAGGACCCCTGCCCGGGCCCAGTGCCAGTGGGTGTGGCGTGGGGCTCCACCGCAGAGGTTTGGAGGGGCCCCCACCTGTTTGATGCTAAGCCTTCAAGGCACCCCCGGGACCCCAGGCCCCCTTTCCAGGCACGAAGCGCTTGCCTGAGATGCAGGGACGGTTTGGCCCAGGCGCACTGCCCCAGAGCCCCGGGGGCGGCCAGAGGGCCCAGGAAGCTCCAGAACCACCACCCTGTCCTGGGGAGTCGCTGGGGTGACCCCACATGGGCAGCCCCATCCTCATGCGACAAGGTTCCTCTCTGAGAGCTCTCCAAGATCCAGCTGGGGGGCTCCAGTTGAGGGGTGTCCAGATGGAGGTGCATCTAGGTGAAAGGATGCCCCAGGTGGGGCAGGGTGCCCCAGGTGATCGAGGGGTGCACCAGGTGAGGCGGGGGTGCCCCAGGTAAGCGAGTGTTTCAGGTGAGAGCTGCTCCAGGCAGCGCCCCTGGCCTGGAGGGGGCAGGCTGGTGGGGTCAGGCTGCGGGCTGCATTTCCTGAGGCTCGGGCTTAGCGGGCTGCCGCAGAGCTGACCCGGCCTGGGAGGGCCGGCCATGTCCAGCTGTCCTGCCCCTCTGCACAGGGAGAGCGCGGGGAGGTGGGGGCGCAGGGGAGAGCACGAGGGGAGCTGCCTTTGGTGTGGAGGAGAGCGAGGGCCCATCCTGCCGAGTACCCCTCATTCCCCAAAGGCACGGGGTCTCCAGGCAGCGGGAAATCAGCGCAACTAGTCTGTCCAAGACTTGCGCCCCACGGACGCAGGAGCCCCCGAACGGGAGGTCATGCCCTGCTGGGGTGTGGGTGGCACCCAGGGGTGGAGGGCCGGCCTGAGGGCCTCTGCTCATGCTTCTCCCCAGACTGTCCATACCCTGCCACGCGCCCAGCCTTCTTCAGTCAGTGTCCACCCAGCGCCTGGGCAGGCCTTACGTCCTCATCGCCCAGGGTGCAGCCTTCCCCAGCCCAGCAAGGGGACCCCGTCCGGCAAGGGCCGCACCCCACCCCCAGACCAGCCGGGGTGGGCCAGCCCAGCCGCCCAGGCCTCACCCCAGCCCGCTGGGCCGGGCGGGACTCGCTCCTGGCCTCCCTCTCAGCCTAACGTTCTCCCCTCGCCCCTGCTGTCCCTGCTCCAGGACACCCCAGAAGCAGCACCATCAGTCTCCGCCCTCGCCCTGAGCCCCCTGGGACGCCTGGTCTCTGCCCTGCGCGCAGGCGTCCTGTCCACTCCAGAGGGGCCCCAGGTTCTGTGCACCCCTCGTGGCGCTCTGCAGCCTCTCACCCCTGGGGCCTGGGCCTCAGGAGACACCTGCCCCGGGCCGGCGTGGCCTGCAACTTGAAGCACTGGTCACTCTGCAGAGGCGCGGGGAGCGTGAGCCCCCGCCCCACCCCGCCCGCGCCCGGCAGGTGTGAGGGAGCCTGGACGGCCCCTCCGCAGCGACCCCTCTCGTCCCTCGGGGTCCCCGCGTCCTGCCCGCAGGTGGTCCCAACCCCCTGACGCCCCGGCCGACTGCCAGAGCCAAGGGACGCGGGCCCTCCCGGGAGGCGGCGGGGCCTCGGCCGCCGCGCGCCGCCTCCTGCCCTCCGCTGCCCTCGGGCCCGCGCCGCGCCGCCCGCCGCGCGCCGGGCTTGTTGTTGTGCGGGCGCCCGCGGCCGGAGGGGCGGGGTGCGCGCGGCGGGGCGGGCGGGGCTCGCCGGCCCGGATTGGCTCCCAGCGCCGGGAGCGCGCGAGGGCGCGGCGCGGGGCGCGGGGCGCGGGGGGCGGGGGGCGCGCGGGAGGAGCGCGGGAGGCGCGCGGGAGGAGGGAGGAGGCGCCCGCGCGGCCCCTGCAAAGCGGCCTTATTTATCTGGGCACAGCCTCGGCCTCCCCGCTGGGGGCTCCCGCCGACCCTCTCCCACCGGGAGCTTCTCTGGGGCGCGGCCGAGGGGGCCGGCCAGGCCGGGGCGCGGGGCGCGGGGCGCGGCCGAGCCCTTCTGGCCCGGCCAGCACCTCGGCCGCCTCCCGCCTCGCTGGCGCCCATGCCGGGCGCCCCATGACGGCAGGACGCCGGCGCAGGAGCCAGGAGCCCCGGCCCAGGTAGGGTGCGCGCCGGGCCGCCATCGCGCCGCCACAATGAGGAGGGGGCGGGGAGGGGGCTGGGGACAGCGCGCCGCCGGCCCCCCCAGGGCTTACGTAACCGCAGCCCCTTCCCTGGCCGGCCCGCGGGGCCTCCGCCAGGCCTCCCTACGGCCCCTCACCCCAAGGGCCGCTCTCCGCTGCCGGCTGGACCAGGCGCGCGCGTCTGCCCGACCGTGTCCTGCTGGGAGCAGCGGGCCCAGCCCCAGCCCGCGTGGCGGGGATCCTGCCCCCACCCAGAGCCAGGAGCCTCCCGCCTGGAGACAGGTGTCGGGCGCAGCCCAGGCTGGGAGGGGCCCCAGCCAGGCCGGGCCCTGCCCTGGACCCCTCGGGGACAGGCCTGGGTGCGCTCCGCCGCGGAGGGAGGGAGGGGCTGGCCTGCGCCTGGCCCTGGAGGAGGGTCAGGCCTCCCCAAGGCTGAGGACCTCAGATGGGTGCCCGGCCGGGGCTGGCCTCCTGGGAGCCAGGGGGTGGGGAGGGGCCCCTCCGTCACCTCGGAAGGAGGG